AAGCTCCGCGGCGTACCAAAAGATGTCAGATCGCATGATATCGAACAAGTACGCAACAAGGTAATTGGTAGATTGGTTTTTTAAATTGATCTACTAATTTCGTAGATACATCCGGCATGTATCTACAAAGGTACGCAATATTTTATCTGCAATTTATCGTACCTATTCAGATCATACAACATTGTTAGATCTATGATTTATTATGTTTACCTAGAGCATGTTTTTTATACAATATCTGTTGCGCGAGTGTCCCCGATGTTAATTGACTACGGTTTAATGCTGGGGGCTCGCTCTGTTTTCTTCTGTATAAATCATGCTTGTTTACGGTTTACATAATGCCTGATATTTACATCTGCTCGTTATGTCCTGATAATGCTAGAAGATCCATGCAGTCTTTTGAGTACATACTCGATATTCTCTGCTATATGTCTTGCCTTCTAGAAAATATTCTTCAGGAACAATTGAGCACCCGAGTAGGTTGTGGTCGAGTACACCACATTATCGAGAATGATCTCGACAAATGCAGAGTCGTCGAGCCCAACCTGCCAAGGAAGACCGACGACCTATCTCATAGCACCGGCCATGGCTGGACTACTCGAGAAAAGGTTATTAATGGATAATTCCTCGCGAACGTCGTCGGCTTGATCACCCGATATGATTGCGAACGGACATCCGGATATGCTATAAGTTGGGTATGTGAGTTATGCTGGCCACATGATATGCACATATAATAAACCAACTTTAGCGCCCCTATAGGTGATAAAGAGACTCCTACTCCTGGTTCAATCTCTCTCGCCTTACTTCTAGTGGTCGAGTTACGACTACTACCTGGTCCTCGACCAGCGGTGTAGCGATTCTCCCACTATTTCCACTTCTAAGTGGTCGAGTTTAGACTACTACCTGGTCCTTGACCAGCGGAGTAACGATCCTCCCATTACCTCTACTCCAACAAAGTTGATATTAGGTATACAATATCGCCAAGTGTTTTACCTAGAGATCCCTTACCACGATGACACCTAGCGTTGAAACCTATCCTCATGTCCCTTTACGCCGTCTTGACAAGACCTCTGAGGAACCTAAGGGAACTTCGGCTGGGGACGCCCAGAGCCGATAAGGCCTTGTCGAATCCTGTAGAGACAAAAGACTGTGTAAGATCTGGTCGTGTAAGAGTTCTCGCAGTGCGTATTAACCAAGCCATGTAATCGGAAATTGGGTTTTCCAACTTCACGGCTGGGGGCTAGGATCAGTGCTTGTTCAATCGAGGCAGGTCAAAGGTCCAAGAGCCTTATCTCCCGAGAATAATTCTCCGATGACAAGGCTGGGAGCTAAGGAGAGTGTATGACTCAACAAACTGACTGATCGAAGTCGGTAAAAGAGAAGACGCTCATACACAAAACATTGGTCTGTAAATTTAATTCATTTTTAGTTTCCATATATATTATAACATGTCACCCTTTGAGCGTTTGCTCGGGGGCTATTTCTATCTGATATTTTTTTTCTGAGTGTTGATTTCAGGAAAATTCTATTCGACATTGACGAAGACTCCATGTCTCTATGGTTCTACACCAAGATCGACTAAGGCGAGTACGACAAATGTTGACAAGGCTCCGTCGTAGATTCTGCGCCTTCTCAATCACTCGAGAATGGTTGGTGGATCTCGACAAGGAATACGGAATGAAGAGATGGTGTACCCGCCGAGATAAAATTTCTTGACTTCAATCCAAATTCTCGATTACAGCAAGACGGGAGACTTAGTCGTCTGTTCTGTACTTTCTTGGTCGACGTCGGAGATTGACTCAGACAAACCCTTTAGGTGCCCGCACGAGGCTGATAAAGGAAGTCTAACGTTATCTCCGAACTCATCGAGAACGGTCACGTGAGCTCGATAACAGTTACTCCAAGGCCTGCACGCGGTTGAGAATATGAATTCGTTCATTTGCATCGAAGTCGGGGGCTACTGTCAGGGTTATGGATACCACATACCTAATAGTAGTTGACTAACTCTCGGTAGGACCCACCACATACCATGTCTTATACGGAAACTGACTTCACGTATGGAGGGAGTTCCGGATAAGGAAAGACAACCAGAGTTCTACATGGAAACGACATGGACTACTCGGATTGTATCCATATTGGTTTTCCTATTTCTACTTGGCCAAAGGGATACCTATGGGTATAAATACAAGGCCCCCTAGGAGGAGAGAGACCCACAATCAACATACACAAAACAATAGATAAAGACAGAAGATCAACATACAAGCCAACATACGCCAAGACAAGACGCCGGATATCGACTTCAGGGATAAGCACGGCTAGTCCCCTACGGTGTCTCCGGGTACTGTCAGGAGAGACGAAAGCGCTATCTCTGATCTCGCCGGGCACGGATTCGAGGAGGAAGACTACCCTATTGTCGACTACGAGTCAGACCTTCAGACCGCTATGTCGACAACAGTTAGATAGGCTACCCCAAATATTGTACTGGTGTGATTATGGTGAATAAGAGCAATACCGGCTTCGGCCAACAGGATGTAGTGTTATTACCTGACAATTCAGGGGCCCGAACCTGTATAAAAATCCCCGTCTCCGTCTCTTTTACCTCAGTCTCGCGTATATCCTAGTACCAACGATCCTCATACTATGCAAATACCGGAATCGCGACATCAAACGTCGACAGTGGTGCTATAGTAAACATTTGCTAATGATGGATTAATTAGGCTTAATAGATTCGTCTCGCAATTTACAGGCGGAATCTGTAATTTATTTTGTTATTAGTCTATATTTAATACTTCAAATGTGTGTCTGTATACTTAAAAAAATTTTAGTACACGAACTAAACACAGCCACGATTAAGTTACATTTGATCCGTGGTAAGGTTAAGTTCTCAATTTCTTTTTATCAGATTATTATCGGCCGCAGTTAAAATCTATTTTTTTTTTAAAAAAAAAAGGTTGATATTTTTGAGAAAAAAAAGTTGAGTTTGACAGTTATTTTGTAATAATCTACTTTTAGCATAGTTTTGAAACCTCTAATAATGTAGATGTGAAAAATTAGCCTATAAATTCGCCGTTCAAAAAAATTAGCCTATAAATTTGTTTATTTTTTCACAGTTTATCAACCGGAGCCCAAACGATCGAAGTAGATCGATTGACCCTATAATATTTTAGTAATATTTCTAAAGTTATGCAATTATTATAAGTTTCTTAATTTTTAATGTAGAATTGACCTAAAACCGAAAGATGCCAACCTGGATGAATATCATGTCCAATGGCTTTTAGCCGAGAGGATATGTTAGAGACAGTTATTGCTACTTATGTGTAGTTTGTACAAGTAGTAAGTTCTTATGGTACTCCAAGTTCGCATTCGGAGCATGAAAATTATTTTCCATTTCAGCCGAAATAAACTAGTACTCGAATATAATGATTTCTACGTTGTTTATCAATTCCTAATTAAGGTAAAAAAAATTTAAGTCATTTCAGTTATTGATTTTAAAATTTTTATTTACTTGGATTTCCTTTGAGGCATCCGATTGGCTTTAGAATCATTGAAATAATGATAATCATGAGAAACAGCGCGCAATTCTTTATATTATGGTATAAAATTTAAATTGCAAAAATTATCATATTTTGGAACGCATGGAGTACTTCCCTATGGTATTCCATGGAAACTTTCATACTACTACAATATTCGCATAAATATCTTTTTGAACTGTCGTAAATGGTGGTTATGTACAAAGATAGAGCCTAATATGTACAGTTAGATAATACATATTTATTTAGCGGATATACCTCTACAATAGTTGACATAACAAAGGTTCTAATCATTAAACTAAACAAAATACCACTTCCTCCGTTTTTTAATAGATGACGCCGTTGAATTTTAAACACATTTCTGAACCATTCGTCTTATTAAAAGATTTTACGCAAATGTATAAGATATAAATCATGCTTAAAGTATATATGTATGATAAAAACAACTCACAACAAAATAAATTAGAATTATGTAATTTTTTTAATAAGATGAGTGATCAAACGTGTGACAAAAAGTCAACGGTCATCTATTAAAAACAGAGGTAGTACTATTTTATTACTGTTATTTCCTTTTTCGCACCCTAGTAAAGCCAAGCACCCTAGTAAAGCCAAGCTTCCATTTTATAGAGAGCAAATAATCGTTGTTGTTAACTGTAGAAATGATGTTTTTCCTTTCTTCTTTCTATCTCTTCCATTTTAGTAAAGATTCATAATCAATAGTCTCATTAATTACCATTGTACACACCCTAAGGCCCCAACCATTGGTATATGCCGAAGGGAATACTTCGGCGACAAAGGGAATTTCGGCATTATGTAACGTACAAATTCACAAAGAATGTGTAGGATTCTTTATATCCAAATATTGTCCCATTTGAACGAACTGCTGGGCAAATGCTTCATACGACGAGCACTCTGTAGTGGAATAGTGCCATTTTTATTCTGGGACCAAAAGATTCTCTACTGTACTAGGTTATCTCGGCCCCGCCTGTTTGTGGATTACTCCTACTAATCAAAAACAATTTTAGAGACGACAAAATGACTAATTTTAAAATAAATTTCTGGCAAAACTTAAAATCAGCTTCGAACAACCAGCAGCATTGCCAGCGTCCGTCCATTGCCAGTTGCCACGATGTCACCGCAATGGCAAAGAATGATCAAAGCAAGCGACCTGACAAGACACGAGTGACCAAAATGCCAACTGCCACGGCACACGTGGTCACCAGGCTGCAGCCCCACCGTGTGTGACAGTTACACCAAACAGAGGTCTTAACATCCACTGTGTGCGGTAGCAGTTGACACATCAACCACGCGGTTATCATCATCAATTACAGTACATGCAGTAGAGTGTATGAAATGCTATCACACTCCAAATCTTCGTCGCAATGCGTGCAGCATGGAAAAAATCTTGAGCCAAAAACAAGGCCATTCCAGAATTCATCCCCTGTTTTTTTCAAAGCCATAAATTAAAGCCGATAGAGACAACTTGCATGGCGTGCCATCTTCACAGTTTGATCAGGCCACAATGACATAGTTTCTGAATATTTGGCCAATCAACCAAACTATCCAACGGAGAAAGAGGCGAGGCTGTACAGGAAGGCGGCATGATAATCTCAGGCCAGCTTAACAAATGGAACATATCAGTCTAAGACATCACAGAGAAGGCAAAGCGATTAAACGGTGTATCCAGTCTAACCTAATGTTTTCACCAGTGCTTTGGTTCAGAAAGGAATTGAGCTACAAATGCAAAGGGGGGCAAAGAATAGATGGTATCTACGTGGCCCTATTTACATTTCAAAAGTAAACTAAGCGCACAAAAGTCCTAGGGCGTTATTATAGCAAGGAATTTACCATGTTAGGCTGGCTTCTGGCTGGCTGGTGGATTCACCTTGCTAGCCCCGTTCACCGCTGTGTTGGCCCGGTTGTTGGCTGGTGTTACGGTGCCAGGCGCCACATTCTTGGGCACTAACAAGTTGCCCTTTGAGCTCATGCTTTGCTGCTTCTGGACAGTACTTTGGGTGCCTGTGGTAGCAGGAGCAGGTGCCTTCCCTCCTAATGATCTATTCAGCACGCCAACTATGCCGCTAGACATCCCACCCTGTGGAACTGGAGCTTTGGTCTTTTTCGCAGTTGCTGGAGGTCCAGCAAATACAGGGTTGCTTTTGCCAACTGTGGGCAGCGTCTTCAGCTGTTTTTTCTGGCTGCCAATAACGCTTTGAGCTTCTGGAGCAATCTTGGCAGCCTTGCTCTTATCCACATTATCCTTATTTAAGCATCCTTGGGCCACAAAGCGATCAAATTCTAACATGTCTGCATCCTTGGGGTCTATGGCCTCCTCAATCTTGGGATCTTGAACATCTTCCTGCTTCACATCCTCAGGGAACAAGTCCTCCATTGTGACTGCAAAATAATTAGAGTTGTCATCTATTTCCATTTTGTCAGAAGATCCAGACACTGGTGTGGTGTTCAGTGCTTTCTTAGTTTCTGATAAATGCACTCCAGCGGATTGTCCCAGAGGATTAACCCCAGCGACTTCTGAAACATTATGAACTTGTTCAGTTGCATGTGCAGTCAAAACTTGAGATGGACCACCAGTACTTTGTAATTCTAGGTGTTGATCACTGCCAAGCTGTGTCCCAGGTTCACCAGCCACAGTAGGTGTTTTAGATCCCGTAGAAGATTTTGAAGATCCTGTTCCTCGAGATCTTATGTGCACAGCTTTTGTGGACTGTGCAGCTTTTAAAAAATTGGTGGCAACACTTGGTTCGGCAATTCGCCCACCAGCAGCAAGAGCTGCCTCTTGTATCGACAAAGGGCCATTCACAGGAATTGATTGGGCAACTTGTTTCTTAGAATTATTTCGTGACTTATTTGAAGCATTTGATACTTTTGGAGGTGGAGGTGCAGATTGCGCAGGTGCTTGATGCAACTGAGGTGGTGGTAACTGCACTTGTACTGGTTGCACTGGAACAGGCACCGGAACAACATGCACCGGTACCGGCAATGGTGAAGGTGCTGTAACAGATTTCACCTCAGGATTCGTAGTAGTAACCATTGGATTGTGATGTGGCACACCTCCTGCATGAACAGTTCATATAAGCACAAAAAGTATCAGCAAAGACCACCCCGAAGATCACATGGGAAAAAAAATGCCAGTTGCGATACCTGGTCTTAATGTAGACGATCTGGTCGTCCCAATGGCCAATGAAAATGCTTTTTGTGCTGCCTTTAGTTCCTCCGACATAACATTGGGTATTTTAGGGGTAGCAGGCTTGGTTGACCCCTGACGCTTGCAAATAAGCGCCCATCTCTGAAAAAAAAACATACATTATCTTATTAGACTACAGCTGTCTACATGAGGAAAATGGGGGAATATCAACCATGGTTATCAGTTATCAGCAGTCACAACTGCCAGATGCACGATTACACAAAAGAACTCAACTAGGATGGGTGAAAACTCTAATATAGGCTTAGATGAAAAGCGATCAAACGATTGCAACAGCAGCACACCTAATTTTTTAAATACTTGCACTGTGTGCAAGGAGGTGCCGACTCTTTCATTATAGAATTGTTGCAATGCATGTAACCATAAGTTGGGCGACTTCAGGAATGGTAATCCCATATAGGCGAATAAGAATGAACAAAGCACAATGATGGGTGCTGGTATGCAATTGACAAGGTGATCTTACCTGTTGAAGTTGAAGATGCGTCCTTGAACTATCAAATTTATATTTATGCAGAATTTCCATCCAATTTCCTTCACCATGCTTCTGTACACCTGCTCCTAGTTCCATGTCCTCCTCTCTGGACCATGGTTTAGGCTTCTTTTTCTTTTTGGGATGTCCATTAGGGTCCAAAGGATCAGGAGATGAGCCTGTGTGGGAGGGCTGCTTTGAGCTGGAAACCGGACCTGTACCGTTTGTTAGACGGTGACCAGGCACAAGCTGTTTATCAGATGGAACACGCACTATCTTTTCATTTGGAGTGTTTAGCGCAGCAGCTTCTGAGTTGACACGTTGACCAGAGGTTTGTTCACGTGAAGATCCGGTGATAATAGTCTGAAATTGCATGACAGGATCAGGTGCCATTACACAGAACCACAGGCCTCAAAAGAATACCATGCAAAATTGCCAAAGAAACTAGAGGTTAGGTGGTTTTGTGCATCACATTCCATACGACAATCTTTTCCATAAACTAAAATTGATTGCCCTTTTATGTCTTTCTAGACACATGTAATTCAAGACTGCCTGCAAGCACTATAAGTGTGCCACTACACACAATTTTAACTTGTAAATTATTAGATGGCAGGGAAGGCCACACACTGAAAAAAGAGAACATTTTTCCCATGCATTTTCACATCCACAAAGGAACTTTTTATTGCCCTATTTGTAGTGAAAAACACACGGAGCACTATCTTCCAGTTGATAATGAAGCACCAATCAAGCTATGAACACTGCCAGTATTGAGCATCAATAATAGCCTTTGAATATGTTTGCCCATATTCTGTCTATCTCAAACTATACACACTAGCATAACTACTAAGTTATTCAACAACCTATGTTAGTGTCAAAGCATAAACTGTGCTTGCGGAAGCCAACAATAATAGAAACACTACACATTATCAGATAGATACTGAACGGTGATAAAATAGGAGATCACGACCATAATCAAATAATATGTGCAACAACTGCCTCGTATGAACCCAAAATGACACACGCACACACACAAGAACTACATAATCACACAGAAAAAAAAAGGTGCGAAAATAAGGGGAAATCAACCAGTTTTAGCATCTTATACTCGAAAGAAGCATCCACGCTATACGAAATTATAGGCTTCGGTTGTACAAGATAATGGTCTTTCCAGAAAGTGATACCTTGGCAAACGATGTGGCCTCAGCTAATGCTTCATTACCCGGAGCAGGGACAATCTCAATCTCACATTCTAGATCACTCCCATCGTCCTACGAATTATCGGTCACAGCAGCACAGCACCATCAGAGAAACGAACAACCAACACTGAAAACAAGCTGAGATCTACTTCTACTACTGTATAAAATCTCAACAATTTCCCGAATATATATAAAAAAGTAACAGAAATCTCGGCGAGTGGCGAACCAGCGGCAGGGAGGCGGGCTCGACGCTCTCGACGAACTCGTGGCCGTAGGCGAGGTGGCGCCACAGCATCTGGTACTCGCGCGCGGAGGTGATCCCGGTGCTCGTCCTCCGCACCAGCGCCCTCCAGTCGATCCCCTTCCCCGCGCCCACCTGCTTCCCCATCTCCTGCAGCATCGTCAGGATCGTCGCCGGCTGGTACCTGCGAGGTTCGGGGGGGGGGGGGGGGGGGCAGCGCCGCGCCGGTGAAACGAAACCCTAGAAACGACCCGCCGCCTCCGCCGCGGGGCGAGAGAACGGAGAGAGAGAGAGATGGGGGAGATGGATTTACCTGTGCAGGATGAGGTAGGCGTCGTCCTCGGAGAAGCTGCGCTTCCGCTTTGCCGCCCCGCCCCCGCCGGCCGCCGCCGCGTCCATCTCGGAGTGTAACCGACTCGTCGGCGCTTGGCCGGGGAACTCCTTTTTCATCTCCTTTTCTGTTATTATATTATTTTTTCTCCCCTTCTTTTTTTTTTCTCGATTTGCTTGTTGATGAGAGCGAAGAGGGGATGAAGAATTGAAGATAGTCACATAGGTGAGGTGAGGAAGCGCTGATGGGCTTTTTGTGCTGCTCATCCCCTCTTCTCCATCCCCCTCTTAAGATCCTATAAACAAGTTGGGGCCTCCTTTGCTTTTGCAAATGGCAAATTATAGAATCTGAGTGTTTGCTCAATTGTAAAACTTCTCAAAAAGTTTAGTATTTCAGAAGAAAGGTGTTCTCTTTATAATGTTATGGTACGGACACCTAGTTAGTTTCATAAGAATTTCAGAAGATTGCATTCTTAAAGTTTTATTCTTATATGATTCAATGGATTCGATAGTTTGGTAATATACATCCTATAGAATGATTTTCCAGCCCTTTTTTTCAAGAGGAAAATAAGCATGAGGCAAGAGCCTCTACAGTGTGAACGAAAAATCGATTTTACGGTAGGAGAATCGAATCATGCACAGTGTCGTTGTTGAACGTCGTAGGTGTCAAAACAAATCGAACTCACATTGGAGTCGAACAGAAGGAGTAAAATACTATTTATTGTGCATGCATGCATAAAAGGTACACCAATGATTGGGTGATTCTCTTTTACAGGTCCTACAAAACAAAACGATTTGAATACTATAGCTACTGACCTGAAATTTTGTTCAACTCTTCGATTAGATTGGCCGAACTAAACACTACAGATGCCTTAAGAGTTCGTGATTTGTCTTCCTGTGAGAAGTCCTCTGTTTATTTCTCTCTACTTCCTCTATCACCCAAGAGTGATTCCTATAAAATTCATGTGATTTATTTCCCGAGGACCATCAGGCACTAGCTCAAATATTTCTATTTTTAAAATCTAACAATATTCCAAAGAGCACAACGTCCCATTCAGTGGCAGAGCCAGTATTTGAACATGAGGGGGCAGCTTACTAAATGATAATTAATACGGAAAAATAGCATGACAATTAATATTTTTGTCTTCTAAAAGCCTCACACGGATAATGTGTACATATGTTTTGGCAACACAAGAGAATTAATTTTAGCCTTATTATACGTTGCCAAAATATATAAGAACATCGTTGCAGTTCAAAAGGAACACATAAAATTACACAAGTATATTAATTGAATTTAACCTCAGCGGTTAGCTATTTACTATTGCAGGATTGCTGCATGCAAAGCTAAGCAGCCAACACATACTACGGCTAGTTGGCCAAGGACTAACCCAAATCGCAACCTAGTATCCATGCATATGGTTTGTTCATGGGGGGCCTAATACACTGATGAATAATTTTTTAGATAAATATGTGATTATTTGTACTACTTAACACCCCCCAAGCAGAGATTCCATTTATACGTTGTTTTTCTTATTTCTATGTCTTTTAGAAGGAACCGGCTCCTCTAATGTTCAAGACGCATGTCACCGCGTAACATTGCTCACACATATGTTGTCCAAATTAATCGGACGCACCTGGTGATTCTTTCGCAAAACAGTTTCTCGTAAGCAATCGTTTTAGAGAGGGCTTAGCTTAGTCGCTAATACATGAGATTACTTCTTCTCTCTCTACCTTCGAGCAGATCGTAGTGTGGCAAAGAAAAAGCTAAGGACCAAGGGACGAAAAAAATCCTTGCTAACACACAAAGAGCACAAATCTCCGATGTCTTTCTATTGAAAAATCAGGGGAATGTGGTTTGAAAGTTGTGGTATAGGGAAGAGTATCATATAGGATGGTTGATTTGCCGGTTTTCCATTGCCGCTATATATATGATGCTGTTGTATTTTTTTAGAACTTAGGACTTAGGAGATGGTATTGTGAGTCAGGTGATCAGTACACCAAAGGTCCAGAGCGCCGTTGCGTGTCGTGGACCAAAGCATTGGCGTGCTGTTACCGGTGAGTAGCGCGTGTAGCCAGAGGCATTCCTATTCTGTGGGTATGTGGCAAGTTCCTTTTTTGATAGAGAAGAACAAACTAAAGATTAATTCAAGGATTAGCGGAGGAAGACGATATCCCTATAGAGCTAGGCCGTCCGATTAATTTGGACGACATATGCACAAGCTACGTTAGGTGGTGGCGTGCCTCTTAAACGTTAGAGGAGCCGATTCCCTTCTGAAATCTGGTTTTCTAAAGGAGCCCTAAGTATACTAGATAATAAATTAGTGACCTAACATCCTCTAAAAAAACTAGTAATTTAGTACAAGGCAAAGTGGCACAGAGAAAGAGTTAGGATAACACCAGTAGAATATAGAGATTGCATAGTGGGTTAAAAAAAACTAATTTAAGATTAATATTTTGTAAAAGGGGATTTGATGATTTTCCACTCTTTACTCTTTAAATTGGGGAACATTTGATGATTTGTCATTCAAGTCATTGACTTTAGAGGACACTGCATGTCATTGTCTCGGTAGCAATAACCTTTCTTCTCACAATATAAAAAGTTCACAAGTCGTGTTTTAAAAATGTATACTCAAGTATGTCTTGTGTGTAGCATATAACTATGTCTTAGATATTTATCTATTATTAGTTGAGGCCAAAACAAAACGACGGACATAGGTTAGGATGCATGACAACATGGCTTATATTAAGCATTAACTTTCACCCCTGTTTCATTTTGAAGATGTTGTATTGGTAATACCAAGATGGAAACAAAAGACCATCGTTTGCATCCCTCATAGGAAGTTTAGCCGCGAGAGAAGATTTGAAACATCGATGTAAAAAAATATATGCTACGAATAAATAATGAATCTAACGGTTTGAAAATCAGAAATGGTTCCATAGTGTAGTGGTTAGCACTCCAGACTTTGAATCTGGCGACCTGGGTTCGAATCCCGGTGGGACCTTTTTTTTCTTTTGTTTCTTTTCTTTGTGATTTAGCAGCTCATGCATGAACAGGCGATGCATTGGGTGGTTCAATCTTAGCACGAAGTGCAGCTTTTTATTCACCTGTTTCTTTTTTCGTTTCTTTTCTTTGCGATTTAACAGCTCAAGCATGAACAGGCGATGCATTGGGATCTTTTTCGTTTCTTTTCTTTGCGATTTAGCAGCTCATGCATGAACAGGCGATGCATTGGGTGATTCAGTCGTAGCACGAAGTGCAGCTTAGCTTTTTATTCACCTGTTTCTTAGTCCAGGGGATAGGCAAGCTCCATGTTCTTCATTCATCAGCAGTCTACATGCCCGATTGGTTCGTTTCGTTTTTTTTTTAATTACAGGTTCTGAATGCCTGGGTTTTTCTTTTCACAATCCAGATTACACATTTTGCAGATAAGTATTGCTGCAATTCTGCAATTGTACTCTGAGCAATCTCTCTTTTGTTACCAGTACAACTTACCACTGGTAAAGCTATGTCACTGACTGCTTCTCTGAACCATCTGAAGCTGCATAACTGATATTTCCAGCCTACAGAAGAACATCTCTCCTGCCTCCTCATTCTTCTTGCCATGTCTCATTTATTGCGTAAGTTAGTTATCAGTTTATCAGTCACTAAGCCATAAAATTATGAGCATGACAAGGATCCATCCACGTTACAGTTTCTCAGTTTCCCATTGAGGTTCATACTTGACAGCAATTAGTGATTAAGCTAAAACAGAAGCAACTAGCAAATGATGTGATTGCTCTTGTTTTTGTAAGCTTATAGAGGTAATTTCTGGCCTCTGCACAAGCTCTCATATAGGAAACTCCAGCTCAAAAGGCCTGTAGATGAATTAATTCACCACACCATGCGTTTGCGACAAACTGCTGTAGTACCTGAATTTTACTGACTGAATGAACTTCTGAACCACTGTACCATAACTGGATTCTGTTATCAGTCGCAAGGCACTGAACATACTTCAGAAAATAGTATCATGAAGATATCCCTAACCAACACGTTATATGTTGTATTTGTTTGTCCATGCTTTTTGCTTATCATGCTCAATTGGTCATGCACTGACAATACATATGACTCTATACCAAATTGTATTTAGTTTGGCGCAGCTTCATCTGTAAGCAGTGGACCAAGACCAACTAACTGTATCTATTAATCATGTTCCTCTTCGGCTTTCGCATATGTTTGTAAGTACTAGGGAGTAGGGAAGTTGGTTTCAGCGCATCCAAGATAGCTGTTGAGATTAATCTGAGTTAAGTTGGGAAGACACATCACTGATCAGATGAAAAACACTACTGTTCTTTTGTTCTATTAATTTCCATTAGTGCTACAAAGGAAGAATTTCTACCTCCAAATCAACCAGTTCTATTCATTCAGATTTTACGGCATGATACATAATTTTTATTTCCTTATATTACTAGATTTTTTCTATCACAAATCATTATGGCCATTTGCAAAAGGGATTTTTTTAAAATTTCCATAGATCGTTTTTTTATCATTTTTCTCTTCTTTTCTTGTAGAACAACTCCTGTAGCAGCTGTTTCATCTGCTCCATTACATACCAAACTCCCATAATTATGCAGATTTATCTGTTCCAACCTGCTTGCGTGATGAATGATGATAACTCATGTGTCTTAATGCACAATCTGGTCCAGAGAAACCGTACAAAAGATTACATGCATGGATGACTGATTGATCATCATATGCTGAGCCTTAAACTCTCACAGCGAAGAACTCTGCATCCTGTTTAGAATTGCTACCTGCAGACACTCTAATTACATGCAGTATTTCTTGTCATGTACTCATTGTATTTTGCATATCATTGCCTGATGTTGTTCTGCTATCTACCTGACCTAACGAAGGAACCAATGAATTGACAGCTTCTGAATTCATTCTTATCATTCTTCCAAGACCAATGCAAACTAGTAGAGAACAGATGATTCATATCAATCTTCAGACAGCAAGTACGCAATCAAGGATGGCATGTAGCCTCTTGGTACCTGGTACCTAGTACCTGGTGATACCTTAAAGATAGTAAAAATGTTGTGTATGCTGCATTCTTGTTTATTACATAATCGCGTTAAAGATGAAAACATGTGCCAATATTATGAATACTATCTGTAAACAGTAGTCTGAATTTTTTTCAGAAGATACTGTCAGTGAATGCTCAACATGTTCAGGGCATTACAAAGATTTCATTATGAATGTAGCTTTCGGAGTGCACACACTTTATGGAGCAATATGCACACTAGTGCCCCCCACAATTAGCCGGACCACAGCTTTTCTTGCTTGCTTAATGATGCTGCATTTGCCCTGCTAATCTGACGGCGACCTGTTTTTCAGGCTCAAACAGTTGCAGGCAAGGTAGTAAAATTGGAGGCTGAAAATATAAAACTGGAGAATCAATGCCATTCATTTCTGCTCCCCATTTTGCCGTTTTGCGTCATGTGAAAAATGTTCTTTTTTATATAAAGAAGTGCTTAATGGTTAAACTGCAATGCTCATGCCACTTAATTTCAACAAGATTAGGTACACCTGATGCGTACGTTTATCATATTACTATTGTGTCTGAATATAGTATGCTGTAAATTAAGAACCGTCAGTTCAGAGTTTAGGCATCAGAGTAGGCATTTCTTTTCTGAGTAATTTTGTCTGTTATATGCACATTTTGTCAAGAACTCTATCTTTTTTTACTGACAGTTATCTCAACTAAATCTTCGTGACCCGACACGCGAAGTAAAATGTTGGATTCGACGGTAAAAACAAAAACTATTTGGCCTTCAAACCGTTCTCTTTAAAAGAAAAAACTGGACTTCAAACTGAAGAGTAAAGTTCAGAGCCAAGCCAAATAATGGACTTCACCCAATAATATATTAGGTCAGCATGTACCACATGGCCCTTTGACAATGGCTCCAAGATTAGGGTGAAAGTGAAAGAAGAATCACCCCAAATTAATTTTCCTCGAATTATCGGTTGCAACACGATGCCAGATACTACAAAACACAGATTTAATTATCCTGTACTCGATATTCAGAAAACTCCCGTCAGCTAGGTTAGCCTTTGTCATCTTCCTGGTGTCTGTTGCAAGCTGAAAACGCTGTCCTAGCTAGCTGATACTTAAATGATAATTAACGCCATGAATATTGCATGATAAATGGTGACTAATTATCCCAGGAGAATCATTTATGGCGTATTATCTCCCTCCGTTTCAAAATAAAAGATAATTTTTATTTCATTAGGATAAGAATTTAACCAACAATTACTCTATTATGATGTAATTTTTGTGACAACTAAATTTGTTAAATTGGTGTTAAAAAATACTTAATTATGGTTATGCTTTTCTATCACATTAGTGAAACAAAATATGTCTTGTATTTTCAAATGGAGGGACATTATCCGAACAGATGATACTAAATGATAGTAGCAATTAACACCATGAAAGCATGCATGACAAATGATGAACTAATTAACCAGGACAATTAATTGTTTAAGCCATCTATCTAGCTAGCTATCTCCATCGTCTGAACAAACGCAGACGACACAGACGCAGGTAGAGGATTGCAGAAAAGCAAAGCCTAATGACAATCAAAATCAGGCGCTTTCCTAGCTTGTTTAGTGCTTATCTTGCTAGCTTTTGTCTCTGATAGCAGCTGGTTACTCTAATTTGCTTCGCTTTTCTGGGTGTTTTGCTCTCCGATGCTTTGCTTCGCTTTGCTTTTCTCCTCGTCAAGTCAGTGATGAACCCCGATGGCGAAATGGGCTACATGTGTCATTCGATGCATATGCATCCATGGGCGTGTAGATTTCAGATTGGGTTATTTGCGATGCCGAGTTTCCAATTTAAATGGATGAAAAGGGGAAGTAGCTGGCATGAGGAAAAAAAAATTCCATCGTTTTCTTCTTCTTTTTTTACCGTGAAAGTTTAGGTTTCTTGTATCGTGATTTGCAATTTACCACTTGAGTAAGTCTGTAAAAAAAAAAGAAGAAAATTGGGATTGCATTTCTGGGCATGCATGAATCCTGGGAAGCTGCCTGAATTCAGAGTGCGTTGTTCCAAATGGGAAGTTTCACTCCAAAGCTACTACTACTGAAGATAACTGAAATCTGAAGACAGAGAAAAGTACATGCACTGTAAAAAGGTAGCCATACTCATTGGATCGTTCTGCCAAGATCAGTACTGCATCACATCGATCAAACTATATCTATATGCAACTGATCTAAATCTGAATTTGTTAATTAACTAGAGTAGGGAGGTAGTATATATACAGTCCCTTGCATCTTCTGCAACCCATTCTTTAATCAACTCAAAAAAAGACAGGATGAAGTGAACAGCCGTGCGCATTATCTCAGTGATTAGAGTTAAAACGGTTAATTGCAACCATCACCATCCTCGTGTACACGTGGTGCTGAAAAATAATCGGAGAACCTACTGTCCATGCAAAGCTTTTGAGAGAAATGTGATTCAACGACGTATCACCAGCAGCCTAAACCTCCAAATCGCAGTGTATATATTACAATTTCGTCACAGAAAATGAATTAAAGTTTCAAATTGCAGTACTGTTAACTTGTGTTACCAGCCTCGCTTTTGTGCTTTGTTTGTTGAAGGAAACATCGCACATTAGTCACATTCTACTTTTTACAAAGAGAGGACGAGGAAAAAAGAGCGAAGAGACGGTAGGGCTAAAGTGGTATTAATCCGGCGCTCCGAATTTCAAATGTGCCATCAGTGCACAAGTGGACTTTAAACTCGCTCTGCTCATAATCCTGTCGTGAAATACACTTCTAAAACCACTTACCAGAATATTTAAAACAACTTGATCTTAAAGACTTGAACTAATTTGAAACACGACAGCTTCTGCCAAATCGTTGCAAAAAGAAAAAGAAGAACATATTTGTGAAGAATTTGAGCTATTCGATCCCGTTCTTTTCTTACTCTCTCCGTCTCTAAATATTTGACGCCGTTGACTTTTTTAAACATATTTAACTGTTCGCCTTATTAAAAAAATTTAAGTAATTATTAATTCTTTTCCTATCATTTGATTCATTGTTAAATATACTTTTATGTATACATATAGTTTTACATATTTCACAAAAGTTTTTAATAAGATAAATGATCAAACATGTTTAAAAAAATCAACGGCGTTAAATATTTAGGGACGGAGGGAGTAACTAAAATACATATTTTATCTCAATTTTCATTGGCACATTTTCAAACTGCTAAATGACCCATTTCATAAAAAACTATATATAAGTTTATTTTAAAATATCAAACAAATCTTTTTAAAATTATAATAATTAATCAATTCATTATGCACTAATGATTACCGCGTTAGTTGGTTGGAGACAGTAACTAATCCCTCGTACACTCAAAATAAAGCAGCTCATTAGCATACAATTAATTAAGTATTAGTCATATTTTTTTAAAAAAATGAATTAATATGAAGAATTTTTTTAAGAGAAAAATACACTATTTAACAGTTTGGTAGGCGTGCCTATAAATAACGCAAGAGAGTAACAAGGCATGGTTTAGTTCCCAACTTTTTCTTCAAACTTTTAACTTTTACATTGCATCAAAATTTTCCTACACACACAACGTTCCAATTTTAATCAAACTTCTAATTTTAACGTAAGTTAAACACTCCCCAAGTTAAGAAAGGGGATGTTTAGCCCCTCCCTCCCACACACCCCAACCCCAAAGCCAACAAACGATCTCAGCCTTAATTTTGCCACAGCTCTGGTAAAAGCTTTGTTGGCGTTGCTGCGGACTGAAGCAGCCGGGTTGGCCACGTCACCGTGCCACGTGGCCGACGGCATTGCGCGCGCGGCAGCATAAAAGGCGACGCCGCGACGCGACGGCCCCAGCGAGTTGCCCCCACCCACCATGCCCTCCTCCTCCTCGCCGCCCCCGCCGCCGCCGCCGGCGACCACCGCAACTCCACGCCGGCGCCGCCGCCGGCGGCTCCTCCCGTCGTCGGCAGGCGGCGGAGGCTCCTCCTCCTCCTTCTCCTCCACCAATTCGTCGTCGTCGTCGCCATTCGTCTCCTTCCTCCCGCCGCCCACGTCGCCGTCGCCGTTCCACCGCTTCCTCCCCTCCCCGCTCCGCGCCTCCTCCGTCCCATTCTCGTGGGAGCACCGCCCCGGCATCCCCAAGACGCCGGCGAGGTCATCCCGCTCCTCCTCCAAGCAGCCGCCGCCCGGCGTCGTCGGCGGCGGGAAGCACTACCCCTCCGCGCCGCCGCTCCCGCTCCCGCCCTCGCTCCTCTCCAGGGCGGCCTCCGACCCCTACGCCTCCGCCGTCGTCCCCGCCGAGTACGCCGCCTCCGGCGCAATGCCGCCGCATCCGCCGCCGGGCTACTACTACCCCGCCGGGGCGAAGGCCGCCCGCCGTCTCCGGCTCCGGCGCCGCCGGCCGCGGCTCGCCGACGCCCTCGCCGAGTGGCTCTCCGTGCTCAGCCTCTACCGCTCCTGCAAGCGCGTCGCCGCCTGCTTCGCCGCCAAGGCCAAGCCGCCGCCGCCGGCGCCGGCGCCATGAGAGCTCGCGCGCGTGCCATCTCTCTCTACTACTCGTGTACGTTTTACTATTATTAGTTTATATGATTATTATTGTGGGTTTGGATTTGTGTTTTGGTGTAATTAATCAATTCGTGTGATTAACTAAGATGGGAGTATCATACATGAACAACAAGATTCTTAGTTTGATTAATTAGTGTGCTTAATAATTAATTGGTTAATAATCTCCAATAAATCGGCACCATTAGTTATAGTCAAATGTTTGTTGTTGTTGTTGCCGGTGAGGTAAGTTGGTGTGTGATAGCTTCACTGAGGTTGGGCTTAGGTTTGAACTTGTGGTTGAGTTTCTCTGGGTGACCATTGCTGATCAAATTATCTTTAGCTAAAGTTTCTCTGGGTGGCCATTGTTGATCAACTGTGTAAGCATGAAATTAATTTAAACTATCTTTAGGCTGAGTGTCGAAAAGGGGTTAGGATTGAATTTTTTTTTTTAAAAAAAACAAGACAACTCATTAGCACACGAAATTAAATTAAGTATTAGCTATTGTAAACTTGGATTTATTTGTTTTTACAAAAACTTCAATATATATTCTTTAAAAAATATATAATATTTAATAGTTTGAAAAGTGTGCTCACGAAAAATGATGATGTATCTTACCCTAATTTCTTCTTAGAACTTAACCTAGGTATAGCTAATGTTACATACAGACATGGCAGGCTGCCGAAATGAGCGTGCTTATAGTGTTTTTATACACATGGCAACATATGAGTAGAAGTATAGAACATACCTCAATGTATACTTGCACCACCCAAGTTCGAGTTATATATATCAAACTTGGTTTAAAATTTCTCTTAATAAATTGGAGCATATGACAATGTTTTTTTTTAAAAAAAAAAACTTGACTGGCGGGAATGACCGTTCCTCGGCTTTTCATTAAGAAGAATAAGTCTCAACCAATCTGTCCGAGAAAGATCGCGAACTCTGCCCCCCGACCCCTATACGGACTGGTTCTTTGATACCACTGTCCACTGCATGAGGATCTGTTCTCCATTGATTAATTCTTAATAAGTATTTATATAGGGTTAGCAAGTGATTTTTTTAACCAACTCTGAACTACTTGAGCACTGTAATCGCTAAGCTACAATCCCTTTCGTATATGCCAAATTCTTCGTAATAAAAGCGCACGATACCATGTTTATTGGCTATAACCAAAATTATATGGATGGATGATTGCTACATTGGGATCTACTAAAGACATGGTGCTCTATATTAAAATTGCTACATTATATGTATGTATATATATATATATATGTATATATATATATGTGTGTGTGTATATATATACATGTATATATATATATATGTATACATGTATATGTATATGTATACATATGTATATATGTATATATACTCAATTTCAACAATGGTGCCCGGGCACCATGGAGCACCAAACAAATTTAATAAATATAAATATATATATATATATATATATATATATATATCGCTGCTACATTGGGATCTAAAGATAGGGTGTTCTATATATATTAAAACTGTTCCTTTTATATAAATTGCAATGTGTCCTTTTCGACAAGATTGTGCGAGATTATCAGAGAAGCACCGCACTGTCAACTCGCACGGATTCTTAATTCCTGCCATTTCTTTTGCTATTTGCGAGTTGTGACCTTACTTGTTATAGCAACCTTGGGGATTTTTTTTTTGTCGGGGCTGTCATAAATCATTAACCAACAGTCGATGTAACTGCACACCAACTGGTTGATTATATTACGACATGCTGACCATATAATTCTTGTAGTAGGTTTCAGTCTCCAAAATACTATCACAAAAAATGTTTCAGTTTAAATTTGAACTAATGAGTATTCTTAAGACACCGGAGTGTCTGCCAAGTAAAGATGTTAGCCTTCATTCCTTTTTTGAAAAAAGAAGTTGCTCACTAGCTAGTGATGCAACAATTATTCACAGGCCATGATCCTGTTAATTAAGGATTTTTTTAAAAAAAATTGATAGTGGTCAGCTCAAGCTCTTTTTCCTCCTGAGTCCTGACAATGCAAGCTAGCTAACCCCATGCTAAAGTCCACAATAATATATAGTCCATGGATTCCTCATGCATATATATAAAGTTAATTATAAACAAGGCATCCTAATTGTCCATTAATTATAGATTCTTATTATCCATCTAGCAATAATTAAACTACTACATCAAGCAGCATCTTCATCCTGTAGAAAGAGTACACACTACTTTGCAGCCAAAGGGGAACCATAATGCGAGTGAAAGAAGAGATTCTTTAATTAATTCCTTCATGCTAGCTACTGGAATACTAGTTAATAGCTGTTTGGTTCACTCCCTCACTTTGTCAAACTTTACCACACTTTCTAGAATACTTGTTTGTTTCACTTCCAAAGTTGTGGCATGCCAAAGTTTTTCAATTCAAAGTCTACATGTCATACACCTATCTTTTAGCTAAAAGTTGCCTAAGGTGTGGTCATCAATTTATAAGCCACAAATTTAGCTAGGTTTGGCAATGTTTAGGAGTGAACCAAACAACTCCATGTGTGCATGTGTGTGCAATATGCCACCGAACCCCATCAGCGATTGTTTCCTTGCCGAAAAGCGTGGAGCCTTTTCCTCTCGCTGGGTCTTGGCATGGCAGATTGATTGGCAATGGTGGTGTTTGTATGGTAGTACATGCTTCCTCCGTTTTTTTAATAGATGATATTGTTGATTTTTAAAACATATATTTGATCATTTGTCTTATTTAAAATAATTTATAAGAACAAATGTATAAGATATAAATCATGCTTAAAGTATTTTTAAGTGATAAAACAATTCATGACAAAATAAATTAGAATTAGAATAAGACGGATGGTTAAACATGTGATAAAAAGTTAACATCGTTATCTATTAAAAATTGGAGTATATGTATTATATGTATATGCATGTGGTGTGCATGACATGAGCCGTAAGGCAAGGTGACATTTCTGATGACAATCAAAGCTTTGCTTGCGTCTTGCGTCGTGTTGTGTTGAATTGTTTGCTGCTTCGTTCCAGATGAAAAACAAGCGGCAATGAGCAGAAGAATACAGCGATCGATCGAGTTCGTTCTTGGTTGCTAACTGGCAGGGGCGGAAAAACAGCTAGCTGGAAGGTCGTGGCTTGGAACGGCTCAAACTGGTGGTCATATAATGAGTCGAACGGGGCCATGTTTGGATTTTTTATCTCATGAGCTTATGAGCAGTTCATCACGAGCTGCTTGTTTTTTTACTCCCTTCGTCCCTAAATATTTGACGTCGTTGGTTTTTTAAAATATGTTTAACCGTTCGTCTTATTAAAAATTAAAATTTTAAGTAATTATTAATTCTCTTTTTATCATTTGATTCATGGGTAAATATACTTTTATGTACACGGTCAATCATATTTTAAAAAACCAACGGAGAGGGAGTACACTAGTAAAAATGATCATTAATTGTGTATATATGCTTTATTAACTAGTACGTAGTATTTTAATTGCATCCAAACCATTTGTATTTACTTTTTTTTTACCGCAGTCAGTAAAGGTTTCATCGGTCGTTTTGCCATTCAATCCTATATATACTTATATAGTTCATCCCCACTAAATGTAGTTAATGATATTCTCTCTTCTCTCATTAAACCACATCAACTCAATTATTTCTATCTTTTAGATGATAGATCTATGGTCTAAATTGTCTATTCTTTCTTCTCTCATTAAAAACATGCAATCTCAATTATTTTTTAGGCTTAAAATTGTATCAAATTGTTTTAGTTTTGATAATCAAATTACATTTTATTTTTACATATTATGCAATTTAATTTTCCGCAGCAACGCGGTGGGGTATTAATCTAGTTTAACTGATGAGAAAGGCTTGAGGGCGATCTTCTGGCTAGCCAGTTCTAAAAAAAATTGTCTCACCCCTCTCTTAATAAATTTCGATACGGGCCCCCTTCCTCTCATATCCAATGCCTAATTTCCCAACCACTAACCACACAAGCGCGACGTCTATCTCCTGATGTAATTCACACCTATGTATGTGACACCATTCCATTTACCTCCGGTTGCTGAACCTAACCGGAGGCAAAGAATATACTTCCTCCGTTTCAGGTTATAAGATGTTTTTATTTTTGGTTAAAGTCAAACTGCTTTAAGTTTGACTAAGTTTATAGACAAATATAGTAATATTTACATTACCAAATTAGTTTTTTAGTAAATTAATAATTGAATATATATTTATTAATAAATTTATCTTGAGTCGAAAATATTATTATTACTTCTATAAACTCGGTCAAACTTTAAGCATTGACTTTGACCAAAGTTAAAACATCTTATAACCTAAAATGGAGGGAGTATTAGGTTGTATCACATTTTTTTCTTATATTAGTTTATTTTAGAATGGAAGGAGTACGCGAGATAGAGACCAACATAGTACACATAGAGATCGGCACCACTTGTCCACTTCACTCCTCACCACCATGGTGGCATGGCGAATTATTGCGCCCCCATGAGCCCATGCGGCAGCCTTCCCCTTCCTCATGCAGCTATACCTTGAGGTGGAATCCGGATCAGGTGCAGTCGCTGCTGGGACTGCAACTTAGGCAGTACCAATTTTCATCAACAGATGCAAATGGAACGGTCCAGATCAGTGAGGCATACTGTTTATAGCACTGTAGCAAAACACTGTAGTACATAATACTGTTTGTACGGTCGCTGTATCACTAGATCTGAGCCATTGATCACTGAAATGGACGGCTGAAATTGCTTGCAGTTCTTAAGTTGCAGTCACAGCTATAACTGCACCTGATCTGAATCCCTTGAGGTGCACCTGCATATGGATTGATCCACAGCTGTAGTAGCTGGAGAGTGGACTCCAGCCCAGAGGATGGCACAAGGACAATGCGATCGTCCATGTTATCTTTCTTCTTTTCTGAACCTCTCTGATCATCTCCCTGTTTCTTCCTGAATCTTTGCTCCCTCTCCCTCATGGACCATGCATGGATTGATCCATCATCCATGACCCACACAGGGCGAGGAGAGGCTAGCAGATCTTTGCAAGGGTCCCCCCTCCAACAATCTCATGAACTTGGGTACATGCAAGCCCACATTGTACATGTAGTGCAGCACATGGAGTGAATGTACCTGCACAGAACAGTGCAGACAAACAGAAATGAAACTGTGCATTCCATTCCAAGACAAGAAGGGTTGAAAATTCACAAGCAGGAGGGTTTTTGGTCACTATCTATATGTGCCTGCAGAGTCTGTTGATATATGTAGTAGTACTACTAGTCTTCAGGCATTGCACAGCTGGAGTACTATATAACATGTCCATCCATGATTGTCTCATGGTAGTACAGTACCTGACAGCTGCAATTCTTGGGCTATCTATCCATCTATTTTTCTTTCTTTCTTTCTCCTACAATATACAATGGCGATTAATTAATTAATTGATCATGTATCAATCACACCCTAATTAAGCATCCATCACCGATCTTGGTTTCTCATCATCTGGCCATCTCCATTTCTTTCTTGATTTTTTTTCTCTTATTTTTTCTCACGGTTTTCCGGCGTCGCTGCGTTTGAGCAGTGGACAGTTTGAGCAAAATTTGCGGCGGAGAAGAAGATGGTGGCTGTGACGTCACGGTCACTGCCGCTTCTGTGCATCCGCCAGCGCCTTGATGCCGTCGATGTCGAAGTCGACGGCGGGCGACACCACGGCGGAGGAGGGCCTCCTGCTCAGCGGGAAGAGCTTCCCGCCGCCGCCGCCGCCGCCGCTCCGCGCCGGAGCATCGTTGCTGCTCTTGCTCAGCCTGTCGTTCTTGCTCAGCTGCGCCGCGGCTGCCACCGCCGACGAGCTGTCGCCGCCGGCGCCGCCGCCGCCGCGAGCTGACGACAGCTCCTGGCTCCTGCTGTGACAGGGAGCGCGACGCCGGCGGCCCGCGTACACGTCCTGGAGCATCGCGCGGTCCTCCCTGGTGAGGCCACCGCCGGTGCCGCCGCTCGGCCTCGCCACCGCCGGCGGTGGCGGCGAGGACGACGACGTCGTCGTCGGCACCTGGTGCGGCGGCGTGAGGGGAGGGGAGCGCACCGGCGACCTGCTCGGCGACCTGGACCTGCCACCGTTGCTTGGGCGGCTGTAGCTGATGAGGTGGTGAAGCCACAGGACGAGGTCCAGGATGCACGCCTCCGTCTTGGCCTTGTCCGCATGGTAGAATGTCTCGATCTTGATCACGTCTGGCTGCCCAGCCGCCCTCCGCATCGCATCGTTCCTGTGTAAATAAATTAGTTTGGAATTAAACATGATGAGAATTTCTTGCGTTCAGTAAGCTGGATGTACTGTACACACGCAATTGCGCTGCTAGATAATGATACGGAATATATTATGTATAAAAGATAATATAACAATACAGCAATGCAACTCGTACGTACATGCTTCCAGATGAAAATGTGATAATATTCCTGTGGAACAACTCTAACTGATTTGATGTATATTCGAGCATTCGACCAATCTACAGTTTTATACTCCCTTCAACCCTAAATATTTGACGCCCTTCACTTTTTTAAACATGTTTAACCTTTTTTTTTCAAAAACTTTTATGAAATATGTAAAACTATATATATAAATAAAAGTATATTTAAAAATAAATCAAATGATAGGAAAAGAATTAATAATTACTTAAATTTTTTAAAATAAGACGAACGATCAAACATGTTTAAAAAAGTCAACGGCATTAAATATTTAGGGACGGAGGGAGTAATTTATAGTTTGAACTTTGAACTTGTTAAAATCAACAGCGCGAAGTGTTTTTCTTGTTCTCTGATTAGCATGGTAATAATTTTTGGTCCTGTTTTCTCATGTTTTGATAACACAATAATTGGACTGATTAATTGATGGAGTGCACGGATGAGCAATGATGAGCATCTAACCCTGTGTTCGCCCACTCGCCGACCCATCCGAATCCATGGTGAGCTCTGATGTAGCATACAAGCAATGATGAACAGAACGTCAGTATCTGGAGTAGAATCAAAGGCTGGCTGGATCTTTTCAGTGCTATACCTGGCTGTATTGTTGGCAATAGGGATAATCCATTGCAAGGTTCTCTCCATTGAAGATCTGATTTCAGTGATCGGAACCTACCACAGCAAGACACAAATTTAGGATGTGAATCACTAATGCAATTTATCGAGCGATTCTTTTATTAAGCATCAAAATACCTCTTGTGGTTGTGGGCAATTATGTAGTTTTTTTCGAAGAGCAGACTTAATAGTTGGGGGCAGTCCTTGATAGAGCGCATCTCTTGTGCTTTGTGGTGGAACGGTGCTTCGGGAAACCTTCGGTTAGCCAAAATCAAGTCAGTAAACAGATTCAGTAATTCAGTCAATGTTCAACAAATAATTGTACTTGATGTCAATTCAGTAGAAGTATAATTTGCATTATTTTCTTTACTAGAATCATAAGATCTCTAACTCTACAAATATATTTTTCAGCAAAAATTTGTGACTTGTGACTGTAACATTTACAGAGGTTGACTGCCTGAACACAAAAGCAGCAGTTCTGAAAGAAACCATTGCAGTTTAAGAATCCCAATAACTTAAGTGGCTTTTCAAATTCTATCATTCTATCTTTCTCATGCCATTGTCCTGTATGGCCATAACTTGGGGGAATACAGACCATACTTTCGAGCGGATAATATCATAGTATGGAAAAATATCACCAGCTATTAAATCCTATGGGAAAACATTGACAGTTCACCTGATAAGCTTAAGATCATCTAAATTTTGTGTATTGACATGAACAGAAAAATATATAAATAACCTGAAGAAAAACTTACAATGTTGTCAATCTGTGAAATGATATTGGCATAGTGCAGCGAGAGGCCAGCTGATCCTAACGTCTGACGGCTCTCTGAAGGTTGATTCAATTGTAAAGCTCCATCTACAGAAAAAAGGGAGACCAAAAGCATGGAGAAGTCCAAAGTAATCAGTTGGTAACCATACTGAATTAGTGACTTGATGATTGAAAATTCTGAGCAACTAGGCATACCATAGGTCCCAAAAGATTCTTGAATCTCTACATGTAAAAAGTGGACAATATCCACAAGTTTATCCATGACCTACAAACAGAATGAAGATTACATGGTTCAGATTAACCATTAAACCCAGATGACAGGGTTATCTTTCTGTCATTATACAAACATTTCATCTCATGCAAATTTCAGTACAAACGCTTACGTCTTCGAGCATCTTATTCCAAAGGGACTTTTTCTTCAAGCTTTTCACATGCCTCCTTTGGCTCTTCAATTCTTGCCTTATAATCTGAACAGTGTCCCCTGCTCATTCATTGTACTCAAACAATCATTCTCAAAGGGAACGACTAATGGCTTCCTAATTCAATCTACAAGGGTGTGAGGTATTGATGATGATAGGTGTACCTCTTTCAAAAGCAACTGATTTTTTCTCTTCCTCCAATTTACGGCGATAATCTTGCTCAAATCTATCTAATGCATGCAACTCATGGTACAGATCCTATGAACAATATAAAAATGAAACAGAAACTGTATTAGGAAAAGCTAGCATGGAGCAGATGGACATGGGGTGAAATATGCATAGCAAACAGATTAATGATTGACGCAAACATGATCTAGTAGCATAATAAATAACACTTGGAATCGATTCTCGTTTCAGTATAACCACTAAATACATACTGCCTCCAAAATCAAAGCGTGACATTTCCTTTTCCTTTTCAAACTCAACTGTAGCAACTTTGATCACTGAATTCTACTATCATATATCCAGAAAAATATGTGTGTTATACCATAAATATTTCACTCGTATCATTTTCATTGAAACCATATATTCCAGAGAATGTTCTGTCAAAATTATCGTGGTTGCACACATTCTATGATCGCATTATTTCGTGACTAGGGGAGTATTTAAGGGTGTAATGTACTCACAGCCGTGTGCCGAACCAGTGTCAACAATTGCTGCATCTCTGCTTCTGCTATTTCTTTCAAGTTTGGTTGAGGCGTAATTTCTGATTCTAGCCTGGAAGCAAACAAGCACAAGATCAAAACCGAGTTCATCATACTCTGATATCAATCATCAGGACATGTAATCAGTGTGAAGCTGTGAACCTACTTGGAAAAATAGCGATCGAGGTTGTGCCACTGAGTATCCTTGCAACGATTGCCAAATCTGATCACCTCTCGCGAAAATAGCGCCAGCTCTTGCCTGCAAAGATGACCAGAATGTGAAGATCTCATTTACAGATCATGGAAGTTAGAACTAGAGCAACAAGATCACTCTCATCCATCACAAACCTCTTGTCGGCTGCAGCAATTCTCATCAACTCACTCATATCGCTAGAAACCAAACGCTTTACGCCCTCCGATCGGAGGACGGTCCCCTTCAAGTATCTGACGCTTTCTTTGGACAGAGACTGCATCAGGCTCATGCCCTTCACTATTGTGTTGGCAACCTCAAACGCAAGAATCTTTTGTGGGCTCCCCTTCATCTTCGCGCCCGCCACAAACCCACCTACAGGGCTCAAATTCGTCATGCTGCTGCTCAGTGTGTCCAAAACCTCCACTGCTTTCCCAATCCCAGATGTGCTGGCTCTACCAAACACCGAGCCTTTGTCTGAAGCCTGCAAAGAGTGCACCATTACACGGTGGAAACCGGTCAGCAGCCAGCAGGTCAGGAGAGCTTATTCAGAAATGCAAAGCTCATGCCTGAATATGCACAATCTGATACACATACACAGAAAAAAAAATAAAAATAAAAGGCAACTAGATCATTGTCTCATTGTTTATGCTACAAATTGCAGTGTAAGAAATGCCTAAATTACGTCAACAAAATAAGACGGAGTCCACATCTTGCAGTCTCTCAACTTTGAAGCAAAAATGTTCATGATCGATGTTAACCATCTATTAATCCAAATGGCAATGCTAATCCTGTTGCTTGAAGAAATAGAGGGGGGAAAAAGAATCGGGAGACTTGCCTTGCCGGAGGTGCTTGTCCTGGACTTGCCGGCCTTGAGCTTCTCCGACGAGGAGCGCACCAGCTGCGGCTCCTTGGAGACCGACCGGCGAGCCTTGCCGCCGCCGCCGCCGGTGGACAGCCGGGGGGCCTTCTCGGGGGAGAGGCGGCGCGGCGGATCAGGCTCCGGCGCCACCTCCACCGGTGCCGTCTTGTGCTTCCCCTGCACCTTGCCGGCGACGGCCGGGAACGCCTTGAGCTCCTGCTCCACCACGAGCCCCATCGCCCGGAACGACAGCTCCGCCGGCGACCTGTCCCCCGGGATCCCCGCCGAGCACACGCCGCCCATCTCGGCCCCCAACACCCAATGCGCCGCCGCCGCCGCCGACGAGCTCACAACCCAAACACCTCCACCACCGGAATCCACCGCCGGCGATCGACAACCAAACGAGCAAAACAGGATCCGCGCCAATCCCACCACCGCAATCCACTGCCACTGGACGCCGCAAAGATCGCGAACACCACCAAGAACGCTAAGTCTCCCGCGTTGCCGACGACGACGACCACTACCACCACCACCACCAAGAACGCAAAAATCCAACTAAACCAAGCGAAAAGAAATAGAGGAGAGACGAGGCGAGGCACCAAACAAGGGAAGAAGAGGAAGGAAGGCGCGGATCGCGTGCGAAGTCGTCGCCGCCGCCCGCCGCCCGCCCGGTTTTAGTCAACAAAGCCGGGCGTCCGAGACCAGATTTTTCTCGCCCCGCGGCTGCGCCACCGCCAACCCCCCCGACAGCGAGAGAGCGCGCGCCGCCGGTGTGGCCGGACGGCGAGGTTTCTCCGGTGTGATTTGATCGGAGTCGGAGGAGGAGGAGGAGGAGGAGTGCTCGCGATCGTCGCTAGGCGAGGCGAGCTTTGGGTGGGCGACTTTTTGTGGGTTTTTTGTTTCTAAAAAAAGGGGGGGCGAAATGGTGCAAAGTCCACGGTCGGGGGTGGATTAAAAAAATGTACGGGCTGTCAGCCCACCGCAGCGATGGAGCCAATGACTTTTGGTTGGGTTTGACTTTGGGCGCTTTGTCGACTACCCCCACCCCCACCACACCACCACCACACCACCCCTCTCTCCTCTCATCCTCGTATGCTCCTCATCAATATCACACTTTGGCTTGGTCACAATCAAAATTTTTTAATCACAAAAGAATATAGATAAATCTTGGCCATAGTCAAAATGGGTTTGAAATTTCGAATTTGTAGTATTTTTACGGTGTTTTAATTCGTAGTTTTTTTTTTGCCTTTGTTGTGACTATTTTTTTCCTAGCATGTAAGAAATCAAACAATGGCAATACGGTCTTCCTTGCAATGGGCCTTTGTGGAAAGGGAAAAAAAAACTAAAGTGTGGATAGAACGGTGCAGGGTACGATGACGCAAAGATATAACGCGTGGTGTTGAATACATGTGTAAGGTTTTCTTCGTTTAGACGTCTTCAGTTTTTGTTGCGTGGCTAGCATCTACGTAGGTTTATATCAGCTATTTATTTTTATTCATTTATCACTCGTTCGTCACACCATAGCTGAACCGCTTATCTCTTCTTTCTAATATTTTATTATACTTTAGATATCATCATACTATGGACACTTATGTTTAGAGATGACAATGGGTCGGTCGAGTTTGGGTGGAGCAAGAACATGCTTGACCCGAGACCCGAAAACTCCTTGTCCGCCCATGTGCAATACTCTTCGCTGGGTGGGAAAAAAAACCATATCCATGCTCGTCGGGTACTGGGTACCCACTGGTACCATGAGTTTTTAACCAACATGACGGAACTATCTATTAATAGGTATAGACTGTCATAATTAAACATCTATTGTTAACTAGCAAGTATAAAAACCACAAGCAATCTATGTACAAGTTATAGTCATTCGCAAAGTATTAAGTATATATCAAAATTAATAATTCTACCACTACAAATTATAGTAGCCTAGGACTATGTTGCAGTTGCCACCACTTCACTTGGTCACAGTCATTTTTTTAAGATAATGTGTGCCCACAGTCAAAACTGGTTTGAATTTTTGAATATGAAGCCTTTTTATGGTGTTTGGATTCGGTAGGTTTTTGCTTTTGTCATGATAGATTTTGGTGTAGCATCGTTCGCACGTAAGAAAAGGTTCCAAATGGGATGGTGTGAAAACAAACAATGGCAATAGGATCTTCCTTGCAATCTGCCTTGTAGGAAGGGAAAGAAAGGCAAGTGTGGGTGGAACGGTGCAGGGTGTGATGACACAAAGAAAATGTGGGTGGAACGGCGCAAGGTGTGAGATGACATGGAGATATAACGTGTAATATTGAATATAAGTATAAGGTTTCCTTCATTAGTACGTCTTCAATTTTGTTATGTGGCCAGCATCTACGTGTGTTTATATTAGCTATTTGTTTTTATTCATTCATCACTCTTTTCTCACACCATAGTTGAACCGCTTGTCACTTCCTTTTAATATTTTATTTTACTTTTAGAGGTTGTCATATCATGTATATTTATGTTAGATTTAGATCTACTACATCTTTTTTTTCACTCCTCCGTCACACTAAGATTGGATCACTTGCATCTTTTTCCCTATATATTATTTATTTATAGGAGTCGTCAAATCTTCAGGCACTTATATGTCCTCATATCATATGTTTTTTCATTCATTTATTGTTCTTTCATCACATCATGGTAAAAGAACCTACCTCTTCTTTCTTATATATCTTAAATTCTTAATCTTATAGGTTGTCGGACCATAACACATCAATGTCAATCAAAACAATGACATCCCTGTCCGTTTTTGAACCAACAGTGGATAATTGATGATGATGATAGTTCGAGGTACCACAACCGGGGTTTGAAACGACTACCATAAGTAGTATCATTGCCTATTCCTCACATTAATCGCTGGTGATACTGATTTTCAAAAAAAAGGATGTAATCAATGCAAAAAAAAGTGATACAATTTGCATTGATTCATAGTAAATTGTGTTCATATAATCATTCATACACACTGATAAACAATCCAACTAGAATCACACACTTACATTCGTACAGATTTATCCAACAATAACAAATAAATTCATTGTGATATTAAATACATGTTTTCCTACAAAGGCAAAAAAAAATAGAGGGAGAAAGAGATGTGTAGGCAGAACGGTGTGGGATGAGATGACGCGAAGATAGAATGTGTGATATTAAATATGAGTGTAAGATTTTCTTTATGAAAGTGCATCTAGGCCCCTAATGATTTTGATGATTGATTACAATGCGATTAGAGAGGACTAACATTTTTATTCAAGCAAATATGAAGGTTGTTATGTCCTCAACGTGTTGTAATACAATGCATATCCCATGAATGCGACATAGCGATGCAATGCGGCAATGATCAAATGGTATATTGTATCTTTTTCCTCGCATTGTGTCGTAGGAAAGCCATACTATTAAGGGGGATGATGCATAGACATATAAGGAGTGATGCATGTGCTCAAAATCAATTTTTCTTCGAAGCATTTCTCTTTTGGAGCGTTCTGGAAATTTTCGGAAGTTCCGAAAAGAATTTTTAGAAGTTCCGAAAATACACAGAACCGTGTTTGAGCGTTCTGGAAATTTTCGGAAGTTCCGAAAATACACAGAACCGTTTGAGAGCTCTCTGGAAATTTTCGGAAGTTCCGAAAATACACAGAAGCGTTCTGGAAATTTTCGGAAGTTCCGAAAATTGCGTTGACTTCGACTATTTCTCATATCTGGAATTTTCGGAAGTTCCGAAAATCCCTTTTATTGCACTCCAACGGGCAGATTTGTGATGTGGGTATAAATACCCACCTCCCCTCACTTGTGAGGGCTGCTGGTTCCATTCCAATTATTTGTGCCATTGGCTTGCTCTCTCTCTAGTTCATTTGAGCCTTGCTTCCTCGATTCATCTCTCCACCCGTGTTTGATTTGGATTTGGTGTGTGTGTGTGTGAGAGTGTGGATTCGAGTTTGTGTGGGTGCTTCTTGTGGTCTTTGTGAAGATTTGTGAGCACTTGCATCATCTCCGGGAGTTCTTTGCATCATCTTTTACTCTTGGAGGTTGAGGACTCCTAGACGGCTAGGTGTCACTCCCGAGCCACCGATCTACTTGTGGTTGGCCGGGAGAAGTTTGTAAAGGTCGGATCTCGCCTCCGCAAGGGTAGAGATACCTCTTAGTGGAAGGAGGAGTGCTTAGTGCAACCTCTTGAGGAAAGGGTTAGCTAAAACCCGGCTCTTAGTGAGCTCCTCAATGGAGAGTAGAATCCCCTCAAGGATTTGAACTCCGGGAACAAGTTTGCAAGCTTCACCTTGGTGATATCTCTTCATCCCTCTCCTCTAACTTTGCTTGCTTGTGCCGCTATTGGTCTAGTTGCTGTATGTGCCTTTGATTACATGTGGTAGACTTCTAGATCTAGATACTTCTTTTTATGTGCGCTGCTCTGTGCATTTTTGGAAGTTCTGAAAATCCTTTCGGAAGTTCCGAAAATTCCCAGCCTAGTTCCGAAAATTACTGCTTCCGCTTTACTTAAGTTTTTAAATTAGCCTATTCACCCCCCCTCTAGGCCTAATTGACCTTTTCAATTGGTATCAGAGCCTAATATCCTAATTAGGCTTAACCGCTTGGAGAGATCATGTCGGGCCAAGCAGGGGATGGGATCGATGGTGATAAGGGAGCTAAGATCCCTTATGACTATCCCCCTACATCTACATCTTATGTGAGTACCTATAGCGGCAAAGCTCCATATTTCAGTGGTACGGACTATGCCGCTTGGAAGCATAAGATGAAGATGCATTTGAAGTCTATTAACCCATCTATTTGGAGAATAGTCGAAAAAAGCTATGTTTTGCAGAATCCCGAAGATCCCACCAAGGAGGACGACGAGAACGAGCACAAGAACGCTCAAGCCGCTAATGCAATACTTAGCGCCTTGAGTGGAAGTGAGTTCAACCGTGTGGATGGCATTGAGAGTGCCAAAGTGATTTGGGACACGCTTCGGAACTTGCATGAAGGCACGGATAGTGTTCGTGAGTCCAAGGTGGAGATCCTCAAGGGGCAATTTGAGAGATTTGTGATGTTGGATGGTGAGAGCCCAAGCGACATGTACGACCAGTTGAGCAAGATCGTCAATGAGATCAAGGGACTTGGCTCCAAGGACATGACCAATGATGTTGTGGTCAAGATGATGGTTCGAGCAATCACTCCAAGGAACTCTACCTTGGTGATCATCATTCGTGAGCGTCCGGACTACAAGACTCTCACACCTCGTGATTTTCTCGGACGCATCCTTGCCCATGACATGCTCGTGCAAGAGTCCAAGGATGTCATCCAATACATCAACCAAAGCTCAACCGCAAGCATCAAGAAGGAAGACTTGGCTTTGAAGGCAAAGGAAGAAGAAGAAGAGAACCGCAAGAGCAAGAGCAAGGCGGAGATCGATGATGAAGAGATGGCTCTCTTCGTCAAGAAGTTCGGCAAGTTCATGAGACGAAGCGGCTTCTTCAAGGGAGGTTCTTCCAAGCACTACTCCAACAAGTCAAGTGGAAGACACTCCGCAAGAGTGTGCTACGTGTGCAAAGAGCCCGGGCACTTCATTGCGGATTGCCCCCACCTCAAGGATGGTTCCCACATCAAGGAAGATAAGAAGAAGGGTGAGAAGAAGGATGAGAAGAAGGAGAAGCACAAGCATAGGAAGCGGGAACATTATGGCCAAGCTCACCTTGTGATGATCTTCGGCTCCGACTCCGAGTCAAGCTCAAGTGATGAAGAAGGAGTCGTCGCGTTCGCCGTCAAGCCTTCATCACCACCAAGACTCTTCGACAACTCAAGTGATGAGGATGCTCCCATTTGCCTCATGGCAAAGGAGCCTAAGGTACCTTCTCCTCTCAAGTCATTTAATGTTGATCTTGTTAGTGATGAGGAGGATGAGGTTATGGATGACGAATTGTTTAAATCCATAACTAAGGAATCCCTACCACACTTGAGTGAGTTGCTTAGGAAAATTGAGGACCAATATGCAACACTTGAGAGGCAAGATGTTTTGCTCATTCGTGAGAAAAAGCGGTGTCATGAACTCAAGAGTGAGCTTGCTAAGGAGAGAGAGAAAAATGAGGCATTGGTACAGCTTTACAAGCAAACCAAAGAGTCTCATGCTAATCTTGAGGTGGCGAACGCTCAACTTCAAGAGAGAGTGGATGGCTTGGACAAAGCATACCTCTCTCTTGAAGAGAAGTTCGAAACCTTAAAGAATAGTGTCTCTCTCCCTAGCGAGCCATCTTGTTCAAAAATTGTCCCAAGCGATGAACCATGTGTGAAATGCAAAGATATTGATATTGAAGCTTGTGCTACTAACTCTATTTCTTTGAGTGCTTTGCAAAAGCAAAATGAGAAGCTTATGGGACTCCTTCACAATGGCCTACTTAAGTGCCATATGGGTAGTAAGGCCCTAAAGGAGTACCTAGGCTATCAAAGGGACAACTTCAACCATGAGGGTCTTGGGTATGTTCCTCCACCAAAAGGAAAGGTGGACAAGAGTGTGATGATCAAGAGTCCCTAAGGTCTTAGCAATTTTGTTAAGGCCAAAAGTATCCTTACTAATGATTATGCTTCACATGGTTCTTTTGATGCATCTTATGTTCTTAGGAAGAATGCTAGTGGTTATGTTGTTGCTAAGTATGTAGGCCTAAGGGGCAAGAATATTTCTATCAAGAGAGTACTTTGGGTGCCTAAGGCACTTGTTACTAACATGAGAGGACCCAAGCAAGTATGGGTACCTAAAACTAGAAATTGATCTCTTGTAGGAATATGTCTCCGGTGGAAGAAGTTGGGTGATTGATAGTGGATGCACCAATCACATGACCAGAGAAGAATCAATGTTTTCAACTCTTGATCCAAATGGCACTTCACAAGATAACATAGTCTTCGGGGACGATGAAAAGGGAAAGGTTATGGGATTGGGTAAGATTGCAATCTCTGATCTTTCCATTGCCAACGTTCTCTTGGTAAAATCTCTAAACTACAATCTTTTGTCCGTTTCTCAATTATGTTCTATGGGTTACAATTGTCTTTTTACCGATGTTGATGTGACCGTCTATAGAAGGAATGATTCCTCGGTAGTTTTTAAGGGTGTTCTCAAGGGAGAGCTTTACCTTGTGGATTTTTCCTCAAGTAAAGCCAAACATGAGACATGCTTAGTGGCTAAGTCTAACACGGGGTGGCTTTGGCATTGGAGGCTAGCCCATGTTGGTATGAGGAATCTTTACAAGCTTCTAAAGCACGATCACATCCTTGGACTAACAAATGTTCAATTTGAGAAAGATAGGGTGTGTAGCGCGTGTCAAGCCGGCAAACAAATTGGAGCACATCACCCCGTCAAGAATGTGATGACCACTACAAGACCATTAGAGCTTCTCCACATGGACCTCTTCGGGCCAATTGCTTATCTAAGCATTGGAGGTAACAAATATGGTCTTGTTATTGTTGATGACTTTTCACGCTTCACGTGGGTGTTCTTTTTGCATGACAAGAGTGAGACACAAGCCATCTTCAAGAAGTTTGCAAGAAGAGCACAAAACGAGTTCGACCTCAAGATCAAGAACATTTGAAGCGACAACGGCAAGGAGTTCAAGAACACGTGCATCGAGAGTTTCCATGATGAAGAAGGCATCAAGCACGAGTTCTCGGCTCCATATTCACCTCAACAAAATGGAGTAGCGGAGAGGAAGAATAGGACTCTCATTGAGATGGCGAAGATCATGTTGGATGAGTACAAGACATCGGACCGTTTTTGGGCCGAAGCCGTCAACACCGCATGCCACGCCATCAACCGCCTTTATCTTCACCGCCTTCTTAAGAAGACTCCCTATGAGCTTCTTACCGGTAACAAACCAAATGTCTCTTATTTTCGTGTTTTCGGTAGTAAGTGTTACATTCTTAATAAAAAGGCTAGATCCTCTAAGTTCGCTCCTAAAGTGAATGAGGGATTCTTGCTTGGGTATGGGTCAAATGAATGCACATACCGCGTTTTCAACAAAACCTCCAGTATTGTTGAGATCGCGCGTGATGTGACATTTGACGAAACTAATGGCTCTCAAGTAGAGCAAGTTGAATCACATGTGTTAGGTGAAGAGGAGGATCCGAGCGAAGCAATCAAAAGATTGGCTCTTGGGGACGTACGTCCTAGGGAGCCACAACAAGGAGCCTCTTCCTCAACACAAGTAGAACCACCTACATCAACCCAAGCCGACGATCCCTCTACCTCAAGCTTGAATCAAGGTGAAGAAGACGAGCAAGTTCCACCCTCACCGATCAACTTAGCTCGCCCAAGAATCCACCAAAGTATCCAAAGAGATCATCCCACCGACAACATCTTAGGAGACATCAACAAGGGAGTATCCACTCGTTCTCATATGCAAATTTTTGTGAGCATTACTCGTTTGTGTCTTCTCTTGAACCTCTAAGGGTGGAAGAAGCTCTTAATGATCCGGATTGGGTAATGGCGATGCAAGAGGAGTTGAACAATTTCACCTGGAATGAAGTGTGGACTTTGGTGGAGCGACCTCGGCAAAATGTGATTGGCACAAAGTGGATCTTCCGCAACAAGCAAGACGAGGCCGGGGTCGTAATAAGGAACAAGGTGAGGTTAGTGGCGTAAGGGTTCACCCAAATCGAAGGATTAGTTTTTGGTGAAACTTTTGCGCCGGTAGCTAGACTTGAGTCAATTCGCATATTGTTTGCTTTTGCTACTAACCTCAATTTTAAGCTATATCAAATGGATGTCAAAAGCACCTTTCTCAACAGGCCTATCAACGAGTTGGTATATGTGGAGCAATCACCGGGCTTCGAGGATCCAAAATATCCCAACCACGTGTCCAAGCTCCATAAGGCACTCTACGGGCTTAAGCAAGCCCCTAGAGCTTGGTATGAGTGTCTTCGCAATTTTCTTGTGAAAAACGGCTTTGAGATCGGGAAAGCCGATTCAACTCTTTTTACTAAAAGGCATAATAATGATATTTTTGTGTGCCAAATATATGTCGATGACATTATATTTGGTTCTACTAACAAGTCTTTTAGTGAAGAGTTTAGTAGAATGATGACCAAGCGTTTTGAGATGTCCATGATGGGTGAATTGAAGTTCTTCCTCGGCCTTCAAATCAAGCAACTCAAGGAAGGAACTTTCATTTGCCAAATAAAGTATTTGAAGGACATGCTCAAGAAGTTTGGAATGGAGAATGCGAAGCCAATCCACACTCCCATGCCATCAAATGGCCACCTCGACCTCAATGAGCAAGGTAAAGACGTCGACCAAAAGGTATACTGTTCCATCATTGGCTCACTCCTTTATCTTTGTGCATCTAGGCCCGATATTATGCTTTGTGTGTGCATGTGTGCAAGATTTCAAGCCGCTCCGAAGGAGTGTCACTTTGTGGCCGTGAAGAGAATTCTTAGATACTTAGTGCACACTCCTAACCTTAGTCTTTGGTATCCTAAGGGAGCGAGGTTTGATCTCATTGGCTACGCCGATGCGGATTATGCCGGGTGCAAAGTGGATAGGAAAAGCACATCGAGTACTTGCCAATTCTTAGGTAGGTCCCTTGTTTCTTGGTCTTCCAAGAAGCAAAACTCCGTCGCCCTATCCACTGCCAAAGCGGAATATGTTTCGGCGGGGAGTTGTTGTGCTCAACTTCTTTGGATGAAGCAAACCTTGAGAGACTATGGCCTAAATGTGTCCAAAATCCCACTCCTATGTGACAATGAGAGCGCCATTAAGATAGCTAATAACCCCGTCCAACATTCCCGAACCAAACACATAGATATTCGCCATCATTTCTTGAGAGACCATTCCACAAGAGGCGACATAGATATCCAACATGTGAGAACCGACAAACAATTGGCGGATATGTTCACCAAGCCTCTAGATGAAGCTAGGTTTTGTGAGTTGAGAAGTGAACTCAATATCTTGGATTCTCGAAACGTAGCTTGATCTTTTGCATACATTTGTTTTTGGTTTCTAGTATAGGTTACTTTACTCCTTGTGATAAAATGAACATTCAATTCATGGATGGACACTAGTCACATTTTTGTGGATATTTTGAATCTATGTGTATGGGGATCTCATTTTTCAATGAATGTTGGTCCTAACACAATTTGCAATAGATTCGCACATTCCCTCTTTCGAGGGTGAATCATCTTGTCTCATGGTAATTCACTCTCATTTGATCTTTGGATCATCCATTTGTCTTGTGGCTATTGTTTTGTGTGGTTTATTGCGTGCTAGCCATAAGCTCAAATGGGGCCTAAATGTTCGACCATTCTTTTCACTCCATCTCCTATCAAAGGTTTGCAAATTGCTTTCATCAAAATTCCCGGTGCAAATTCCCTTGAAAAAAATTGTTTTGGAAGTTCCGAAAATCCCTTTTATTGCACTCCAACGGGCAGATTTGTGATGTGGGTATAAATACCCACCTCCCCTCACTTGTGAGGGCTGCTGGTTCCATTCCAATTATTTGTGCCATTGGCTTGCTCTCTCTCTCTCTCTAGTTCATTTGAGCCTTGCTTCCTCGATTCATCTCTCCACCCGTGTTTGATTTGGATTTGGTGTGTGTGTGAGAGTGTGGATTCGAGTTTGTGTGGGTGGTTCTTGTGGTCTTTGTGAAGATTTGTGAGCACTTGCATCATCTCTGGGAGTTCTTTGCATCATCTTTTACTCTTGGAGGTTGAGGACTCCTAGACGGCTAGGTGTCACTCCCGAGCCACCGATCTACTTGTGGTTGGCCGGGAGAAGTTTGTGAAGGTCGGATCTCGCCTCCGCAAGGGAAGAGATACCTCTTAGTGGAAGGAGGAGTGCTTAGTGCAACCTCTTGAGGAAAGAGTTAGCTAAGACCCGGCTCTTAGTGAGCTCCTCAACGGAGAGTAGAATCCCCTCAAGGATTTGAACTCCGGGAACAAGTTTGCAAGCTTCACCTTGGTGATATCTCTTCATCCCTCTCCTCTAACTTTGCTTGCTTGTGCCGCTATTGGTCTAGTTGCTGTATGTGCCTTGGATTACATGTGGTAGACTTCTAGATCTAGATACTTCTTTTTGTGTGCGCTGCTAGCTCTGTGCATTTTCGGAAGTTCCGAAAATTCCCAGCCTAGTTCCGAAAATTACTGCTTCTACTTTACTTAAGTTTTTAAATTAGCCTATTCACCCCCCCTCTAGGCCTAATTGACCTTTTCACTTTATCCTGATATCTTTAGTTTTGTTTTGTAGCTAGCATATACGTGGGTTTATATCAGCTATTTCTTTTTTTTATTTATCACTCATGTGTCACACATCAATTTCTTTTCTTTCATTTATCACTCCTTTGTCACATCATAATAGAACCACCTATTTCTTCATTTTGGTTTTCTATCTTGCTCTTAGAGATCGTCGGACCATAGCATACTTATGTTATATTTAAATATACCACATAGTTTTCATCCATCTAGTACTCATCCATTGCACCATGATTTGATCACTTCCATCATCATCTCTCCACGTTCTATTTATTCTCAAAGGTCATTAGTTGTTCGAGCTATTTATTCATATAATCTATTTCTTTCTATTTATTTATCACTTCTTCACCGTACCATAGTTGAACCACTTTTCTTTTCTTTTCAATATTTTATCTTATTATTACATATCATCGAGCCATACCAAACGTGCGTTAGATTTAGATTAGTATATCTTTTCATATTCATCACTCCTCCATGATTTAACCACTTGCATCCTCATTCCATATTTTATCCATTTTTAGATATTGTCAAACCTTCAGGCAATTACATGGCCTTATATCATCTATCCCTTTTGATTCATTTGTCACTCATTCATCATACTAGAGTTGAATCTCCTATATCTTCTTTTTAATATGTTATCTTATTCTTTCAGGTCATCAGATCATATCACACTTACATTAGATTTAGATCTGCTATATCTTTTCGTTCAGTTATCACTCCTTCGTCACATTATGATATGATTTGAATACTTTTCTCTTATTCCATGTTTTATTTATTCTTAGAGGCCATCAAACCTTTGAGCACTTACATGAGCTTATTTCTTATATTTTTCTCTTATTCATTATCGCTCCCTCATCATACCATAGTTTGGTTATTTGGTTTATCGTTCTATGTTCTATACTATTCTTAGAGGTCGTTAAATATCATGACATTTATGTTTGGGTGGTCAGACTGGGTAGCCCGACTGTCAGACTGGTAGACTTCGAGGGAGAGTCGGTTTCGGGTTATTTTCGTGGAATTTCTAGATTGCTTCATGTTTATGACTTTCAGATGGTTCCTATTCGTATATGATACTATTGTGTGCTGATGTGAGTCAAGTTGGTGCGAACTTGTACTCGAATATGGAGGAGTATAACCGATGATAGATCAGGACTAGGCTTAGGAGAAGTTGAGGTCCAGACGGTCAAAGATATCATGTGGGATGCTCGGACTAGAGAACAATGCATATGGAGGTTAAGGTTTCCATATGGCATACACATGGTGTTGTGCGCGTATGGAAAAATGAGTCAAATTTGATTGGAGTCTAAGTTTAGGAATATTGGAGTGTGGAATTCTATGGGGATGTTGTTTCCCTGTTTTGGTATGTTTCCTATGTGATTAGAAGTCTTAGTTCTAGTTGGATTCGTGGCTAGAGACAACCACATTATGGGTATAAATAGAAGATGGCTTGAGGCTAGGAGAGATCATCTTTTGGAGAGAAAAATTAGGGTTTGCTTCGATGTTTCAATCCTAGTTTGTGAGTTGAGAGAGGAGTGATTTAGATGCACTTTGTAAACACATATTGATGCAATAAAGTTAATCTACTTTCAAGAGTTTCGTTGATACGCTTTTTTCTGGATTCCGACAATCAGACCGACATTTAATGAGTGGTTTAACCAGCGGGACCGACATTTAACGAGCGGTCTAACCAACGGGTAGTCCAATAGGTGTCAAGGAGGTAGTCAGACTAGTGACGTGCAAAAGTGTAATAGCCCTCCCTCCAGAATAGCATAGCCATCCCATTCGACGGACGAGCCCACTTACACATACCACCCCACTTACACTTTCATCCTTGTTTCGTGTAAAAGGTAAACCCAGGAGTGGCATGGTTGGAGGGAAGAGGATTTATAAGTTGGTTCCAACTTTGCTAACTAAACAAGCACATATCTCTCATGGGCAACACAGGCCAAATCCTAATTGGACCAGGATGTCACATACCCCCACCCCCCGCCACATAGGCCAAATCCTAATTAGGCCAGGATATCACATATACCCCCTTCAAAGGACCCGATGTCCTCATCGGCCCAACTTATCCAGGGGCGGGCCCACTATAATTCGTGGGTATTCAAATGAATACCCAAGATTTTTGAACAAAAAATACATATATGAAGTATATATTCCATATATGTATATATAGGAAAAAAGAAAAATACCTATACCCATTCAAAACTTAAAAGAAGCCCAAACTGAACCCTCCCACCACCCACCATTTTAGGTCCATTGACCCAATAGCAAATAAAAGCCCACATTTCTAACCCTATTTCTTCTCCTCACCTCCCCTTCCCATCCCAACCGGCCAACCCTCCCCACCCCAGCCGCCGGCCGCCAGGCGCCCTGCCCAGGCCGACGTGCACGCGCCGGTGCCTTGCGCCGTCACCGTGCCAGCCCAGCCGCCTGCGCGCAAACTTTTATTTCTGCTAAAAGTTTTGGTTTTTTTAATGTTCCTACCGTTCACTATTCTCTGATATGCTTGTTTTTTTTATATTCAAGCATATAACTCGGTGCTAAGCTCGAGGTTCAGTTTTGACTATAGTTTTAAACACGGTTTAATTATAAAATAAATTTTGTGAGAGGATCAGAACGTCAGATTTTCAGTACTTCCCTCTGCTCCGCATTCCGTCTCGGCTCAACTGCCCTCGAGGCCAAGCAAAAGCCCCCGTCGCTCTTGACTCTCTCTCTCTCTCTCTCGCTCGCGACAAGCAGCATGTCCCCACACGCGCACAACAATCGCAACCGCAAGCCACCTTGCTCTGCTTGCTACTCTCGTTGTTGGCGCGGCGCGGCCCGGCCTTGGGGGGGGATGGATGGGGATGTGGCTGGGGTGGGAGTGGGAGCAGCCATAGATTTCCTCCTCCTCCTCCTCCCTTAGCCGCCACCACCACCTCCCTCCACCACCATGCCGTCACCATCCCAGCCGTCCTCCTCCTCCTCCCCCAAGCTTCTCAACCCTAGCCGCAACGCAAACCCTCCACTCCTCCTCTCCCCTTAGCCCCCCCCTAACGCCGCCGCAAATTAACCGACGTCGACGATGATGCAGACTGCCGGGCGCCGCCGCCACCGATGGGTCAAGGAGTGGTCCGTTCCTCTTTCCTCCTCGAATTCCAATCCCTTCTTCTAATGGGAGAGAGCTTCTTGTTGGTTTGATTCGGATTCGGATCTGATCTCTCGTCCGCGCCACGCGCTTATACATGTTGTTAGGGTTCCGCAGGATCTGGTCGTCGCCGGTGGCCCATGCGCGCTCTACAAATGGGTGCGAGGTACGCCCCGCCCTCTTCAATTTTTTGCTTTGCCTCCCCGCCCTGTTACTACTTTGCTATGTGCGGTTTATCGTCCGTATGCTCGCGCGTGATGTTATCATGCGCGATGGGATCCCTTGCAGTTGCCGGCTGCTTGAATTCCATGGGAGGTTGGTTTATCAGAGAGGACCTGTTTAGGCATTTTTTTTCTGAATTGGCCCCTCCCCTGGCTAGCTTTACCGCAGGGGAGCTATGCGATTTGCTTGGCCTGTGACTTTGTGACAGCTTTGACGGTAATTAGTACGCGTTCTAAACAGCTAATGGATGTATGGATTATTTGTGCAACGCTCTTGGAAGTACGATTTCTTAAAAAAAAAAAAGAAGCTCTTGGAAGTACAATTTGTTTTTAAAAAAAAGCTTTCTACATCAGCATTGTTTAGATAAGTTTTTCTAAGCTTTTTGCTAGCTTTATACTCCCTCCATTTACTTTTGATAGGCATATTTCCAAATCTGAAAATTTTATTTTTCATAAGCATATTTCAATCCAACAACCTATCCTCTTAATGACTTTCTCAGATTTAATGCGTGACTCTCCATTCTTCCACACAAGATTGACTACATGGGCATCGAGAAATGTAAATATTAATGAATCGCTTGTTTACGAGGAATAACTAGTAGCATGCTTAAATGGATGATAAGTAGAATTACTTATCTTTGGTCTGTGTACCAAGATGAAATATGACCATCAAAAGTAGATGGAGTGAGTAATATTTAATCCATCCATATGAGCAATTTTCCTCTGTCTGTCTATGATCTATCCAATCACCCAGTTAAAACGCGCCCTTAGTTCGCTTTCGGTTTTCATGCTGTCCGTTCATTACTGTATGGCATAAGCATTGCAGTCCAAGTACCTGGGACTGCGAGGCACAGGTGTAGTCCTTTTGACTTTTGGAATAGTGAGATTTACTATGTTTTTTTTATCATTTCCAAATTTCAGACCCTATAAACCAATTTGTTCTAGTAAATAAATAACTTGATCTGAGATAAATGTAGCGAACAATTGAAATTTTGTCAAACGTTTTTTTAGCGAGTTACAAGTATATCTTTTGACCAATATCCCATGCCTTTGCAGTCTGCACTACATCTGAGCTTCACTTCGACATATTTATGAGCAGTGTAGAGTTCTCATTCGGCATGTCCAACCAATAAGGATACTAAACTAGTTGAATTCATTTGTTGGGCTTGGGCATGCCTTTTGTTCTGTGAACTACCCTTTCAGCTGTTAATATTTTCACCTTATTTCTTTACAGAGGATAGGTTGTCAGCTCTCAAATCCAGGGACAAGGAACAAGAAGCAGAACTGGCAAAACCTGAACCAACCACCGAGGTTCTCTTCCTGTGCAGCTATGAGGGCTGCGGGAAAACTTTTGTTGATGCAGGGGCTCTTAGGAAACATGCTCATGTTCACGGGGAGAGGCAGTATGTGTGTCACTATGCCGGTTGCGACAAGGTACTGCCTGTAATCTTTCTTGCCTGCGTTGGCCTTTCTGGATCACTATGGCATTGCTGCTTCTGGGTTGTTCGCTAATGTTATTTTCTTTTTGAATCTGACTTTGCAGAAATTTTTAGACAGCTCTAAGCTGAAGAGGCATTTTCTTATTCATACAGGAGAGAAGAACTTTGTCTGCCCTCATGAAGGCTGTGGAAAGGTAATTAATATGATCTCTCCATTGTAAACTTTGTCATTCATTTCTATTCCTTGACTGCATTTTCCGTACGATGCATAAATTTCAAATACATGTTAAATAGTCCATATGGAGTGGCATATCAACACTTATTCCCTTTCTCTAATAGTATTGAGTTTTTTTGGGCCATGCTTGGATATGGTCAAACATTCTAATTATGGAATAAACCCCCCACCCCCTTTGGCATTATCGGTAATTGTTGCTGTTAATTTGTTAGGTTTTGGTATGTTTCTTGTTAACATATTTGGTCCTGGTTATTGCAGGCTTTCTCATTGGATTTTAATTTAAAGGCACACATGAAAACACATTCTGTGGATAACTATCATGTGTGCAAGTACCCAGAATGTGCTCGAAGGTTTACACAGGAATCAAAATTAAGGGCTCATATCAAGCAACAGCATGAAAAGGTAAGATCTAATTATACCTCCAGATTTGTGCTTAGGAAGGAACCAGTTCTGACCACTTACTTTCATAACACTGATATAGGGTGGTCTCCAGAATCCAGGTGGGTCTGCAACAAACCGCAGTGGTCTAGCAGACCACTCCCATAATAGTCACACACCGAAACCGTCAGCAGCTCCACCCACTCCCTCAGCTGATCGCCCATACGTCTGTCCTTATGATGGTTGTGCCAAGGCATACATTCATGAGTACAAACTTAACCTCCATCTGAAGAAAGAGCACCCTAATCACTACCAGGATGCCGGTGCTCAAGCCGCCTCTTCGAAGATGTCGAAGCGAAGAAGCAAGCCCTCCTTGACGGCCAAGATGCCACTGCCCAAGGTCCCTAAGCGCAGGGGTTACACAGAGCCATACCAACCTCCTGTTAGTGTTGTCGAAGAGCACCAGTGGCCGAGGAATGTGCTGTACGAGGACGATAGCGAGGAGACTGAGGAAGAGGGAGATAATGTTGGGGACGGGGCGAGGTACAGAGCTGCTAGCAGCGACGACGATGAGGAGACTGAGGACGAAGAATGAGCTGCTCAGATCAGTCGTTTTTTCATCCAGTGCTTGTGCATATGATTTACAAAATCTTAGCTTTTGGGTTATAGTTTTGCATACATGTACAATATTCAAAATAAGGCTGGGTAGTTGGTCAGAATTGAGAATTACCCCCCTTCCTTCTGAATTATGCAGGTTGGTAATGTTGGGCTGCTCCCATTAATCAAATTCAAAAGGACAATCACAGAATACAATCATTGTTTGCAACCTTTTATGCTTTCACCTGCTTTTTTCAAGAGGTATTGGACCAAACTAACAATGCTTCGATGTGCTTACCAATGTTGAAGAATCACAGCTTTCTTCCACCTGACACGGCCGTGGTAATTCAACCTTTGCCGTGCATACGTGCAATGCAATGCCGTTCGGACACGGTGGTTTCGGCCCACAGCTATTATTTATGTCTGTTTGTGCTGGCTTTGAGCCCACTATTTTAAATTGAGGATTGGACCCATTGAATCCAGTAGAAACTATACTTTCTATATAGGTTATACAATTATTATAAGTTAAAGCTCAACATACAAGTATATCAACTCATCATCATTAGCTATTACTTCCTCCGTTTCACAATGTAAGTAGCATTTCCCATATATAAGTAGCATTTCCCATATATGAATGTGGAAAATGCTAGAATGACTTACATTATGAAATGGAAGGAGTACTTTCTCCGTCTAAAAATATAGCAACTTAGTATGGGATTTGACTCAACTTAAGACAATGAATTTTTATGGGTCAAATCTCATCCTAGATTACAAAATTTTAGAACAGATGTAGTAGCATCTTAAATTTTGTACAAGCATGACACGTTATCTTCTCCCTACGTCATTTTCATAATGTTTCAATATTCAATATCGTGCAATATTTCACGTATACCCATCATAAATTCCAAAGCAAAGCAGGTGTATCACCTAATTTTAACATAAGGTTCAGCCTAACGAAAAGTTTTCTTCTGTTTCTCTTCTCGAGTTTATGTGTTTCTCAAATTTCATTTTTTTTTCTGCAGTCTAATCAGGCACTAGTTATTTCTGTATTATTTACAATCCTTTGTTTTTTTTTCTATTCCTTCATTTTCTTTCTCAAACTTGCATTTGAAAGCGGTTATCGGTCCGGGGCGGAGACACATAATTAGGGATTGAACATCAGGCTTGTTTCCTTTAATCCCTTGTAAATCCTTTAAAAAATCATGAAAAGTTTTGAGGATTCAACAAATTGCATTGGTTGAGGTCTTTATTGATTGATTCAGTCCTAGTATTTTTTGTAAATTCCTAGCTCCCGTCAATGTATCGGTCCAGTGCTTAATTATGCTTCTAACCTGTCGGCAGTGTGCCCGATTCGGTGCAAGTTCTTTGCCTTTGCTTATGTTGACTCCTACCGCGTCGTAAGGTCACTTTGATTCGTGCCAACTGCCAAAGTGTTGACCACGATGTACTAGAGAATAGTACTACTACAGTGGTATTTTATTGTACACAACCGAAGCTGGGGGCTGCAGCGTGCAGTCAAGTTGGGGAAATTCTTTTTCTTCGATTATCACATCGGATATACAGATACACATTTAAAGTATTAAACGTAGGCTAATAATAAAATAAATTACAGATTCCACTAGAAAACTGTGAGACGAATTTATTAAGTCTAATTAATCCGTCGTTAGTAAATGTTTACTGTCCACATTGTCAAATTATAGCGTAATTAGCTTAAAAGATTCGTCTCGCAATTTACACGCAATATATGTAATTATTTTTTTCCTACATTTAACACTCCATGCATGTGTCCAAACATTCAATGTGACAGCGTGAAAATTTTTGTTTTGGGAACTAAACAGGGCCTGAGCCATTGATCAGCGCCGAACAGGAGGGTTCCCGAGTTCCGACAACTCGCATTAGGCCTTGTTTAGTTGGGAAAAATTTTAGGTTTGGTTGTCACATCGGATTATACGTAGACACATTTAAAGTATTAAACGTAGTCTAATAACAAAACAAATTACATATTCTGCCAGAAAACTGCGAGACAAATATATTAAGCCTAATTAATCTATCATTAGTAAATGTTTACTGTAGCATCACATTATCAAATCATGGTTCAATTAAGCTTAAAAGATTCGTCTCGCAATTTACACGCAAATATGTGTAATTGATTTTTTTCCCTACATTTAATATTTTATGTATGCGTTTGATGTGACAACGTAAAATTTTTGTTTTATGAACTATACAGGGCCTGGCATGATCATGATCGCGTCGTTAAGCTCACCGATCCCAAGATAGCCACGAAGACAAGGCGAAGGTTCCAACAGCGCGTTGGTTGGAAACGGTAATAAAGAAACCCACGTCGTTCCTGCAATACCCTCACACTCTCCTTCCTTTTTCTTTAGGACTACTCATGGTCGGGGATGAATTAAGCAGTGATAGCGTATTATGACCAATGCAGTTAAAATAACGACTACAACTTTAGCAGTGATAGCATATTATGACCGTTGGATCGATGCAGCCAACAGCTTGGATCTACTCTGCCATCCCCTGCATAGTATACGCTACAGTGATTCGTGAACAGTATTTTCTGATGATCTGAGCCGCTGTTTTTGATCCATCGGCTACCTTGCAACTACTAAAGTTGCAGTGATAGTAACAACTGCACTGGATCTCAATCCGTCGGAGATGCCATGGTAGTTTTTTTTTCTTTATAAACACAGAACATAGACAACGCACAACACGACACACTTATTTATATGAACATACACACGCATATCCAGATATATCTTGATTCATTATACTAAGAGGGGACACATTCTAAGTTGGCTTTTTTTTTATTGGATGGAGTACATTCATCCTAATTCATAACTTAGTTGAAGGTCCCGTTTGGTAGGACTCCAAACTCCTACTCCAATAGAATCTAGCTCCTGTTGGAGGTTGGAGACCTGTTGAAAAATGTTTGGCTAGCTTTTAGCTCTAGATCTAAAAAAATTAAAAAAAAATAGAATCCCCACCAACGGTCGTGCGCCACCAGCGCGTCCTCCCCACTCGCGCCAGCTGCTCGCACTGCTCGCCTGCCCCCGTCGGAGCATCGCCGTTGGCTTGCCGTCTGTGCTCGCCCATGGGAGGTGAAGTTTCAAGAGGGATAGAGAGGGGTGAGGAGGTGAGTTTTGGGTAGTTCTGTAGCGTTTGTGTGTAAATATGCTAAAAAAAATTGAAGGCAGTGGGTCTTTTGGGTTGGAATGGAGCTATGGAGCAATAAAAACCCAGCTCCACCTCGTAGTCCATATTTAAGGAGTAGCTCTGCTAACTTCACTCCTAAAAACATAGGATCTAAACCATTTGGCACAACTCCGGCTTAAAGCTGGAGTTAAGAGCTAGAGTTGTGCCAAACATGCCGAAAATGTGCTCTCTCTCTCTCTCCTCTCATTAACCCATATCACTCAACTGTTTTGTACTTAGATGATTATTTACGGTCCAAATTATCCACTTATTTTCTTCTTTTATTAAGTCATATCACCTCAATTGTTTTTAGCTCTTAGATGATTAATCTATGATCCAAACTATCTCCCTCCTTTTCTTCTCTCATAAAACTACATCAACTTACTTTTACATTTGAATCATTATTTTATATACTATTTAAATTTAAATTATTATAAACCACATAAACTTACGCAAGATTATATTATCTAGCTATCTTACACAATATTTTTACTCGGTGTTATCATATTAAACTTTTGCAGCAACGCGCGAGGTTCACCTAGTTATACTTGTAGCAAAATCATCTTGATTAATGATCTATTGAGTAGTGTTTTATAGTTAAATGGAAAGAAATGTGAGAGGATGGTTTTATACTCTTATGACATAAGAAGGCTTAATCCATCCTTTGGTGAAGAGAACAATATGAAAGACATATTATTCTCTTCAATACCAAACAGAAGTACATGACACACAATTGACTTTTTTTTTCTCAAACTATGATAAGCAATATTTATCAATCACTTAGAAGAATACCATTGGATCCACCGTCAAAAGTACTTTGGGCAATGCCCAGTATGTATATTCAATCGCTATTGGCCGACTATAATATAATCAACCACAACGAAAAAGGTTTTTATCCTCGCAAAAAATGGTTTTATTTGATTATATTTATATTTGTGTTATTACCGCTATAATAAAATCAGTGAACAATTCACTACAAGAAGAATGATGAAGTACATGCTCTTTCTTTGCAAGTGCACTGTGCACATAAATAGCTAGGTGCCCAATAATCCTCCTATGGTCATGAATAATGTTGGTACCATTAAGATGACAAAAAAAAACATGGATCGGCCGTTATATATTGAGCAAAATGGCCAGAATGGAAAAGGACCTTTTATATATTGTCTTGCGTGATGAAATGGCACGAGGTATCGACAAGTATTCTATTAATATAATAATGAAGAACAAATCTTAAAAATCTAAAAGTGACATTTTTAACAAAAAGTGAAATACCATGTAGGGACACTGGAAAAAGAAAACTATACAAGTAGATACGAACAATCAACTGTACAATGAAAAAAGTTGAAAAATACTCTAGTACTATAACAACGAGTTTGATGAAAACACAAAATATCCACAATTCAAGAAATATTCAAAGGATAAAGTAAAAGGAAAAAAAAGGAAAAATGCTATTTATTTGTAGTATAAGTTTACTACATGTAACCTTTGTCACACTATATCACATAGGCAGCTATTTAATTACCAATAGAAATTATACTATTCTATATTTTGTTAATCCATTTACATAAATACTACACGTCTAATGTTCTACTTAAATACCTACCACACTTGCACAAAACTTCTTATATAACTTATCAATATTCATTACTTACCCTGTCTCAAAATATAGCTACCTAATATAGAATGTGACATTATCTACACTACTAGAAAACTGATCTTTACTCGGTCGCCCCAAAACCACAATAGTCCCGGTTACAAAAAGAACCGGGACTAAAGATCCTCTTTAGTCCCGGTTTAAAATCCCACAGCCATTCTACGATCTTTAGTCCCGGTAACACCAACCGGGACTAAAGATAGTCCCGGTTCATCCCCTGTCAGTCCCTTGTCAGAGGGGCGGGGATCTTTAGTCCCGGTTGGTGTCACAAACCGGGACTAAAGATCATCACTTTAGTCCCGGTTGGGATCTTCTAGATCTTTACTCCAAATCATGCGTAGTATATAATCCATATTCCCTATCCACTCACCAACAACCGGCCTCTTCTCTCCTCAGATGCATCACCCTTTCCTCTTCCTCCTCCCATCCCGGCCTTCTCCTCCCCCTCCTCCCCTCCCATCCGACTCCTCCCTTCCCATCCGATCTCTCCTCAGATCCATCTCCCTCTCCTCCTCCTCCCCTTCCTCCTCCCATCCCGGCCCTCTCCTCCCCCTCCTCCCCTTCTTCCTCCCATCCCGGCAAGGGCCGCCTCCTCCCTTCCCGTGCCCAGCAGGACCGCACGCGGCAGGCAGCCGGCGGGGCCGCACGCAGCAGGCGCCGCGCAAGGCCGAGTAGCGAGCGGCGGCAGGTGGCGCTACCGGCATCCATTATTTCTTTTCTATTTTTTTACAATTTGTGATTCACTGAGATGTATAATTTTGTGATTTGTTGTATGGATCTGAGATGTATAATATGTGATGTATTTGATTTGTGTGTAATTTTTTTTTTAAGATTTGTGATGTATTTGATTTGTGTGTACAAGTAACTTAAGATTTGTGATGTGAATATTTTGGGATGTTATTTTGATTTGGGGTTTGATTTGGATATGCATCCCACTCGATTTGAGAGGAAATATAGGGATTAAACTCTGGCTAAAAAACAATGAAAAAAAGAAAAGGAGACCTAATGGAACTGCCGCTACCCTCTCTTTAGTCCCGTTTAGTCCCGGTTGGTGTTACCAACCGGGATTAAAGATCCATCTTTAGTCCCGGTTATTTCAACCGGGACTAAAGATCTTTAGGCCCATCTTTAGTCCCGGTTGGAAAACCGGGACTAAAGGGGGTTGCCAACCGGGAGTATAAATGGTTTCTCCACCAGTGCTACCACTACGAAGCTGTCCAGATTTGTTGTACTACCTCCTATCCAGATTCGTAGGACTAGATAATATCACATCCTATACTAGGTAGTTACATTTTGGGACGGAGAAAGTAATATGTTTACTAATCGACCCCTCCGTAAGACATTGCACGTTTTATAAGGCTGAGTTCTTTCTCATAGGTTCCCAACTCCACTCTCTCGTTTTCCGCGCGCACGCTTTTCAAACTACTAAACGGTGCGTTTTTACAAAAAAAATTCTATATGAAAGTTACTTTTTTTAAAAAAATCAAATTAATCTATTTTTTTTTAAAAAAATACTAATACTTAATTAACCACGCGCTAATAGACCCCTCGTGCATAGGACATGTGTTCCTAACCGAAACTAGCGAACACAGCCTTAGGCCCTATTTGGGGGAGCTTGTCCCAGCTGCAGCTTTTTACAAAAGCTGCTTCTGCTAGAAGCTACCCCAAACAATGCACAGCTTCTGAGAATATGTAGTTACAGATTCTAAAAAATGAACTAAGAAACCAGAAGCTGGAGAAGCTGGGTTTCAGGGCTTTTCCAGATTTTTAGAAACTGGCTGTCAAACAACTGCTTCTCAAAATCTAAAGTTCCACAAACAGGCCCTTACCCTCAACCGGCGAGAGGTGCCTCTCCTCAAAACCTCCTCAACCCCATCAACCATCTCGCTCCTCCATGCAGGAAGTCAGCAACACCAGTTGATGACACCAACACACAAGACATTTGATAATTTAATATTTTTTCCAGTGTCCAATTTATTTTAATTAAAACTTATAGGATTGATACTCTATCCGTAAAAAAAAGAAAAACCTAAAACACGCTGTGACCAGGATGTAACCTCTCTTAATGTAACGAATTTGGATAAATCATATCCCCTTTTAGATTATTTTTTTTATGGAGGAAATACATGAGACCATCTGAGTGAATGAAAGTGGGTTAAAATGTAAAACAATCGAAGCCCGTTTCAAGCAGTGTTAAATTATTAATAAATGTAAAAAAAAGAGAGAAACAAAACGAACAGCCCGGGAGAGGATAAAAAAACAAAAAGAAAGAAAAAAAAATACTAGTACTAGTAGTAGTACTCTCGTAATAATAACACAATAGGAGGAGCAGAGAGGAGAGAGCCACTGCACCGCGCGTCCGCCCGCGCTCCCTCCCTCTCCTCTCCTCGCACTCGCCGTCCCTCCCAATGGCCTCCGCTGCCGCCCACGCGGCCACCGCCACCGCCGCCGCCGTCCTCCTCGTCGTCTTCCTCGCCCCCCTTGCCGCCGCCTCCGACTCCGACCACAAGGTAAAAAACCAACCAGCTCCTCCTCCCACTTCACCGCCTCGCTGGGAACAACAGACGGGGGGCGCGCGCTTCGGCGTCGGAACACTCGGTCGCCACCCACCCGGCGGCGACGGGGTCTGTTCGGGCCGCCGTGGCGGGGACGTGTGCGCCGTGGTTCCGCTAGATCCGTGCTCGCCCGGGTGGGAGGGTCAGATCTGCGTGGCGCGGGCTCCGGCGGGGCGGGATCTCCGGGTAGCCAGTCCCTCCCTCGTGCTGGATCGGGGTCTCGTCGCGTGGTCTCTGCTAGAGATCTCGCCGCGCGAGTGGTGAGAAATGGAGGGGTTGCAATGCGAGAGTTCGTCTCTATCGGCATCCGTGGTCCTTCTGAAAGTTTGACTCGTTTGATCTGTAACGTCTAGTGCAGTTAGTCTGACTGTAATGTTTGGTCTTGCGGTAATTAACTCAGGATTTAGGTGATATTTTGGCCTACTGTGTATTTTGGAGGAAGAATGTGTTTGTCTGGTGCTTTGGAACATTTACGATGTGTCGTGTTCTTCGCTTTGTGTAGTACCAATCGGAGGAGAAGGTTATGCTCTGGGTGAACAAGGTTGGCCCGTACAACAACCCACAGGAAACTTACAACTACTACAGCCTTCCGTTTTGCCATCCGTCCAATAACCCCGTGCATAAATGGGGAGGGCTTGGGGAGGTTCTCGGTGGAAATGAGCTGATTGACAGCCAGATCGACATAAAGTTTGGAAGTGAGCAATCACTTTTGTTGTGCATTGTTCTTTTTATGCTGCTTCAGTTTTGAACATTGAAACGGGAAGGTAAAATGCAGTGTTTAAGACTGATCATGGTTTGTCTCAGGGGATGTTGACAAGGGTACCATTTGTTCAATTGAACTTGATCCTGACAAGGCCAAACAGTTATCTGATGCGATTGAGAGTTCATATTGGTTTGAATTCTTCATTGGTAAGCTGTTCTGGTTTCCTTCTTGACTCCGCTGGTGTGTTTACTTGCCATTTTTCAGTACGCATAAACATTTTTACGCACTGTGACTTATTGATTTACTTATTATCCTTTTCTGCACACTTCTGGGAAATTCTATGCCACTATCAAAGATGATTTGCCTCTATGGGGTATGTATCCTCTTTTATCATTACTATTTTCTCTCAAAGATCTTATATATAGTCTAATAACTTATAACTTAACAGGTTTTGTTGGAGAGGCAGACAGAAATAGCGATAACAAATATTTCCTTTTCACTCACAAGAACATCGTCATCAGATACAATGGCAATCAGGTTTGGGTTTCATGAACTTGCATTTATTCCTTCGCAGGACCTTCAAGAAACTGAGTATTACTACTGTTACATTCCTGTAGATTATTCATGTTAATCTTACTCAAGAAAGTCCAAAGCTTATTGATGCGGGTAAGGCATTGGATATGACATATTCTGTCAAGTGGGAACCAACCAATGTAACATTTGCTCACCGCTTTGATGTATACCTTGACTACCCTTTCTTTGAACACCAGGTAAGAACTCAGTTTCTGCAATTAAAGCCTGGTTCTGCACCTTGGTTCTTATGTATTTTGTTGCCAATTTTCCACATAAAAAATTATGCCTTGATTCTCAATTTCCCATGTATATCTTGCAGCATTTCCTCTGACCACAGATAATCCATTTTATGGCAGATCCATTGGTTCTCAATCTTCAATTCTTTCATGATGGTTATCTTTCTCACTGGGCTAGTGTCAATGATTTTGATGCGCACTCTAAGAAATGACTATGCAAAGTATGCCCGCGACGATGATGATCTTGAAACTCTGGTGATTGACTATCTATATTCAAATAATGTACAAATTCTGTTATGCGCTTCATACATCCTCTTGCTGACATTTTTATTCAATATCAGGAAAGAGATGTCAGTGAAGAATCTGGATGGAAGCTTGTCCATGGGGATGTTTTCCGGCCTCCTCGCAGTTTGGCTCTTCTTTCAGCCCTTGTTGGTGTTGGCACACAGTTGTCTGCTCTTATTCTGCTAGTGATTTTGTTGGCAATCATCGGAATGCTGTATATTGGGTATGCACATCATTTATGATTTACCTCAAATCACTACAATTAACACCGATTTCTATAAAGGCAGCTTCTACTAAATGCCTTAGGCCCCTAAGTTTTCTCCATCCTGTCACTTGTTACTTTTGTCAAGCCAAACAGCATACACCACCTCCAGTTTAAAATACACAATTTGTTAACGTAGACAGGACTGCATTGGTTTTCGCAGTAAGGCTTTCCAGATTCTAGGTGTGCCTGAATGTGTGGTTATAACTACAATCACATTATGACATGTGAGGAATTGTCAAATCATAATTACCGCCTTCACATGAAACCCAGCCCCCTTTTCTAATTTTCGGCCTGTCAATGAACTGCTTAAAAGGTTCTTTGGAGTGCACATTTATCTTTATTTTTGATATTTTGCTTTTATTTCACAAGTAGCTGAACTACTTTATGAAGCATTTAAGTCTAATCGTACTTTCTGATTCTATGCAAAAGCGCATCTCTCACACCTTATATTCTTATTGTAGGCGAGGAGCTATTGTCACAACATTCATTGTTTGTTATGCCCTTACTTCATTCATCTCTGGATATGTCAGTGGTGCACTTTATTCACGGCATGGGGGTATGAACTCAGTTTACTTTACATCTTGAACAGGCACACACCTATTTTACTATAAGATGCTCACCTCATTTAAATCCTTGGTTTGCTGAGCAGGGAAAAACTGGATCAAGGCAATGATTATGACAGCATCACTATTTCCGTTTATGTGCTTTGGAATTGGCCTAGTGCTTAACACAATCGCTATATTCTATCGATCATTAGCTGCCATACCATTTGGTACTATGGTGGTTGTGTTCATCCTGTGGGCCTTCATATCTTTCCCTCTTGCTCTTTTGGGAACTGTTGTTGGTAGAAACTGGAGTGGTGCCCCAAATAATCCATGCAGAGTAAAGACTATTCCTCGCCCTATCCCTGAGAAGAAATGGTACCTCACGCCTTCTGTCATTGCCCTCATGGGAGGACTGCTTCCTTTTGGTAGCATCTTCATTGAGATGTACTTTGTCTTCACATCATTTTGGAACTACAAGGTAAAACAGGCAACACTAATTTTCCCATACAGGCTTCATTACTAAGGAGCCCTGAGAGTTGAGACTTATGCATCCTTCCTGATCATCTATTGACAGGTGTACTATGTATATGGGTTCATGTTGCTAGTCTTTTTGATCCTCATAATTGTCACCATCTGTGTAACAATCGTTGGTACATATTTCCTGCTGAATGCGGAGAACTACCACTGGCAGTGGACTTCATTCTTCTCTGCTGCTTCTACTGCCGTCTATGTTTACCTCTACTCCGTATATTATTACCATGTGAAGACCAAGATGTCAGGATTCTTTCAGACAAGTTTCTACTTCGGCTACACTCTTATGTTCTGCCTAGGTTTAGGAACACTCTGCGGTAAGCTCTTCTACACCGGTAGCATGCTTAAACCCAAGAATTTGATGGTTTCAACTGATACCGGTTCGAATTTTGGTCCAGGTGCTGTCGGGTATCTTGGATCGACACTGTTTGTGAGAAGGATCTACAGGAACATAAAGTGTGACTAAAAATTGACCCCGGTTTAGACAGATGGGGCGAAAAACTTTGTATGTGTGGCTTGTTCCGTGAAGTGATCAGCCATGTTTTGGTGGCCAAGAAGCCAGGGCAGTTTATGGAGTACAAACGTTCTTCGGCGACATTGCTGGGATGCCATGGTTTTTGTTTTCTTGTCCCTTTTGTTCTCTTTGATCCCCCTCTCGGTGCCACAATTTTCATGTTCAACTAGCCATATATAGCTGCGATCATAGTTTAGATGTTAGTATATACCAGAGTTGTTATTCTTGAGCCTCATATCTGTGTTGCTTCACTTAAAGCTGTAAGATCCATGACATTTGTTGACCTTTAATGATGAAAACATCTCCGAAAGACATCATTTTCAGATTTTATGCTTGTGTTTTCCTGCACGCAGAGCTACAGAAAAAAGAAGCTTAGCAGATACACATCTATTATCATTGAAAAATAGCACAACATCTGAACATAAAATCTATTAGTACATACTAGACCATTGTGTAACAAAATTTCCTGATAAAAAGAGGGGAATATTTCATATGCTACTGTGATTTGCACAACTCAAGTATCTTGCAAAATATGGAATAAGTTGGAAAACCAGTGCCTGATTTCATACTAGTAGTAAAATAAACCTGGAGTTCATTATACTGATACCCCTTTTACCATGTGCCCAACACCCGTGATAAGTCTGGAATGCAAAAGATTCTACACCAAATTCGTACAGTAGTACTAGTAATCGTTTATTTTTCGTACAAAATCATGGTGAAATAAATCGAATTCAAGGACAAACGTCAGCTGAAGGATTCAAATTCGTTTGCGAGTCTCTTCGTTTTTACGTGGCGCGCCAAGGCTCAAACTTCTTTGCACCTCTGTTCTGAACGCAAGGTGTCCGCCATGGCGCCCGCGCTCCCCCGCCGCCTCCTCCCCTGGCTCCGGACCCCACCTTCCTCCTCCTCCGCCGCCGCCTTCTCGTCGGCGCCCTCCCGAGGCTGCCCGCTCCACGCCGCGCTCGCCCGCCGCGGCGCCCCGGCGGCCGCCTCCCTCGCCCTGTACGCCCGCATCCGCGAGGAGGCATCGCCGCCCACCCCGTTCACCTTCTCCCTCCTCCTCGCCGCCCTCGCGTCGTCGTCGTCGTCTTCCCCGTCCCCTTCTCCGTCCGCAGGCTGCGCGCGCCTCGCCGCCGCGTGCCTCGCCCACGCTCAGGCGTTCAAGTGCGGCGCGCTCGCGCACCCCGTCGTCACCAACTCCCTCCTCAAGCTCTACTGCTCGCTGGGCCTCCTCGACCGCGCGCGCAGGGTGCTCTACTCCGGTGGTGCCGCGCTGGACGTCGTCTCGTGGAACACGATGGTGTCCGGGTACGGCAAGGGCGGGGACCTGGGCGCTGCGCGGGAGGTGTTCGCCAGAATGCCCGAGCGGAACCTGGTTTCCTGGAGTGCCATGGTGGACGCGTGCGTGCGTGCCGGGGAGTTTGGGGAGGCTTTATGGGTGTTCGATCGGATGATGCGGGAGGAATTCAGGCCAGATGTGGTGGTGCTGGTGAGCGTGCTCAAGGCATGCGCGCATCTCGGCGCCGTTGAAAGGGGGCGTTGGGTTCATAGGTATCTGGAGACAGGGAGTTTTGGAGGTAGGCGTGGAAATCTCATGCTTGAGACAGCTCTTGTGGACATGTACTGCAAATGTGGGTGCATGGAGGATGCCTGGCAAGTTTTCGATGGAGTTCATCGTCGCGATGTGGTGTTGTGGAATGCGATGATCGGTGGGCTTGCGATGAATGGCTATGGTGAGCGTGCTCTCGAATTATTCCGAAGGATGCTTCAGAAGGGTTTCATGCCAAATGAGTCGACGTTTATTGCTGTTTTATGTGCATGCACCCATACAGGGCGTGTGGACGAAGGGAAAAGGGTTTTCAAGTCCATGCAGGATTATGGCATTAAGCCACAAAGGGAGCACTATGGATGCTTAGCTGATCTCCTTGGCCGTGCAGGGAATGTAGAAGAAGCTGAAGCTCTGTTACTGGATATGCCAATGGAGCCACATGCTTCTCAATGGGGTGCACTCATGTCATCATGCCAAATGCACAATGACATCAATGTGGGTGAGCGTGTGGGTAAGCGGCTTATTGAGCTAGAGCCATATGATGGTGGCCGTTATGTTGTTCTATTCAACCTATATGCTGTCAATGGTCGATGGGAAGAAGCAAGGACCATTCGGCAGATGATGGAGGATAGGGGAGCCAAGAAAGAAACAGGTTTGAGCTTCATAGAGTTAAATGGTTTGGTCCATGAATTTATTTCCGGGGATACAAGACATCCTCTCACAAGGAAAATCTATGCACTATTGGAAGATATAGAGAGGAGATTGCAACTAATTGGCTATGTTAAGGATACAAGCCAGGTGATTATGGACATGGATGATGAGGAAGATAAGGGCATCGCCCTATCCTACCACAGCGAGAGGCTGGCATTAGCATTTGGTATCTTAAACATTCCCCAGGGCGTTCCTATTCGTATTGTCAAGAACCTTCGAGTGTGCCGTGATTGCCATGTGCATTCCAAGCTTGTGTCCAAGCTCTACGAGCGGGAGATCATTGTGCGTGACCGTCATCGTTTCCATGTGTTTCGTGATGGAGTATGCTCATGCAATGACTATTGGTGAAAAAGATTTTACATTATTGAGTATGATTGGAATCATGGACATCGTCAAAGGATGGCCAAAATACTGGCCAAGGTATTTATGGTCGATATATCAGTAACCAAGGTGAGTATGGAGAAAACCATAATAGACTTCCTTTGCAGTTTGCACAGACTGTTCTTCAATACCACCTTTGCCATGATATAGTGCTTATTTTCTGTGAAATGATGAATACTGCAATTGATTTTATCTTTTAGTTTGCTTCAAATTGTTATTCCCTGTCTTATGAAGATTGTAGGCATATTAATCCTCTTTTAAAATGGTGGATGGAACTATGATGAACTTTCGTGCAGGTGGTGGTAACTAATGAACTCTCAGGTCTATCAATATTTATGTGTTTTGTTTTTAATTGCTAAACCATCTGAATTGATATATTGTTAATTGTGAAATCCTCAAAACAAAATGGCTACTTTCCATTAGCACCATTACTGAATTTTACAAATTTGATGCAGTTCGTTATTGAGTCTCAACTGTTACTAGAATTCTTTCTACTCACTCTATCTTGTTATTAGGTTTGCCAACGCCTCTTGGGTGGATCTGTTTGAAACTGTAAGAGAACAAGATCAGTAGATCACTGTTCTTTCTGGAGTATCAGGATAATCAGTGTAGGCGGAGGCCGTTTCTTGCAGAGCTGATTAGTTTCTTTTCAAGCTTGTTTGCCTGAACTCCAAGGGATAGAAACGAGTGGACACGCTCGCCATCTTGGACTGATCACTGATTGCGTGCTGACGGTTGACATTTTCCATCGGTGATCACTATTCTCATCTTCTTAATCTGCCAATCAAGTTCAAATTCCCAAGCCACACCTCGTTTCTTCTTCAGGTAGGTGGATTGACTGGTTGTTGTTTTTTTTTTCAGACGATGGAACTCGCGCGCTTTCGGTGTCAGGGGAATGGCGGGAAGGCAGACGATGGAATCCAAGAGATGGAGGAGGAGCTTCCAGAACCCCTCGCTTCCACACTGAAGCTCTCCCCTTTGCTTTGCTTTCCTCACTCCATATGTGATTCCTTCCTTTTCCACCTCCACCCAAAAACTTTCCACCCACTCCACCTCTTCATCACACCCACTCTCTCTTTCTTTCTAATGGATTACTCGGGCGGCGGGCCGGCGCCGGCGCCGGCGACGGGGAGAGCGCGGGTGCGGGGGCGGTGGTGCTACTGCCGCTGCTTCCGGCGGTGGGGCCGCTGCTTCTGCTGCTGCTACTGCTGCAACTCCTTCCCCCCCATCCAGGACGACCTCCGCGGCCCCGCCACCGCCGCCACCTGAGCCCCACGCCCTACAGAGATTTCGCCCCCAACACTTCCTACCACCTACCGTACCAGGTGAGTCTACTCGCGGCACACGCTTCGTGATTTGTTTAGATAGCTAGCTATTCCGTGTGCTTGGTGTGGTCAGGGTGTGTGTCCATCTCTGTTCGATCGCTCCCCCAAACTAGGTTTAGCGTGTGGATATTCCGTAGCCCCCCTGATCGGGTGCTTGGATAATTGGGATGTAGCGTGCTGTCTCGTAACGTAAGGCTCATCACGTGAGCCGTGATCATTGTGCTGGGTTTGTGCTGGGATCATGGGATTGATGAACAGTTTGGTTGTTCCGTGCACTCCGGATCTAGGTTTCAGTGCACTGCACGGGTGGGGACCGTCCAGAGGAGCTCCTCCGCGTTCCTGCGTGAGATGCTGAAATTGCTTGTGGCGAAACGCTGGATGGTGAATTGAGTTGTCTGGGGTTGTTCTTGTCGGGTTGGTAATTTTGTTGTCCTGTGATTTGAGTAGCGTCTTAGTGGTGCAGATTTTGTAGGCTGGTGAAACAGAATTAGCAAGCCTTGGGTTCATACCTGCGCTGTTTGGACGCTATTGCGATTAATTTAAAATTTTATATGCCTCATATTAGTTGATGCCAATGCATGCTTTTGATTTGGTTGCTGTCTAGGCACAAGACAACGTAGTACTTTGAACTAGTGCGTCTTGATTATGTGCCGGAGACATACCATGTGTTCTGTTGAGTCTAAATTAGGTTCATCAAGAGAAAATGAGCAATTGATGCAGAATGTCAGGCACAATATTTTACCTGTTAGTATTTGTTAGCATTGGGTGCTGGTATTTGCCTCGTATTTACATCAGTACATGCTACACGATCATCTATTAGTTTAAGATTGTCACATTTTTAAGAGAATATTATGTCCGTTCTTGATTAGCTGGTATATACTATTAGTTATATTGGGATGTTGGATTTTGCTTTCGTGCATATGTATTCGTACAAACTCATCCACTTATATGTTCCATAAATTTGATTAATTATTGGTTTGACCTTACTATTCATGGCAGCAGACACGTTAATCATGTAATCAAATGGTCGCCATGAGGACTGCACCAACCTTTGTTGCTATATAAACTAGGCAAGACTACCTTTCTGTTCAGATGTGAGGGTATGCTAATATTCAGGAGTTATTTTGGACAATTACTGGACAAGAGATGTTCTTGGTAGCTGTTTAAAGTACTTGCTTGTAAGTTTAGTGAAAAGTCCATGGACATATTGCTTTACGGTAAATCTGTGAGGATGGATCAAGTGATCATTTCCATGGACAGCAGAGTGTTTCCTGTAATATATAACAACTATACATATATGAAAATTACTTGTACATAAAGTGAATTATATCTGCTGTTTCATTCTCAAGTATTTACTATGAGCTTTCACATCCTGGTACAACCATAGTGAATTATATCTGCTGTTTCTGATCTGTCTTGTGATTACAAGTGTTTTACTCGTTCTGTTGCAGCTGAGAATGAACTTTCTTGATTCCACCATCATATATATCTGATGCGTGACATGCTCATACATAATAAGCATTCTGAGATCTGTACATATACAAGAGTACAAATGTAGCATGTGGTTGGTGCTGTGTGATGTGCAGTAACAGATACTTGCCATATAAATCGTTGATGCAATCTAATATGGTTTGTATTATTATGTCGGTGTCCATCTGAAACCCATGGGCTATGGCCCTCTCCTGGTGTTTGTTGTGCAGACATCTTTTCCTATTTGCACTTGGGACATTTCTGAACTGTCAGGTGCAGTTTCCCTGTTACATATTCGATGCATCCTCCGATGACTATTGAGAAGATTGTGTCAAATCTTTATAGTTGTTATTGTTTCCTACCAGGCACTAAATCTCCCTGTTTATGTGTTTGAGTCGGTTTGTCTTGCAGTGAGGGTTCATTTTCTGGCTAGTCTTTTCTGATGATCTCTAGTGCAGTTGAAACGTCAGTAGCAGATAGCAGATCTGCTAATCGCAACATCAGCAACAAACCAGCTTCAGCCTCTTCTTCCTCAACAGTGACCCTGAGGTGACATTTTACACTTTTGCATCACTTTGTTCAAACTGAAACCCTTGACATAGGTTTAGGTTTATCTGAAACTTTTTGCATTCCCCTCGGCCTCGCTGTTTACGGATTGATGCTACTATTTCTTTTTTTTTTTTGCAGCTCCTACACACGGATACAAGATGTGTTGCATCCTGCCATGACCTCACACGAGCAAAGCACCAAATTAGCCAATATCATGGCACACGCAGGGCTGTCTGCTGGTTGCATGGATCAGGGCAAGAGAGAAACCAAGTGTGTGGGGGCATTGGATGCCTGCCTGCCTGCTTGCTTTGCTTGCTGCATCCCCCCTCACCTCACCTTCCCCTCTCTTGTTGACTGTGGTGTATGCACACCTTGTCTCGTGTAATTATGGTCTCTAAGCCCTGCCCGCAACTACTGGTCTTTACATCTCATTCTTGATCTCACACATACTCACATCTCATTCTTGCATCGCCATCTATCTTTACACTATTCTCTGACTGCATTCTCAGCACCCATCTATCTCAATATCTCATCATGTTTGTATTACAAAGTACTACTAACATTCTTGTATGTAACTGCAGTCATCCGTCTCCACAGCTTCTGTTTACAGTTCTGAACTTTTACAGTATCTCCATGGTTACTGTCACACCAGAGGAGCGTACAAGTAGTGGAGGTGGAGTACTCCCTTGGCTGCCTGAACTGATGAGATGAGCGGGGCCATGAAAGCTGGAAGCTAGCACTGGTGAGAGACCAACCAACCCTGCAACCATGCCCTCCTGCTTGCTCTGCAGCATCAAACTCTGCCCCTGCTTGCCTGAACAAAAGTGAGTTCTTTGCTCACCTTTGGGCACACACTCACACATGTGGTCAATAAGGCACAGAAAGTTCCTGCATTTCTTGTCTACTTCTGGTTACTGAGGAGTACCTTGCCTGCTCTCTGGGGTCAACTTGTTTTAGTGAAAGAGATAGAGAAGAGTGTGTGACTGTCAGTCAGTCAGGTTATGGGGCTTGTGATAGATGATGGATGGGGTGTTGTGGTCATGGCTGGCTGGCTGGGCTGTGGAGATCTTTCCATGGCAGCCTTGCCTGTGATCTTGGCTGCAGGGCAGGGTGGCTCAGTTCCTACCTGTACTGCTGTTGCTCCCAGCCCCAGAGTCAACAAGTGTGGATTGTCTGCCAAAAGGCTCAGCTGCTGCTCCTACACACACTTTCAGTTCTGATTCTGCCGTACTCTGCTCTCTGTGTGTGATAGGGGAGGGAAGAGGGGGGGGGGGGGGTCCCTACCCTACTTTATCCCTCCATTTGTTCTATTCATCTCCTGTTCTAGTGTCCTAGAATCAAACTGTACCCAGACTTGGAGAGATCTCCCTCTACCTGCTCAAAAGCTTGCTGCATCTTTTTCCTTGCAAATGCTTAAAGAAAGGAGTGGAAAATTGCACTTTGCTAGGATTGTACTACAGTAGTGCTGGCTCATAACCTGTCTGGGAATTGACTTGTGCAAAGATTTTTGGGGTGTCTTTTGGTGGTCCTGAAAAGGATTAGGAATGTGCAGTGACCAGTGAGAGGGTTGGTCAATCTCTGCAAAAGCAAAACAGACCTACATCTACATAGCTCCAGACATTAGGATTTATGAACACTTCACAGTTACTATCTCCTTTTCTTACATATATATACTAGTAGTAATAATAGTAGAATGCGTGCAATCAAATCTCAAAACTTTGAATGATTAACTAATGCAAAACCATGAGGGTTTGACATGAGAAAATGATATTGGTAGAGTTGTCATGAAAAACACTTCCATATAGTTTTATTTTTAATAGCTTGTGTAAATTAGAAAAAGTAGCGATGAAACATGTGCATTGAGGCTACGTTGTCCAAAACGAGAAGTAAAAAAAAGAGAGAGAGAGAGAAGGGGGTAGTAATTGATCATTAATTAATATTTCATGGCTTGTCAACCCTTGGAAGTTAACCACTTAACCTTAATCATCCAGAAAATGGAGAAAATGGAGAGAGGTTATTAGGATAGCATCTTGTGTTGGACACTGTTTGCAACTGTTTTGAGTCCATTTCTGCTAATGCCATTTATGATCAGACATGTGCAAGACAAGAGTGTGCAACTAGTGTTAATAGCTCAAGAACCCAAGGAGCAGAAGCAAGCTGAAGAGTGAAGAGGAGGACAGCCAAGAAAGCAGCAGAGGCAAGCAAGCAAGCAGGTGGTGTGCCTGCCATGGCGGCCGCCGCGCTGCTAGCTAGCTGATGGTTAGTTGCCGCCGCCGCCGCTGCAGAGGTCGAGGAGCTTCTTCCTCCCCTCGGCGACCTCGTCGAATAGGTCGTCGATCAGGGCGATGACGTCCTCGCACCCGGACCTCAGCGCGTCGGCGCGCAGGGCGACCTCCGCCGCCGCCGCCGCGACGTCGCCGGCCCTGTCCACGGCGTCCCTGGCCTGCTCCACCGCCGCCCTGGCGCGCCGGAACTCGTGCATCATCGCGCCTCCCCCTGCGTCGACGACGGAGGGCGACACCGCCGCCGCCGCCGCCGCGGCGCGCTGCTGCGCGCGGGCGAGCGCCGACGCGAACGCGGCGCCGAAGTAGGCGCCGCAGTCGGTGGCTCCGCCGGCGCCGCCGGCGTCGGGCCAGTAGTGGAGCACGCCCCAGGAGAGGAGCGTGAGGAGGAAGGAGGTGAGCATCCTGGTCGCGCAGAGCACGCCGCGGAAGCCGTTGAACCCGGTGAACTTGGCGTCGGGCGGGATGGTCTCGGCGAGGCGGAGCGCCAGCGCCTCGGCGCGCGTCTCCACGAGCACCCTGTTCTCCTCCCTGATCGCCATGGCGTCCCTCCTGCACGCCGACATCGCCCTCGTTACCTGCACCCACAGATCGATCGTCACGACGACGGCGGCGGAGGCGGCGGCGGCGGCGTGTGAGTGACTGACCTCGAAGGAGAGGTGGGAGGAGCGGAGGGCGGAGGCGAGGCGGGAGGCGGAGTCGGAGTAGCCCTCGAGGGAGGCGGCGCCGAGGCGGAGGGCGCGGCAGGCGTCGCAGAGGCGGGAGGTCTCGTCCATGTACTCGTCGAGCCAGGCGGCGCCGCCGGGGAGGTGGAGCGAGCCGACGAGCCGGGCGAGCCCCGCGTGCGCCGCGCGGATCAGCGCCAGCGCCGCCCGCAGCGACGCCGCCGACACGAACTCCGCCGCCGCCGACGACGCCGCCAGCGACCGCTCCAGCTCGTCCAGCCCCCTCGCCAGCGTCCCGTAGAACGCCGCCACCGTCGACGGCGACGGCTTCATGGCCAGAGATGATATCTCCGAGATCTCGAGAGAGGTTAGCTAGCTATAGCTATAGCTACAGCTTATGGTGGTAGCTAGCTAGCAATATGGAGGGAGAGCAATAATGGCGCGAGCGAACGAACGAACGAGTGCAACTGTGCAACCGTGCGGGATGGATATATGGAGTTGGGGTTGGATGGCGACCTTGTTCTTACTCCCAAGCCCAACAAGGCTCTACTAGCTAGTAGTAGGTATAGCTAGGCTAGCCTTCTTTGCAACTCTACTGCAAGCAACAATGGCCTCTCTCTCTCTCTCTAGAGATCTCTCTCATGTGGCCATGGCTGCTGGTAGCTGGTGAGGAAGAGACTTGGATGGATGGATGGATGTATGGAAGGAAGAAGATGGGAGGGAAAGGGGGCTCCTTTGTGCTGTGTGTTATATAGGGCCAGGGCACTTCTCCAGGGGGGCTACATGCCTTTAGGCTTTAGCTATGTACTGCTCTTTCTGCCACACCTACTGCCAGTCAAAGCCTAGAGAATTTTCATTGATTTGGGGTGAATTTTTCAGGGACTGGCAAAAATAACTGTGGATATATATGGTAACCAGAAATTTGTTCAAATAAACTTTAAACAATAAGGACCATTTTGGTTTTGATTCCAAAATATATATATGTCCTACCAAATTGTTGGTACTTTGAATAGAATTTTAGCTAGTGTTCGGTTTGCTATCAAAATATGCCCAATAACACATATAAGTTGCTAAAAAAATGGCACTACTAAAATTTATCTATATTTTGGCATTGTCAACATTTTAACATGACAGTAAACCAAACAAGCCTTAATTTCTTTTATCTTCTGTTGTCAAAGATGTCACGATGTATGGAAAAAAACATGAAATTTTGAGAGATTTTGAGGGAAAGCTAGCATATTTACTCTTTTTCTTGATTTGATCCACTAGTAACTAGTACCAAATTAAAATACCTGAAACTCAAGAGAGATCGATTTGAAATTCCAAATCGTGCTACCACCGAGCAGACAACATGTCAATTACACCCAAAGTTGATAGTGCGAGCTATCATCAATAATAACAATCATCATCATCATCATCTCATGAGAGGTAGGGTGGACCGTGGACTTAATTCCCTACGAGATCGAGTGATTGATCGACCGGATATATATGTTCATGGGTCACCTTTTTATTTCCCTTCCTTATAATTAGCTCGCTCGCTTTTCTGAAAGATACTTGTCAGTAGACTGTGTTTTTTTTTTTGACACAGTGATGATGTGGAGTTGTGGATGCCCTAGCTAGAGAGAGACAGTTGATGGAGATCTACTGCATTTGGCACTAGTGTTCACTGGCCGGTCAGCTGATCCATGCAAGCAAGCTATCCCTTTTTCTTCTTTTCTTTTTTTTTTCTTTTTGAAAAGATTGTATGCAAGATACTTCGTCCGTTTCATATTATAAGACTTTCTAGTATTGTTCACATTCATACATATGTTAATGAATCTACACATTTACGTGTATCTAGATTCATTAACATCTATATGAATATGAGCAGTGTTAGAAAGTTTTATAACCTGAAACGGAGGTAGTACTTGTTAAGAGTATTTATTCTGATATGGATATACCGAAGGGTGAGAAAGGAGACAACTTATATGTATGCACAAATCATTTGTATGCATGTTCTCATGTCATTCTACTCAATCTCCTTTTTTTTTGTTTTTTTTTACCATCGTGTGTCATTCTACTCTTGACTGAAATTAGTTATCATCAAACAAAAACTCTAAACTATGAGCACACTTTTTTTTTTGACATGATGAGCACAATGTTTTAGGGGTATTGGATCCAAGTAGAGAAATCAATAGACAAATTAGGAAGGTAGGGAATTCCCTTTGTTTTGTGGGTTTTACCCATCACAAATACATTGGCACCGTGTTTAGTTACAAAGTTTTTCTTCAAAATTTCAACTTTTCCATAACATCAAAACTTTCCTGCACACACAAACTTTCAACTTTTCCATCACATCATTCTAATTTCAACCAAACTTCCAATTTTGGTAGGAACTAAACACAGCCTAGCTCTACTTATTCTTGTGATTGTGCATATTAATGCTCTACACCAATATCCAAAAAAGATATAGTTCCCAATTTTTCTTTTGGCAATTGGGCTTTTGTAAGGTTGTGGTCTATGTGGCCATGACAACCCCACCCTAGAAAGCGAGGATGCAACCAACTAAAGGATGGCGATGAGAGTCGGAGGATGAGTGGTGTGGTATGGATATCGGATGGAATCACTAGAGAGAAGTGAAAAGGATGGAGGGGAAACGAGCTAGCGATTGATGAGGAAAACCGACGAGCACCATAAGGGTTGAAGGTGTCAAATTAGAGTGGAGAATACAAGAAATATATATACTTTGGAAGTTAGTTTTGTTTTTATTGGTGGGCTTGGGCAATGGTGGAGCATAATTGTCGACTATACACAATCACGATTTATGCCTTCTTGCTCTCTCTATCATAATATCCAATACAGAGGTAGTCATGATTCAATACATTTTCATGGCCAATAACATTTAACCAAAATACTCCATGTGCAAACCTTGTTCCCATAGTAACCTTTTTATCCCCTAGGATTCACCGTTAATGTTTGCAGTAGCTACCTTTTTTTTAGTTCTCTATAGAGATATACTTTGGTCCTCAAATTTGTGTTCTAATGCACTTATTAGGGTCTGATTTGTGATGCGATCAGATCCTCCACTTGTGTAGGGGTGACTAGCTAACTGCAGAAGATCCGATGTGAGCAAAGATTACAGGTGAGACTAATCCGAATCTGAAAATTTGACTGATGACTTGACCCGAATCTTTCCTCCAAAACGGTCATCACAGTGGGGTTTGGGCCCCCTCATTGCCATGAAAGTAAGAAAAAAAAATCACCAAGGCTACTTAATTGCTACTAGTATTAGTTTCAAAAACTTAATAATTACTATTAGCTACTAATTAGTACTATAAACTAGTACCTTTCTCTACAAAAGTAAATCCTTCCATTCCTGAATATTAGTAGAGTAAGGTGATCGTATTTAGTTGGATATAATGTTCTTTATTTAGACGTCGCCGAACTAGTACTATACATTCGATTCCTCTCCTTTTTCATTTCGAATAAAATGTCTTTTTTCCCCTTGTGATGGGGCATGGACATCTGCATAAAGTTGTTATTATATCTTTATTATGCTGTGCTAATTATTACCTCATATGTGACAATGCAAGATATGGCAAGAAGAAATATTATTTTTTTTTCTTCTCCTTTTATCATGAGCTTTCCATCTTGGGTGGACACTTGGTGCCACTAGGAGTAGGAAGCTGTAATTGAGAGATCTCCTTGCCCTTGTGAATATATGTGGTACTAGTATTGCTACATTGAAGCTAGGTGAGCTTGCTTTTGTTTTGGGGGAAACTGGACCAAGATTTCTTAATCTTGTGAAGTGATGGTGATGGTGGTAGTAGTGGTGGTAGGCTAGAAAGGCCATTGATTGACTCATGTGCTTACAGGACCCCATTTCATAAGCAATATATGCAAATGATTACAATGTATCTATGCCCTCCTACTATTTTATATAGCACGGTTTTGTTTCACCGTGAAATATCGAATCAAATCAAACTTTGACCATTAATTTCTCTTACAATAACATTTTATTTACCCAATATCGTATAATTGTACAACTTTTGTACCACTAAAACATAGTATATTTTTAAGATCACAATAATGTTCTCTGCCACTTGGCATACAATAAAAAGTGTTCTAATAATAAAAGTCTACTAAACATATGCTATCTCTGTATTTTCAATATATATGACACTATTATCTTTATTTGATCAAATTAAACTTTCAAAACTTTGACCATCGATAGCTCTCCTCAAAATATTTAGTTTGAAAACATATAAATCATATAGATTGGTTTTTCTTTATAAGTTCTTTGTGATATTATAATTCCGTTAGATATTATCCTTATATTCTAATAGTAAAATAATGCACATCAGAGACCGAATAAAGTCAATAGTGCTACACATTTAAATGTGACGGCAGTATGTCGGGCTAATATGTGATCGAAGTCAAGTGAGTACTGTACACGGTGCCAGGGGCGGAGGCAAAGTATATTAGCGGTCAAGACAACTTTTTATTAAGCAAACTCAATATAAACTTAGGCACCCGCCCGCATCAGCTTAAACTCAATCTAAAGTAGAGTAAATTAAGCAAATGACACCCCTCCCCGTTTCGTTCTAGCTCCACCCCTGCACGGTGCGCAGCTCCATTCCACTCACTTGCATCCATGGCTTCACTTCACAATCCATTCTTGCCCATGCATTGCATATGCCACCATCATCGATGGCAATAATATGCTGAACCCGTCGTGCCATCGACGGTGGGTTTCCTAGCTCCCAGCCTCCCTCCTGTTACCGAGAAGAGGGCTAATCATCTCCTCCTTGTTCCAAGGCTCTCTGCATTGGAATGAATGATTCACCATGTGACTGACCTTGCTGCTGCCCTCTTCCTTTCCTCGAGCCATCTGTAGATATCAGAGAAATTCATCATGCTGCAGATGACCTCGAATCGAATCCATCGAGTAGCTTAGCTTGTAGCTAGGGTTCCTTTGGTTAATTTGCTCCAATGGCATTGCTTTGGTTGCTCAGAAAAGAAAAGAAAAACTCTAATTTCATGGGGTTTGGTTAATTCCTAGGGGAGGGGGGGGGGGAATGGGGATGATGATGCATCATCCTGCATATATGTTTGCATCAAATCCATATCTCGAACCCCCACTATATGTCTATGTTGGTAATGCAGAGATCTTCTTTTCAGATTCTCTCACTTGGCCCAAGCTTTAATTCTCCCTTTTGTTTTTTCCTCGGCTGCATCTTGCTGGAATTAATCCTCCTCCTTTTTATATATATAGCGCCTTTTGCTTTGGGATTCGATTTTTCTTTTAATTTCAGAGTGTAATTAAAAGAATTGTAAAAAGTTTCCACTGAAAACATTATGTAACAAAATTCGTGAAACTATATTACCATAATTTCTAGGGTTACGCGCTGCATGCCAAACTACTTGTGGTTTTGTGCAACATAGAGCATAATACCCAGGATTTTATGATATTCACTCCAAAAAAGATTGTAAAAATTCGCCACTGAAAACATGAGGTAAGCTTTTTTTTTCTTTTTCTTTGTAGGAAATAGAGCATGTTGTTAGTGAGAAATTCAGAGGAATTGATTTATTTGCTTTTGTACTTACTACTACTTATTTTATGATGTTTTTTTGTTTGTGCTGCACTAGTTCAGTGAAAATTTGTAGCCATGCTAATTGCAGAATTTATATATATTTATGGGTTGGTGTTCGTGGGTTGTTGGAGAATGTGATGCTCTTGGACTCGGAGGAAGGTATGTTGGTCCTGCTTCTCCATGCAGATCTCGTTGGCTAATTAAAAAGCCTTGCCTTCAGCTCACTTTCAGAACACTTTTCAGCTGGCTCAAGACTCGATTATCTTCTGTCTATGTTCTTCCAAGTGGAAATTAAAGAAAGAAAATATCTTTTGTATCAGAGGTTTTCTATGGTCGTTGAAGTTGCATATGTATTTTTAGCGTTAATTAGGAGGTATATGTACCTATCAATACCTCTCGAAAGACCATTAAAAAAAAACCTGTACCAGCAAGGAAAACTTTAACACTGAGAGTATTTTATTTCTGTGCTCTAGTTCTAGGTTTGCTTTTTCTCTGCTCTTCTCATGACTCTTGATTTGATTTCAAGTTACGCCATGTGACCACTTCTCATTTTATATGCCATCTTAATCAAAGTATCCTATTGTAAGGTGTTGGCTTGTCTTAACTATAGAAAAATAAGGGGGTTAAAGTCCCCATTCTTAGTTTCTCACCAATATGATTATGAATCTTGATCTCTTAATCTATACCTTAAACCTCAAGTCATGCCCCCCGGACCACTTCCCTCTATTAAGTTCCAAATCCTATGGATAATAGATAATCAGTTATCTCAATGCTGTAATAATAGCAAATTAGCCATATGGTTGACGGCAATGAAAAGGTTTATAGGATAGGGTTGTCAACTATTCTTCTTTTTTCCTTTTCTTCATTCAGTGTTCATTTCCAATTGCATCAATTATTTGTCAACATTTAAGAGCAGACAATATAGCATGCCTTGCTTGGATTGTTTGTCTGGAAAGGCTCAAACAAGACCTACATATTCTGAGCTTTAACAAAATGGGGCCCAAACAATTCTATGTGGAGTTCCTGATGCATATAGGTCATATTCCCTTTTACTTGGCAAAAAAACATATTTTCTTTACGACTTCTGAAGCCACTGCCTTGGCCATTTTGGTTTTCAGTTTTCAGCCGAAATTGGTAGCTGGTCATCTTCATCAAACCTCATCTCATCTTCTTGTCGAGGAAAAAACAGTGATAGATAAATATAATGTTGATGATACATTTATGGCTCTTATTTTCTAGCTAATTGTAGATGAAAAGGGGGAATTCCAAATTTTACAGGATTTTCATTGGCATCAATTCTGATGGAGGCCTTAGCCTTTTATTAGCTTCCACATAAACACAGATGGTAATTTACACCTTTTTGCAGATCCTGAAAATTGGTTTCTTTGGAAAAAAGAACATTGGTAACATTGTGCACACTGCAAAATATGGTATAATCACTTATGCGGAAAAATATGTATGACATTAGAGTATGTATCCAATTTCTTCCATGAGAATATGATATCTAAGATGAACCTTGCTCAGCAATACTGAGCAGGATTCTAGTCGTACTGCCGAAGCATCTCTCCCTGTTGTGTCCTACTTTTTTCTTGCATCAGATTACTCAAGAAAGATGAGGCGAGTGGCGATACGCGTGTGAGTGATTCCCATTGCAAATCTTCATAGATGAACTCGCATGAATAATATATCCCCCTGATCGGCACAGTTCATCGTGGCCCCGCTTGTCGGTGACTGTTCACGGGCATTTTCGTTTCGCAGAGAGAATTTTTCTAGCTTCTAATCCACAGAGTTGAAGAGGACTACCATGATGGTTATGGTTTTACATGTGCAAAATCTAGGACAGGATAGGCCAACAAAATGCTTTTAGGAATTAATTCTTACTGAATACTTCCTAATCATACACAATTCCTTTTTTATGCATATGTAGCAGCCAACCCAAATGATGTGTTATATGTGATCTCAAGAGTGTTCCTTTTTTCTTTCCTTTCTTTCTTTTTTCTTCAATTGGCCACCTGAAGAAAAGATTGGCTCCACACATTTGAACTGTGCCCTTTTCTGATGCTTTTGCATGATAGGTCACTCTCATTGTTCACACCAAAGCTCAACTAAATTATTAGTTTAATGGAGATCAACTAAATTAAACTAGCTTTTCTCTTTGCTTTTGATCTTGCTTTGGACACGAGCCAGGAGATCTTACCGAAATCTAGAGCGGCCGAATCCACCACCATCACCACTGATTAGTTTGGAATCTGCAAGCTTAAGCTAGCATTGTACAATAATTCTCCAAAGCCCTAATCATGGCGTCCACACCCAGCATGAACCCCTCTACCCTTCTACCCTTAAGAGGGGCCCCTGAAAACAGCGTGAAGACGGGTTTTCAGTGACGGTGACCGGTACGGTCTCCGGACCACCATGGTCGTCATCGTCTTCGCACCCTTTTTATTTTTTCGGTTGGGTGATAAGGTGATGATCAGGGGGGAGATTGGAGAAGATTGTGCTACAAAAGTGGCAGCTTCACTTTGTGTCGCTGGAGGAGGCATGGCACCCTGGGGTCTAATCAGCCATCATTCCATCCTCAATTTTTCTTAAGTTGGGAGCATTTTGCATCACTCTTTTGAGCTTTTGGGTGGAAAAAGGAGGAGAAAGGAGAGGGGAGGAGGAAATTCACCTTTGTTTATGTCAACCCTCCTGTTGCGTAATCGCGCCTTCCTGCACTGTTTTAAGGATGGATGAATAGATCAGTTGTTTCTAAGAAAAGATAGAAGAAAACCGAGCGAAAGAAAAGGCGAAAAAGGGAGTCTCTTTGAGCAAATGGTTTGGTCATGGATTTTCAAAAGATGGATGTATGGTTTATTTCTTGCCAGGTGAGTGTAGATACTCACTCCTCCCCAAGGGGAATCACCCAATGATTGACAGAATGATCATTGATAGGCAAAGCAGAAAGAATGAGGGGCACAATCCCATCGGATTGGCATCATATAAAGCAATCTTGATCTTTTTTATGAATGCCATTATGAGCCCATGATTAGATCTCAACTTAACAAAGAAAACTTTGTAGAACAAATGGTACACTCATATTCCAAAGGACAAGTGGTTCTCTTTATTCTTGTACAGGTGTATGTATGTACAAACTAGAATTACATGATCAGCAGCTTTACAACGTGCAATGTACATTAGGGTCTTTTTGTTGCAGAAGCTTGATGCACACACAGTTGCAAGGGGGCAGTTTCCATCAGATGCCAGCACCCATTATCTCCCAAAAATTCCTGCTATTTCTCTGCAATACTGAAACATCCGAATGCTAGATTCAAATGCTACAGTCCACATACTTCTTGCAAAGAAGGGCTGAAGATCTTGACTTAAGATGTCCCTTCTGATTTATTGTTCCTGTCAACCAGTAATAAACAGCCAGGTTAAGAGCTTGTTCACTTTGTTATTACCATTTTCGACCTTACCAACATTTGGTAGTACCAAATTTTGGCATATTTTAATGTTACTAAATTTTGGTAGTGTCCGAAGCGTTTAGTTTAAAGATTTACCAAATATGGGTAGTGTTTTTAAGAGTGGAAGCTTCCAAATTTTCCAAAATGTGGTATGGTAGCAATGGCAAGAATTTGTTTGGTATGTTGCCCTACCAAAATTTGGTAGGGTTGAAAATGGTAATAAAGTGAACAAACCTTAAATTTGATAACTGGTGTTACTATGTCTATGTGATATGCAGAAAAGTTCTGATGCACTAGTAATTATTCTCGTTGCATGAGAAACTTGAGCTGAATTCCATGTATAATATACAGATATCGCACAATAAGATGTAAACTTATTTGGGTACATATGAAAATCGAGTGTCATACACAGAACAAACTAAGGGTTTCTAAAAGCACCCAGAAAAACTCCATTTTAGCTATCTTGTCCGAATTAATTTAAATAAACAAAACTTTTGAATATACCAGAAAGAACACAGTAATAATGTCATTTTAATCAGGACATAGGATCTAACTTTCAAATGATAACAAAGTTTCAAAATGATACTGGTTTCCCAATCCTTAACCTGTCTAGAATGGTGCCTAAGGAAGTCCATAACACCTGCTTAGAGAACACATGTATTTGCACTTTCAGGTGCTAAAAACTTTGATTTTTTTCAAAGGATTGTAACACTCATTAGAATGACAAGAAAAATAACGAGGACTCAGAGACGCTTGCATAACTCTAATTTCTGCAAATAAAATAGTGGAAACATGACACAACACATTTATATTAGACAGTCCAACTTTCTGGTGATTCATTGCATTGGGGGTAGACAGACTTCACCATCCACATTGGGCTCAGCACGGAATGTTAGATGCAGGAATTCCGGAATCACAGTGCCATTGAATGCGATACATGAGGACACAAATAACCAGGAAACATTGTATTCTGCTCCCCTGCTCCCCCCTAGTGATTCCCAAGGTGTAAAGCAAATTTATTTTGGATGCACAAATATAACATAGTGCTTCCTATTCACTTGTGAAGTTTGGGTAATAAACAAAAGTACATAGAAATTTTGTGCTTCTGTATTAGCAACACAAGTTTAGACTTCAGGCCACCCTAAGGAGCACTGCTTGAGCAGAGCATTCTGCTAACTTACACACACAATTGACGGAAGTGGAAAGCAGATAGCTTAAGCTTAATTAGTCCCATCACGATTCAACTACAACCAAAGCATAGATATTATCCCATTCCTCATAAAGAACAATGGGTAAATCAAGGTCACCATGCCAACTCGCTGCAGGGATAACAGAGGAGCCTGCAGTCTGGGTAAATCAAGGTCACCATGCCAACTCGCTGCAGCGATAACAGAGGAGTCTGCAGTCTGGAAGCTTTGCAGGAGCACAAATGGAGCTTTAAGTTCGAAACAATGTCTTGGTCATGAAATTTTGTACTGAGTAAAAGTCTTTATTGTTTCTTTTCTTCAATTTAATATTTTTGGCTTTGATATACATCTGCGTACTTTGAGCCTCGTTCATTGCCCTTAATTCAAATGCGCATTCTCTAAAAACAAAATAAATAAAATAGAACCACGAACATCAACAATCAACATACAACTAACCAAATCAGACAATCTGCTGGCCGTTCAGTAGCTTAATATCTACAATTAAGTGCACAAGCACACGTAAGAATTAATTCTTAACCGGATGAAATAATCAGGTAATTCTGGACATCCAGATGGAGGAGGAGGAGATTTGTGGCAATGGAGGTTTCACCTCTCGCCCAGGGACCGGTAGAACCTGGCGAAGCGGCCGCGCTCCTTGGGCTTGGGCTTGACGGGCTTCTTCCGGCGGAGCCCGGCGATCTCCTGCACCAGCGGGACGTGCACCAGCACCGTCCTCCACGCCACGTACCAGCCTGCGACCCGCCGCCGCCGCGAGCAGCGAACGAAAGAATCAGGGAAACCCCTCGAGCCAAAAGCCGAAGCGAGAGGAGGAGAGGGCGGCCGTACTGAGGGCGATGATGGAGAGGACGAAGGCGAAGGCGAGGAGGGGCCGGAGGACGAAGACGACGGCGATCTCCCACGCCGCCGCCGCCAGCGCGGCTCCTCCTCCTCCTCCTCCGGCCATGGCGCCGCGGCGACGCTTCGTCGGCAGAAGGGGGAAGGTAAGGAGACGTGGGGAATCGGCGGGTTAGTCCATGACATGTGGGGCCCACGAAAGCTTAGAGGAGCAAAGCTAAATCGTTGCGTAGAAGTTTGTGTTACTAGCTTGTGCCTTGTGGCAGGGGTAGACGGATCTGGAATTCGAGAGGTGTTTCATAACTTGCCCTTTAATGCAAACGGATTTGTTATGTTTCACCAAATGAAATTCGATGTTTCATCAGTGTGAATGAAATGTCTCAGTCGTGATTTGAATGTGTTTTAATATTTTAACAAGGTGAAATATTTTTTTAACAGTAAAACATTTTATCTGGTAGAGCGCCCGATTTGTAAGTTCCCTGCCTGAATTTGGCCCAGGTGTGCGCACAATTGGCCGAGTGCATGTAAATTTGGCCCACTTGCGCGTTTTATAATTTCATCCCATCTATGGTCAAATTCGGCCTGAATGTTTACGATCAGTTTTAAGGGTACAGAGACGATTGCCAATCAACACATACTAGCAATTAATCTTCAGAGTCCCCAGGGTAACATAACATCTTCTACCCTATAATTCACCAACTACACTCATGCAAACCTCATTCATCAAATCCGACGGTCCAGAATCGTCGAATTCAACGGCTCGACTCCGCACCCATGCCTGCCCGCGTTCCTCCTCTCCCGTTTCACCCGCCCATCGCGCCGCCGCCGGTTTCCACCACGCCCCCCCCCCCCCCCCCCCGACCATCCCTCCCCCTCCCCAATCCCGCACCGCCGGCTTCCACTGCTCTCCTGGCCATCTCTCCCACGCCACCATCGTCGCCGTATCCCCGTCGCCGCCGCTACACCATCGCCGAGAATCCCCTTCGCCGCCGTCTGCGGGCCGCGAGCTCCTCCCCTCCCCCTCAGCCGCCGCCGATGCGACGGCCTCTGGCTTCCAACACGCTTCGAAGCCTCTGCTTCCGTCACCACGCGGCCTGCCCGTCCGCCGGCATGAATCAACCGCGATCTCAGCCCTAGAAGGGCGTGCAATGAAGCAGCCGCTGCTGCTTGGCGCACATATCGGCCCGTACGCTTGCACTACACCGGTGCCCGCACTAGGTAAGATCCTCTTTGAGATTTCCTTATGGTACGAATCCTGCTGAGGAGTTTAGAACCATTTTAAGCCTCTTAATCATTTTATCTGCTCAAATCCTCTCTTTTGTTTGGAAGATCAATGTGGTTTATTTTTGCTATGTTGGAACAATTAAGCGAATGAAATCTACTTGTTGGTACTATGGCATTAACCTGCTGTTTGTACCGTTTTTATTTCTGGTTGAATCTTGTGATTTTGCTGAAATCTTATCACCTAACGTGAATGTATGCTTTCAGTCCATTCAGTTGAAAATCTATTTAATATCATTTTCTTTTTAGTCTTGGTAGCACGGTTGACAATAATTATCGGTCAGTCCTTGGTTTTGTGGTGATGAGTCGTGAGTCAAATAGCATCTATAAAAGGATTCTACCTAATAATTTTCAGAGTGATGCCCTGCTCTAATATTTACCCCCATTTTTTTTTATCTCAGGTTTGACCTCTGTATTTCAGTGCCGTCTATAATTCATTAAGCTACTTTTGCTTACCCTTGTCTGTCTCTTTTCATTGCTGAAAGTTGATGTCTTTTTTAAGGCTAAGAAAGAGCTCATTCTATCTTCTGTAAATTTTACAGGCTCACTGAATGATGCCAAGATATATGACAAGGTATGGTCTCTAAGTGGCTTCCTGAATTTACAACTGAACCCTGTCCACATCTCTCCATTAACTGAGTCAGTCTAATGGGATAGAAGCACTACAATACTGTATTGGTGATGGACGTCCTGCAGGCCCTGGTAAACAAGGCAATCTCAGCTGGCGCCATGTGCGGGATGGGAGGCAGGCTGCGGCCACCAGCGATTTCTTTGTATGCAAAACTTCTTCGGCATGGCGTTACGGCTTAAATGGTTGGCAAAGAGAGGAGAGCATCGCGACAGACCTTGGACAACCATTGAGACTAAGCAGCCGAAGGAGTTACAGGACCTGTTCTTCTCAGCCACACGGCAAGTGTTGGGAGATGGGGGAAAACACAAAGTTTTGGCTTGCGGATTGGCTGCCAATTGGGAGCATAAAGGCGAGATTTCCGTTAATCTTCAGTCATGTGGAGCGCAAGGGTTTGACAGTGGCGAGAGGACTACAGAACCATAGGTGGGTGCGCGACATCAAAGGAGCTCCATCCAACCGAGCCATTGGGGAGTACTTTCAAATTTGGGATGCGATCCAGAAGGTGCAGCTGCGAGGAGGGGAAGAGGATGAGACAATATGGAAGTGGGCCTCGAATGGAAGATTTACCCCTTCCTCTGCCTATGACATGTTTTTTATGGCAAACACAGAGGCGCGTTGTGGCAATCTAGTTTGGCACACGAGAACACCGACAAAGGTTAAGTTCTTTATGTGGTTGGCAGAAAAAGGCCGTTGCCTAACGGCCGACAACCTGAGCAAGCGCGGATGGCCACACCATCAAACATTCTCACTATGCACCAGCAGCGACGAGGACTGTGAGCATCTCTTTGTTTCCTGCCCATACACCACCAGAGTATGGAGGATGATCAAGGGTTGGGCTGGAATTGGCATCCAACTGCCGGCTGAAGCAGGGTTGGAACTAGGGGAATGGTGGCTCTTGGCGTGGCAAGGAGTTCAGACTAGCTGCAGGGGCGCTTTTGACACGCTAGTTTTGCTTGTCTGTTGGATGGTTTGGAAGGAGAGAAACGCACGTGTTTTCCAGAGTCAGAGCCGGACAGCGGGTAGCCTCTTTGCTTTGATTAAAGAGGAGGTTGTGGTCTGGAAAGAAGCCGGGGTTTTCAAAGTTTTAGGAGAGTAACAACAGCATGATGTAATTGTTTTTTCTTTCGGGAAGTTGCCCTTGTGACAACATCCTTTTACTTCGACAGCCTCTTGTCGAAGTTGGAACCTTGTAAATATGTACATACCCCTTTCTTAAGTAAATTTGGTCCGCCTATCTTAGGCCGGCCCGGCTAAAAAAATAATGTGTGGAGAGTGGAGACTATGAATCTTAAAAGTTTTGATTTTTTATTTTTTCTATGGAGGGCATACTACCATTTGTGTAATGTGTAATGTGTAAAGAACTACTGATAATGCATTAGGGGATTTGGCTAGGATTTGGAGAAGCTGGTTCTTGCGAGTATTTGGTTTTTCCTTTGAATCTGGTGAAATGTGATAAGAGATTTGGCTTTCTATTTGAATCTATTGATATGTTATGGAGATTTTGCTAGGATTTACACTGATCTTCTCCTTTTGAAATGCCTCTGCTCAAATCCTCCCCCCGCTGACTAAAACCATGCAATCTTGGACATGCGCTTCCTCGTCGATATTAGGTAGTGCATATCAATCGTTGCTATATTTTAATAATAGGCTGTAATTTCACTATGAATTAAAATATACGTACTTGCCTAAATATTATTTATGATATTTCGTTACTTCTTTTCTTAGAAGGCTTAATTATTTTTTGTGCATCAAAGACATGAATATTCTATGCGGGAGTTCATAAACTCTCAAAATATGCTCTCAGATTATGTCATACTTATTGACCTTCACTGATGAAATGGGTACATCTTATCTGATTTGGGAACACAGACACACTATTTGATTGTCATTTGTATATAGCTGATAGTATGCCCCGCATATACTAATTAACTTTTTTGTGGATGGGTGCATAACCGCAGTCTACAGGTCATCAGCCGATGTATCAACAAGGGGAGTCTGCCCTAATGTCTTAACGGGCACCTCAAGCTGCATTCAATGGCCTCTGAAAACCTTAAACCTTCAAGGACAGGAAGGTAACTGACCTTCCAAAATAAGAGGATGCTCCATGTTGTTACGCTGTGATGATGGGAATATTGCACAAGGGCTTTGAGTAATTCATGGTTTGTTTCTGACTGATGTGATGAGATTAAGCTATATGTATTGTCCTTTCTGATGGCTATCAACAACTCAACTACTTTTGCCATTGTGAGCTCTAGCATCAATCATTCATCTTTGTTCTTGTTGTTTTTGATGCACACTGCCTAAGGCCTTGATTAGCTGTATTTGTTATACTTAGATTATATGTCAGATAATGGGAACCTCTTCATTCCCTGTCTTGCCAATGAGGATCGTGGATTATTTTACTATAAAAGTATTCCCTGATTTCTCGATGTACTGTAAAATAGTATCACTTGTGTACTATTTTGTGAGGAAACATTTATCTATTTGTTACGCTGGTATTACTTGACCCCTACTGAAAACAAGCAATCTGCTTTAGCATTCACTTTCGAATTGTATATATATGCAAATGTATGTATAACTCTCTGTACAAGTTTGAGGTCTTCAGACATAAACCATAGCGTGTATTTGTGTCATATAAGGCTGTGTTAGGGAACTAATCCCTCCAACCTGCAAAACAGAATGATTCGTTAGCGCTTGATTAATTAAGTATTAGCCTTTTTCGAAAATGGATTAATATGACTTTTTTTAAACAACTTTCGTATAGTAAATTTTTGAAAAAACTAATCGTTTAATAGCTTGGGAAGCGTGCGCACGAAAAACGAGAGAAGTGAGTTGAGAAAGAAGGGGGAAGAACACGGCCTAAGACCCTGTTCAGATGGGACTAAAACTTTTAAGTCCCTATCACATCAGATGTTTGGATATTAATTATAAATATTAAACATAGATTATTAATAAAACCCATCCATAATTTTGGACTAATTCACGAGACGAATCTATTAAGTCTAATTAATCCATGATTAGCCTATGTGATGCTACAGTAAACATTCTCTAATTATGGGTTAATTAGGCTTAAAAAATTTATCTCACAAATTAGCTTTCATTTATGTAATTAGTTTTGTAAATAATCTATATTTTTAATACTCTAAATTAGTGTCTAAATACAGGGACTAAAGTTAAGTCCCTGGATCCAAACACCACCTAAGTAATATAAGGTTTCATGGTCGTTTGGAACTTAAATTAAACACTAAACACTATAGAGAACTTGGATAAATTGATCACTCAGTATAAACACTATAGAGAATTTGGATAAATTAAACACTCCAAATCAAAATGAGAAAAAAAACACGTACTTACCTTCCTCGCCACATATTAAAGTTTTCTAAAGTTTGTTGATTTTACATTATTCTATGCTTAGTTGTCAAAACATGTATTATCTTTTGACATCAATATAGTCGTAGCGTTAGCACGTGCATATTACTAGTTAAAATAACTTTAAAAACAAGAGAGAAATGGTGCTGGTAGAAAAGCACGTGCATATTACTAGTTAAAATAACTTTAAAAACAAGAGAGAAATGGTGCTGGTAGAAAAGGGATGAACTCATAGGGGATTCCTGCTATTTCCCTTAGATATAAGCAGATGGTTAATTCAAATAAACAGCGCACAAATTAATAGCGTAGGGATGAGTTCTAACAATGGTAAGATATCCTGCAATGTTCAGGAGACTCATTTACCATAATAATCTTCCAATGCAAAACAACCTAGAGACCAGAAAGTCTGTCGGCAAGAATTAAATTTGGGCACTTCTCAAAACCATGGTAGGTAGCTGGTACAGGATAGAATACGAAATCACAGCCTGCAAACCACAAAAAAATGAAACAGATATGAGCGCTAAAGAACAACTTGAACTTTTTCTTTTTTATCAGCTTCTCAACAAAATACCAGTTTTCTGAATGTGCTCCTCTATCGTGGATGTGCCCACAGCAGTCCGTACCTACTCGGCATTTGAACGCCTCGTTGTAAGGTACTAACCACCAAAGCATCATAAAGGTATGGAACACCAAGCTACATGATGTTAAAAAGAAGTTAAGAAAAAAGAACTGTTGTGTTGTAGATGCTAGGAAGAAAATGATTATTATAAAAGAATCCAGTGAAATTGAAAAATTATTCAGATCCTATCACTGCTTTTCAAAATCCTTCATTTGAATTAACATTGCTCTCAACTCTTGAGTAGTGTTACCTAAATTGTTTCAGAAACTTATTTTCATTTGCATCAATAACCAATCTTTGGTTTATAATCGCTTTGTAAACAGGCCATGCAAGCCGTTTTATATAAATGAAGACAGTAAGCGCAATGCAAAATACTACTCCCTCCTTCCCAAATTGATCATTAAGCCCTTGAGACTCTTAACATCAACAGATGTGCCCTTGAGACTCTTAACATCAAGCCCACAAAAGAGGCAACTTCTATAAGTTCATAAAAAAAAATGAAAACAATTCCAATCCACACCACACAGGGCCAGTGTGATTTATTCTCATGCCAACAGCCTTAGCTACACGACAGCACCATTATAGGGATACAACATCTACCAAGCATGTCTCGTGCAACATAACAATATCTATTTATTGGCAATTATACAGATGAGATCACTAATTTGTTGCCAACAACTTTAAACTTTGCTATGTCAAAATCAGTGGGCATTCATGCATATAACAAGACAAAATTAAAATTGAAGATTTTGAACAATATCTTTGACAAGCAGGCCAAGTCAACAAAGTCTCAGGAAAAAAGCTATCAATGTTTCAAAAAAGTCAGAATAAATGACTCGACATTCCTATGTCACTAGGCCATAACCCAGAAGTTGCTAAGGCTATAACCCAGAAGTTGCTAACAAGCATTTTTAATGTAATCAATATTCAATATACCTTGAATTGGATCCTACTACCACGAGAGTTGCCATTGTGTTCTAAGAACAATTCTGAAATGTGGAAACATTTATCAGAACTTTGTGCCACTGAGATTATAGAAATCCCAGGACCATATATGTTAATGATCCATCGTCAAATCAAATATTTTACTCGATGTAACGTAGAGCAGAATGTAGTGCAAACTGGTTAAATAATTTGATATCCCCGCAATAAATAACACAACTTTAGTTAGTGAATGTCAAACATGTTATGGTTACTGAAACAAAACCGCGTGTAAAGTCAACCTTGGCATTGTCTCTACATGTGATATTTCTTGTCATGTTTTGACATTGTTTCCACTACGCTTCCTTTTAGTAGGTTTCGTGGAAGTGTTTGTAGTTTCAGCAACCATGAGTTTTTGAGCAGACAGCTGGCCAATAAAGAGAACATTCTGTGCCCAACCAGCATAGTTCCCAAATTTAGCAACAAATGCATCGGCAACAGCAACACTAAGTTTTGGGGTTAAGCTCTTGCCAGCTAGCTCCGGCATCAGATATTGTGTAGCAACCTGCATTAAATCCATATAGGAAGGGCTTAAAAACAAAATACAATTGTTTGTAGGTCATATAAAACTCATGTGAAAAAACCTCCTTCACAAGACTTCCCATCAACTTTAATTGTTTTTATGTCTAGAGAGTGAAGTCAATTGTGAATACATTGAATACTATTTCCCATTCAAATGATGAAAGTCCCACCCTCACCCAACTAAAAAAAATGAAAAAGGGCAAACCTTGTTATGCAGAGCTTATGGTTCAACAAAAATTGGAAGTAAATATGATCAGGGTAGAATGTGCAAAACAGGTTCCCATTCAAATAGTAAGAATGTGTAAAATGATAGTGAGGGAACTGACATGGATGTGAATTAATTAATTTTATCAACAATTTTTCATGGAAAAGTCTATGCATACTAAAATTTTCTTACAAAATTCTTACAAACTCTAATGTGGTAAGCCGTGAGTAAATCTAGATTTGTTGCAACTTCCATCTAGTTAAATCAAACGGTTGAGACATTTGTTAGTATAAGAGTTTTGTAAGAAAATTTTATTATGTGTAGCAGTACTCATTTTCATACCTTCCAGACATGTGTGTCAACAGGAATAGCATGGTTCTGATCGAGTGAGAACAAAGCAACACAGGCTGCAACTTTTGGCCCAACACCTGGAAGGGTGCAAAGAGCCTCAATCACCTCCGGGAGTTCCCTTGTACGCAATGAGGCAAGCCATTTCTCGCCTCCACCAGGCTTGGCCTGTAATATTTTAGCAGTGCCGACGATGTACTTTGCCCTGTTCATTTATTAGAACACAGCATTTGCTCAAATCAGTGTGCTATTGACTAGTATCTCAAATCAAATGTAGTATACATAATATGATAGAACTGAGTTATGATTCAAGCAATCCAAACAAGTGTTACGCCTGATTCAAAATGTTATTTCCCCAAAGCTGAAACCTCACCACACAAATGTGAAGTTGAGATTCTCTACATATTCATCGTATAAACAGTAATGGTAGGATCATCGTTTTATCGTCTACGAGCTCTGCTATTATCAGCACATTGATATAGCACGCGAATTTAGTCACCCATTATGTCTGAATTATAATTAACACAAGATCTAGATCCTACCAATGCCAAATGGGTTAATTGGAAAATACAAAGTAAGCATCAAAATGAACCTATAGATGCTTCAACCAATACTACTCCAACATAAGTAACAATGACTATAGATGAAAATCCTTTGTGAACTGACCTGTACCCGAACCCGGCATCCCGGAGCTCTTGCTCCGACACGCGCGCGAGCCGCTCGATCGTGGGGAATTGGTGGAATTGGTATCCTCCAACCTCGCCGAGCCGCTCCCCGTAGCCGGCCAGCGCCCACACCATCTTCTCGATCCGCGCGATGTTGTTGTTGGAGGAGCAGAGGAACTGGAACACGCACTCGACGGGGTCCTGCCTGAGCACCCGGGCGCCGCCGCCCCCGAGCCGCGCGGAGACCTCCGCGAACCGCGCGTCCGCGGCGGCGAACCGGCGCCAGAGGTCGGCGAGCGGCACGGCGGCGTTGAGGTAGTCGGAGAGCGCGGCGCGGGCCGCCGCGGGGACGGAGGAGGAGGAGGAGCCGCCGTTGTTGTGGAGGAGGAAGGCGAGGCGGCCGTCGGAGGACGGGAGGTGGGAGAGGGAGACGAGGTGAGGCCCCACGGCGCCGGTGAAGCGGAGCGGGGAGAGAGACGTGCGGCGCCACAGGAAGGTCTGCCCCGTGGGGAGGGTGAGCGGGAGGGACAGGTCGGCGGCGGAGAGCGGCAGGGGGTGCCACTCTCCGTCCTCCTCCTCGACGGCGGCGGCGGAGACGAGGGGGAGGCGGCGGCGGGCGGGAGGAGGGCGGCGGTCGGCGGCCTCGGATTTGGGGGTGCCCACGGGCGGGGTTGGCGGTGGTGTTGCGGTGGTGGAAGAGAGGAGGGGAGGGGAGGGTGGGAGCGGCGGCCGGACTCGGCGGCGGCGGCGAGGTGGCATCCCGGCGGCGGCGGCGGCGGCAACGGTCGGAAGGGGAGGATGACACCCCATGAACAGCTCAAAGACGAGCACTCCAAAGCTGTAAACATCGCACTTCTCCGTCACCCTTGTTGTATATGCTAGCTCTGCCACATCAATATTAAGACCTTGTTTCAATAAATTTGTATAGAAGGAATTCTATTCTATTTTGTACAATCTAAGATGCATCTTTGCGAGGTTGACTATAATAACTATTATCAGAAAATACTAATGAGATGAATGCCTAAGCTGTTAGCTCAAATACTTGTCAAAATGTTAACAAAAAATACAAGAGGATAAAGTAACTGATACATTATAAAATTTTACCTGGAGCAAGATAACCTTTTGTCCCAGCAAGCTTTGTGCAGTTCGATGCCTCTACATCTAGAATTTTGGCGATACCAAAATCAGATATGCAAGCTCTGAATTCCAGATCAAGCAAAATGTTGTTGCTTGTTATATCTCGATGGACTATGGGTGCAAAGCAATCATGATGTATGTAAGACAAAGCATTATCAACATCCTTTACAATATTTATCCTTCGCATCCAATCCAACTCAATTGCAGTGTTATGGTTCTCCAAATATCTTGACAAGCTTCCTCTATCCATGTATTCATAGACAAGAAATTTGACGTGAACTGCAGAACAGTACCCAAAGAGTTTCACAATATTTCGATGCCGAATACTCATCAAAGCATCTACTTCCCGCTTAAATATTAGCTCGTCATCTTCCGTCATATGAATTTTCTTTACTGCAAATATCTCGCCTGTTGGCAATTGAGCTCTGTAGACAGATCCGTTTCCTCCCATACCAATGCAATGAGTTCCATTGAAATTCTCTGTGGCTTCAAAACTCTGCTTGCACACATCTCCTCCATCAAAGTTCCAGACTGAAAACACTTTTGTGTTTCCAGCTCCATTTTCACTTTGCTCCACAGATTTCATCTTTCTGCGTTGCCATGTCACAAGTGCTGTGATGAACAGAACAGATATGCCAGCAGCAGCAGCAACACCAAGTAAAATGGGTCTGAATTTCTTTCCTTTGCCACCTTTCTGAATAAGGTTGCAAGGTGGTAAAGCTTTGACTGTACCACACAAGTGTTTATTATGCACGAACCACTCAACTGGAGCTTCTTCCAAGAACTTAATGTGTGGCACTGGCCCTTCCAAATTATTGTAAGACACATCCATGGATGAGAGGCTGATCATACCCTTAAATGATGGTGGTATGCTGCCATTTAATGTGTTGTGTGAAAGATTGAGGGCTTCAAGCATGTTCAAACCACTCAGCTGACTTGGTATGATCCCGGCAAATGAATTGTCACTTAAATCCAACAATTCTTGAAGGTATGTCAGCATCCCTAGTTTAATAGGTATGCTTCCTCCGAGGTGATTATGTCCCAGCCTTAGTGATTGAAGTTTCAAACAGTTCTCAATTGATCCCTGTATTGGTCCGCTTAGGTTGTTCAATGATAAATCCAAATACTCGAGATTCTGTAGAGAACCTAGTTCCTCTGGTATGTTTCCATGGAGCAAGTTGTTCGCGAGGCTCAAATTGAATAGAGACACCATACTACCAATTTCTGGTGGAATGTGCCCTTCAATTTTATTTGATGAAATATCAAAACTCCCTAACCAAGACAATTTCCCCAAGCTTGACGGTAGGACTCCGGTTATGCGATTGTTTGATACATGTAGATGTTAAAGGGTATATGTGTCTTTTCATCTCTTGTATACATTATATGTGGTCCTTGACCCTAAGTCAATAGTACATAGTAAATTCCCCAAATTTATCTATCACTGTAAGATGGTATCAGAGCTCATGGGCTGAACCCTAGCCCTCGATCCCCGTTGTCCGCCGGCGCTCCGGCTTGCCGGCGGCGGCTCCCTATCGGGCAAATCTTCTTCACGTCCTCCTCGTCCGGATCAGCAGCGGGATTCACAGCAAGTCAGTGTGATTCGTCCGTCAAGCGTGAGTGCATCGCTCATTGCAGCCGCTCGTCACGCGGTTGCTCCGCTCAGCCGTTGTTGCTGCTCTTCCACTACTGCTGCCGCTGTGTGCTGCTGGTGCTAATTCAGGAGACAATACATCAAGTCCTGTAAGCAAGTCTCTGTCCAGTCAATTTGTCAAATTTTCTTCTGCTGGTCTTGATGGCAACATCCGACCCCTTTCTTGGAGGTGGAGCTCTGCTCTCCACGGACATTAAGCTAAATGGTCAAAATTATCAAGAATGAGAACTTTCAGCTCGTATGCTTTTGAGGTCGATTGGTCAAGCATCTCACCTCACAGATGATCCTCCTGATGAGAAAACGGATGCAACTAAAATTAAGGCGTGGAAAACAGCAGATGATCGTGTTATGGGATTCATATTCATGAGTGTAGAGGTGCCTATTCGGATGAGTTTCAGGGATCACACTACCGCTAAAGAGATGTGGGACTACCTCAAACAGAGGTACACTCAAGAAAGCGGAGCTTTGCGTTTTTCCTTGCTGCAGAATTTGCACAACTTACAACAACAAGATCAGTCCATTGAAGAATTTTATAATGCCTTTACTCGGTTGTCTGGACAGCTTGAGGCACAGACTCCAAAAGGTGCTTCAGGTTGTGCACAATGCAAGGCGAGAGAGAAGCATGATCAAGAAAATCTAGTGTATCAATTTGTCATGAGACTTTCCTCTCAATTTGAGTCCATTCGAGTTCAGTTGCTTGGACGTCCTACACGTCCTACTATGGCGGAGGCTCTTGCAGATCTAATCGCTGAGGAGACACGTCTTTGTTCCTTGGACACTACTCCTACTCCTGTGGTTACTCACAATGTCATGGCAGCACCTCAGCGTGTTGGAGCTCCTATGGGCGGGATCCCTGAATTCAGTTCCATCGCCAAAAGTGATCGTATTTGCTCTCATTGCAAGAAGGTTGGACATATTTCCGATGATTGCTTCTATCTTCATCCAGAGAAGTTGGCTGATTATCAAGCTAGGCGTGCAGCGGTCCCCCGTCCTCGTGCGACGGCTAGTGCTCCTGTTTTCTTGGATATCACTGCTGCTGGTCCTTCTAGTACTAGTGCTGGTGGCAGTGCCTCTAGCGCCGTCTCATGTGCTCCTCAGTCATTGGTTGCAAGACCGTCTTATCAAGCCAGTGATTGGTCATGGCCATCACCATAGTTGGTCCCCAAGGCCTCTAAGTGTGAGGTCATCTTCGCCTACCACTTTTGTTGCCATCTCCTACTTGTTGCTTTTGCTTGCTGTTTGGAGAAAAAGGTTGTTGCTGCTATAGTATATATCTGTCCTTCAGTTCAGTTCAAGTCTTCTGTTATCCATTAAATCTATCTAAGTCAATTTCATATCTTCAATTCGTCTAAGTGTATGAGTCTTTTATATCATCACCAACAACAACAACAGCTCCCACCGGAGCTGGATTGTCTCAACCTACTCCAAATCTTTGAAGAGCCGAAGAACAATTTGTGAAGGCTTCATGGTACCAAGGGCTGAAGAACAATTTGTGAAAGCCTCGAGGTCCACTTCATTGAGGAGGGGATGCATCTTTCCTACTTAATCATCAAGACTTACATGCTTCGACAATATCTTTAAGCTTATATTTTGGTTTTAGTTTAGTTGTACCTTCCAAATGCATTGTTGTATACACATTGCATTTGAGTGGGGGTGTTAAAGGGTATATGTGTCTTTTCATCTCTACAGGAGCTGGTTCTTATTTGCTTTGACATACTCCCATCAAGCTTGCCCTCTCTGTCATCCTTGAAGAGGTTCACTCTGATGTTTAGCAACAATATTGACTCGATATGTTAAAGGGTATATGTGTCTTTTCATCTCTTGTATACATTATATGTGGTCCTTGACCCTAAGTCAATAGTACATAGTAAATTCCCCAAATTTATCTATCACTGTAAGAGTAGATAGGTAAGTTTGGTGCACTCACCCCACCGAGGAGATAATTGTCCAAACAGTTTATTTGAGCTCATGTCAATATAGACAAGGTTTGGATGAAGGCCCAACTCGGAGATATCTCCTTCAAGTTGATTTCGCTCAAGACGAACTCTAACTAGGGTTTTGCAGTTTAGTAAGCTTGTTGGCAATGGTCCAACAAGGCTGTTGTGATCAGCAGTGAAATTTTGTAGCCGACTTGCTGCGCATAGTCCTGATGGTAACTCACCAGAGAGATTATTAAGACTGATTTCCAAAAACTCTAGATTCACTAAGTTGCCAAGTTCTTGAGGAATAAATCCAAAAAGTTGGTTAGATACAAGATTTATGGAATAGAGTTTATTCAAATTCCCTAAGCTGTTCGGGATGGAACCTGTGAGATTGTTATCAGCAAGTGATAAGTTATTTAGGTTCACCAGGTTACCTAGTTCTTTAGGAATGTGTCTAGAAAGTTTATTGCTCCAAAGCAACAAGTTGGAGAGTTTAGTCAAATTCCCTAAGCTGTTTGGAATGGAACCAATGAGCATGTTTTTGGAAAGATTTAAATTCTCTAAATTCACAAGCTTACCTAGTTCTTGAGAAATATGCCCAGAAAGTTGATTGTGCCAAAGAAACAAGTGGGAGAGTTTAGACAGATTCCCTAAGCTACTCGGGATCAAACCTATGAGGTTGTTTAAATAAAGCGATAAGTTCTTTAAGTTCACCAGGTAACCTAGTTCTTGAGGAATGTGTCCAGAAAGTTGGTTTTCAAAAAAGTGACAACTCAATGAGTTTAGTCAAATTCCCTAAGCTGGTTGGAATGGAACCTGTGAGCATGTTTTTGGAAAGTTCTAAATTCTCTAAATTCACAAGCTTACCTAGTTCTTGAGAAATATGCCTAGAAAATTGGTTTTCAAAAAGTGCTAAGTCAATAAGTTTAGTCAAATTCCCTAAGCAGTTTGGAATGGAACCTGTGAGCATGTTAAAGGAAAGATCTAATTTCTCTAAATTCACCAACTTACATAGTTCTTGAGAAATATGCCCTGAAAGTTGATTGTGCCAAAGAAACAAGTGGGAGAGTTTAGACAAATTCCCTAAGCTACTCGGGATCAAACTTGTGAGGTTGTTTGAATAAAGCGAAAAAGTTCTTTAAGTTCACCAGGTAACCTAGTTCTTGAGGAATGTGTCCATAAAGTTGGTTTTCAAAAAGTGACAAGTCAATGAGTTTAGTCAAATTCCCTAAGTTGTTTGGAATAGAACCTGTGAGCATGTTTTTGAAAAGTTCTAAATTCTCTAAATTCACTAGCTTACCTAGTTCTTGAGAAATATGACCAGAAAATTGGTTTTCAAAAAGTGCTAAGTCAGTGAGTTTAGTCAAATTCCCTAAGCAGTTTGGAATGGAACCTGTGAGCATGTTAAAGGAAAGATCTAATTTCTCTAAATTCACTAGCTTACATAGTTTTTGAGAAATATGCCCAGAAAGTTGTTTGTGCCAAAGAAACAAGTGGGAGAGTTTAGACAGATTCCCTAAGCTACGTGGGATCAAACCTGTGAAGTTGTTTGAATAAAGCGATAAGTTCTTTAAGTTCACAAGGTAACCTAGTTCTTGAGGAATGTGTCCAGAAAGTTGGTTTTTATAAAGTGATAAGACAGTGAGTTTAGTCAAATTCTCTAAGTTGTTTGGAATGGAACTTGAGAGCATGTTGTCACAAAGCCTTAGGCCCTTTAAGTTCACCAGGTAACCTAGTTCTTGAGGAATGTGCTCAGAAAGTTGGTTGTGACAAAGATCCAAGAGCGAGAGTTTAGTCAAATTCCCTAAGTTGTTTGGAATGTGCCCGGAAAGTTGATTGCCCCAAAGAATCAACACAGAGAGCTTAGCCAAGTTCCCAATACTGTTTGAAATGGAACTTGAAAGTTTGTTTATGCCAAGCCTCAAGTCTTCTAAGATCGCTAAGTTCCCAACTTCTTGAGGAATGCACCCAGAAAGTGTATTATATAGAGGTATAAGGTAGTGATTTTAGTCAGGTTCCCTAAATTATTTGGAATGGTACCTAATAATCTATTGGAATTAAGTTTCATGGACCTCAACTTCACCAAATTTCCAATCTGCTCAGGAATATATCCAGAGAGGTTATTATCTGAAAGATCCAAGGACTTGAGCTCTGTTAACATATTGATATTGATCGTTCTGCAGGAGCAGGGATCTGAGCTCTTTGAGGGACGCACCACTCCAAGGGATCCTCCCCGTAAGCTTATTGTGTGAGAGATCGACGCTTGTCAGCATCGTCAGTGCAGAGAAGTTGAGGACCTCAAGTGAGCCTCTCAGCCTCATTCCACGCAGAGAAATCTTGGTGATCACAAATTTCCCTTGTCGAGCACCGCACCCAATGCCACGCCAGCTGTGGCATGGCCATGCCTTGCGATCCCAGGACTGCAGGGGTTCCTGGGTTTGCAGGGTGGCCTTCCAGGCGATCAGCGCTCCAGCTTGCTCTTCGATGGATGGCATGGCAATGGCAGGAGGGGCAAGGAGTGAGGACAGTAGTATAGCTAATGGCAGGACCAAATTTAGGGGAGATAAGGGATCCATGGCTTGGGTAGAGTAGAGGACTTTGCTCAAGCTAAGGTTGGTCTGTGTTGTTCTTATACTGGACAGTGTTGACTGCTACTGTCCATGATCAGCTTGTAAGTCTATATGGTACAGTGCTTACTACCGTACCACATTTAGTTGCACATTGGACTTGGAAAAAAAAATTCAACGATCGTAAGATAAGTGAAAGCAACATGGATGGAACACTTACATGATTAGTTCTCTGGTCTAATCCAAACAAGGTTGGAGTCGAGACTCGAAACATGAGATTCTCAAGTCAATTAAGCAAATATGGAAGTCATCACCTTTCTAAATCAACGTACCCAGGGGGCAAGTAGATATGGAAGAATGGAGCCTTGTTCAGATTCTCAAGTCAAGTAGCCTTCCTCCCTTACTGGTTGACTAGTTGTTGGAGAAAAAAATTGAAAATATATTATTTATTTTTCTTTTTCTCAGAAATATCGGGGATTTAATCTTATTTGTGTAAATAGCTGGGAGACCGAGCGGTCGGTCTAGCTTGCTCAACCAGCGAGACCGACAGCACACACACCCTTGCCACTAATTAGTGATTAATTATCTTGACTAGCCGTCACCGGTACGTTGCACGGCTATTTATCGACACGTGTCATGAACATCAATTAATTTAGTTATATGTTGAATGTGTTTTCTTACTATGGCTTACATGAAAAGAATAATCCAAATTAATCATTATTCGTGGGTTGTCTTAAGTTTTTCAATTAAGGCTGTGTGTGTTTAGTTCCCTTCAAATTTTCAAAAATTCTGTCACATCATATGTTTGGACACATCCATGGAGTATTAAATGTGGACGAAAATAACCAATTACACAGTTTGCATGTAAATTGCGAGACGAATCTTTTGAGTCTAATTACGTCATGATTTGACAATGTGGTGGTACAGTAAATATTTGCTATGACGGATTAATTAGGCTTAATAAATTCGTCTCACAGTTTACAGGCGGAATCTATAATTTGTTTTGTTATTAGTCTATGTTTAATACTTCAAATGTGTGTTCGTATACTTCAGCAAAAAATTAGTTGTGAGGCTGTGTTTAGTTCCCTTTAAACTTCCAACTTTTCCGTCCCATCAAATATTTGGACACATGCATGGAGCATTAAATGTGGAAAAAAAACCAATTAAACAGTTTGCATGTAAATTGTGAGACGGATCTTTTGAGCCTAATTATGCATGATTTGACAATGTGGTGCTACAGTAAGCATTTACTAATGACGGATTAATTAGGCTTAATAGATTCGTCTCGTAGTTTACAGGCGGAATCAATAATTTATTTTGTTATTAGTCTACGTTTAATAGTCAAATAGGTGTCCGTATACGAAATTTTTTTTTTACCAAAACAACTAAACACGGCCTAAGCTAATAATAAAATAAATATTGAAAAGTCTAAGATGGATACGACTTCATATTTAAATTTAGTAATTATTAGATATTACAAATCTAAACCTACAAAATCCATGATATTTCCAACGGTATGTTTTACTTGTAAAGTATATAGCCGGTCCCTAAACTTGTACGATTATGTCATTTAGGTCTCAAACTATAAAAATACATATCCAGATCTCAAAACTTATTAAATTGTGTCAATCCGATCCCAAACTGCCATGCCATCTCCAGGATCTTACCTGGCATGCCACACCGGATGATGATGTGGCAGCATCACAAATCCTACACCAACTGGCAAGTGGGCCCTTCTTTCCTTTTTTTTCCCATCCTCTCATTTCTCCGTTTCTCTTCTTTTTCCTCTGTTCTTCCCACTGCATCGACCGTAACCATGCCCTCTGGTCGAGCTGTCACCTCGGTGACACGAACAGCGCAGCGTCCACAGGCAAGAAGGCAACGGCGCGGCAGCCGCGTCGACAGAAGGCGCGCCATCGCGTGGGCAGTGACGTTCCCGCCCAAGCCGAGAACACCGCGACCACCAAGTCGACGCCCTGATGCTCCTAGGCAGCTGTGCTCAGTCGGAAGTTCTGACGGAGCGCCGCTGCTTCGCACGCCATCGCCGCTTGTACGACGGAACAAGATAGAAAATTGGAGAAGACAAAGTGAAAAAAAAAAAAAAAGAGGAAAGGGCAAAAAGAGAAAAAAAGAGAGTTTTTTTTTAATGTGGGTCCCATTTGTCAGCCAAAGTAGAGGTATTGATAATACCACATCAGCGTCTATGTGACATACCACGTCAGCACCATGTAAGATGCCGGAACGGTGATGGCTATGTTGGACCGGAATGTCACACTTTGGCAAGTTCCAGGGTTTGAATATGCATTTTTAGGGTTCGGGGACCTAGATGACACAACGATTCAAGTTTAGAGACCGGGTCTGTAGTTTACTCTTTTACTTAACATAAACATTAAAATATTACATAGCTACTATCGTAGATATTAACATTAATTGTATTATTCCTTCAACTTTTACAAGCTTAAAGATTTACAAATTATATTGCTAATTATATTTTTATGTGGAATCACATATTGGTCGGCACATATTAAAAAATTTATATGAACAATATGTTGATAACACGTGCAAATATGTGCCCAAAGCCATCAATAAGAAATTTTTATCGTCGAATTTTTTATTGGATTGTGACTCCATGCCAATATCAAACACAACTCACTATTCTCGCTATTGATTTGTTGTCGAATTAAAAATTATTAAATGGTGAAAAAAATATAATTAAGACTCTCTCTTGATACTTAGTAATTCATAATTTCTAAACTAAATTAATAAAAAAACTCCAAAAAAAACAACAGTAAGGCTTTAGCGTGAATTAAAATCAGAATACAAAGAAAAACATAATGCTTATAAAATTAATAGCAATAGCCCGTGCAACGCATGGGTTGTCGGCTAGTATAATTAGCAATAGATTGGGAGCCCATACATTCCCGATTACTCGTTGTTCTTCTTGCATCGGCGGTGGACCTTCCCGATTACTCTAGGAGCAGGTACAATAGAATTGTTTTATTAGATGCAAAAATACCATGTTAGATTGTTTGGTGCTTTCAAAGAGAGAAGAGAGAGAAGGAATGCAGGCCACAAAATAAGCGCCAACTACAACACATTCCTCCACACCTGGTGAGCCTCATTCCATGCTCAGCTCTTCGTGATTGGTGAAACCGTGCTAGCCTGCGCACAGGATAGGAGGGGAGAGAGAAAAGGTAGGAAGGAGAGAGGAGGTTAGACCCACTTTATAGTAAATTATTTTTATAGTCAAGAGATTAGGGCCATGTTTCTTTCAGCTTGGGATTATTATAATCTAGATTATTGAGTCAGATTATTATAAGCTAGATTGTTATAATCTATAGTAGAATAAGCGGTTAGTTGTTTCTTTCCTAGATTATTAGAGCAGATTATTGGTTTGCAAGTCTAAAGAGGGAGTGGGGTGGCATGGTGGGTAATTTTTCACCCAATAATCTGGAAAAAGCTCACCTAAATGAGCTTATCAGATTATAATAAGCTGGGCTCCAGATTATAATATGCTACTTCAATAAGTTGTCTGTTTCTTTCAGCTTACTCCCAATAATCTGGATTATAATAATCTCAAGCTGAAAGAAACAGGGCCCTAGATCTATCTACTCCCTTCATCTCTTAATATAAGGGATTTTGACATTTTGCTTGGACTGTTTGATCATTCGTCTTATTCAAAAAATTTAGAATTATTTTTTTTGACTTACTTTATTATCCAAAGTACTTTAAGCACAACTTTTCATTTTTTATATTTGCACAAATTTTTTGAATAAGACGAGTGGTCAAACAGTGCAAGCAAAATATCAAAATCCCTTATATTATGGCACGGAGGGAGTATTATAGAAATTACGGGTCTGTTTGGTACAACTCCAGCTCCTAGATTCATTTTACCTGGAGCTGGAGCTCAACCAAACGGTTCAGATTCGCCAAAAACTGGATCGGAACGGGGTGGATCGCTCCAAAATATTGTATTGAGGTGGAGCGGCGAAAATGTAGCTCCACGGCTCCACTCCGAAAATAATTACAGCACTACCCATTCCTTTTCACTGAAGTTATAGGAAAATGCCACCACTCTACCCCCTTCGATTCCCTCCCGCATTGGGCGAGCGACGCATTCCCAACCCCTTCCTCGCCCTTCTCTCGCGACGGTGGAAGAGAAATCGTCGCACGGCGGTAGCGGCTGCGCACGTCGGTAGTGGCGGCGCACGGCTGCAGCTCCCTTCCTCACCCTTCTCTCACAACGACGGCGGCAGAAGCAACTCCCTCCCTCTCTCGGCTGGGGCGGCACGCGGTAATTGAGGCGGTGCATGACGGTTGGAATGGCTCCGTGGCTGCGCGATGCACAGCGGCGGGTGTGGCACACTGGGGCGACGGCGCTCATGGCGGCGGGGTTGAAGCACCTCTAAAACTATCTATAGATGACATGTATAAACTATTTATAGATTACAGCTTACAGCTGTCTATACTATTAAACTTGCTCTAATGGCACCGATCAGAGCTGCTTCCTCGGCGATCGTGCCAAAAACGCGAGTTCCTTTTGGATTTCTTTTTTGACCAATGATAACCGTTGCATTGTCATCCCTTAGAGGGTATTGTTAAAAGATCCTCGATTCCTAATGCAATTGATGTAGTAGTGGCTTGATGGAAGCCCAGTGTTTTTATTTGATCCAGTATATGGGTGGTGGTGAACCTCTCATTCACCTTCGGTACTCTCCGAACTGTGCGGGATGGTTTCCCATCACACGGCTCACCACCACCACAAGTAGAGAATCCCAATGTGCTTTTTACTAGGAAGATGAGGATGCTATTCTTTAAAGAACCGAGCTTGACAAGCATTTCCCATCCATCTTTCCCCTTCTTGATGAGCGCACTACGACTCATTCAAAAGAGAGAGTAAAAGGAAGAATTTCCCATGCCAAAGGATCAGAACTGATCAGGTCTCAATCCATTTGTACTTGCAATTTCATCATGATCCTTATCAACACAACTAATCGATACATTTATAAGAAATGAACCGCAGCGAACCCTCAGATGACCCGTCTTGCCAAATCAGTTACTGGTCCTAAAGAATTTGTATAGCTCATGGTATGATATTTGTCTGGAGTTTATGGTGATGAGAGGTGTAATTGGTGTGGTTTGATCATCTCTCAGTTCACCGATTCATCCATCCGGTGTGATGGACGACTCTCCAGTAGAAGATGTGACATCGTCGCCTAATAACCAGAAGAAGCACTCCTTCATTGGGCGTCATGGAGGTGCCAGTGCTCACGGATTTTTGGAGTTCTAGAGAGCATGGATGACCTTTGCAGTTTGCAACATCAACTTCATTGAGATGGATGATATGAGTTGCATCAGTTTCAACATTGATGAGTTGTTCGGTCAGATTGTCCATTAATTTTGCTTTGTAGAAAGAAATTCTTCTGTATGTTGGATATCCCAGTCCTATGGCTTCATAAGACAAGGATATTCGACACCTATTCTAACACTATAAGTGGAGAGGGTGGGAGTGATGGCCAAACACAGCGGTGGTGACGACAACGGTTGGAATGGGAGGTGATCATGGGAGAAGAGTGACATGCCGCATGAGGCACGGAGGCGGAAAAAGCGATATTACACATTCTCTCAAGTCTACTGAAGCTCTGAGAACTGAGATGACCTGAAAATTCTGCAATTTATCAGGCTCCGTTTTGAATGTCAGGCAAACAGTAAGCAATTCTCAGCTTATCTCATGAACAATTTCAAAAATGATAAAACCAAACCGTTTTAAGCAGCTACTACTTATCATCACTGAAACATACCAACACAAGGAGAGCAGAGACAAAAGATGCATCTGAAAACTTTGATACTAAACATACAATTATACAGTATTTGCTAGAATAGGAGAACAAGAAGCCTCATTGCCATGTAGTCAGAGAAAATGGTAGCCATGTATACCATCCATCATAAATCTTAGAGATTCGTATTACAATTTACAACAAAGCAGATTGATCAAACAAGGTAGCATAGTAAGCACAAGAACATCACCAGCAACACGTATTAGGGTCGTGTACAAAATGCAGGTATGTTTGACAACCACGCAATTAACACCAACGAAGTAGAGAGAACACAAATCATCATACAAGTGATGCTTTATAATACTTGACAAGTTGACATTAACAGGTGCAATAGACTGACCTACCTATGGTGTGAATTGCCACATTCTTGTGGGGAAAAAACCCTGAGCAACATGAGAAACAGCAATTTTCTGACAACATTCACTGGTAGTACGCAGGGATGATTATGTCAACATGTAGATGGTCAGGATTGCTAGGTCCTTCAGCTGTAGAAAACATCCGAGTTACATGTTGCATTGTTGGACGACGTGATGGGTTGGGGTCCAAGCACTGGACAGCAGCCATGATCACTCTAAATATTTCACTTGCTGTCTCAGCTTTAGGAAGTGGGATCCGGGCGTCCAACAAATCCTTCAATGTTGTACTTTCCTTGGCCATGGAGAAGGACAAAAGGAAATCACCAGGATGATGCCCCATGAACAGCTCAAAGACAAGCACTCCGAAGCTATAAACATCGCATTTCTCTGTCACCCTTGTTGTGTATGCAAGCTCTGCCATGTAAAAATTTAAGACTTTGTTTCAACAAATTTGCATATGTAAATAGTATAGAAGGCATTCGATGCTATTTTTACAAAATGAGATGCAAATTTGCCTAATTGTATCTAATATACTACTATGAATCAAAGATATACTAGTAAGACGAATACTTTAACAGTTAGCTCGAATATTTGTCAGAGTTACAAACTAATATACAAAAGGACAGAGCAACTGATTTAGTACAAATTTACCTGGGGCAAGGTAACCTTTGGTCCCAGCAAGCTTCGTGCAGTTCGATGCCTCCACATCTAGAACTTTGGCTATACCAAAATCAGATATGCAAGCTCTGAATTCCTGATCGAGCAAAATGTTGTTGCTTGTTATATCTCGATGGACTATGGGTGCAAAGCAATCATGATGTATGTAAGACAAAGCATTAGCAACATCTTTGACAATACTTATCCTTCGCATCCAATCCAATTCAATCGCAATGTTATGGTTCTCCAAATATCTTGACAAGCTTCCTCTATCCATGTATTCGTAGACAAGAAATTTGCCGTGGACTGCAGAACAGTACCCAAAGAGCTTCACAATATTTCGATGCCGAATTCTCGTCAAAGCATCTATTTCTCGCTTAAATATTAGCTCGTCATATTCCATCATATGAATTTTCTTTACTGCAAATATCTCACCTGTTGGTAACTGAGCTCTGTAGACAGATCCATTTCCCCCAGTTCCAATGCAGTGAGTTTCGTTGAAATATTTTGTTGTTTCAAAAATCTGCCTGCATGCTTCTCCTCCCTCAAAGTTCCAGACTGAAAACACTTTTGCGTCTCCAACTCCATTTTCGCTTTGTTCCCCATATTTCTTCCTTTTGCATTGCCATGCCACTAGTGACATGATAAACACAATAGACATGCCAGCAGCACCAACTATACCAAGTAAAATGGATTTGAATTTCTTTCCCTGGCCACCTTTCTGATTAAGGTCGCAAGGGGGTAAAGCTTTGACTGTACCACACAACTTTTTATTGTGCATGAACCACTCAATCGGAGCTTCTTCCAAGAAGTTAATATGTGGCACTGGCCCTTCCAAATTATTATATGATACATCCAGGGATGAGAGACTGATCATACCCTGAAATGATGATGGTATGCTGCCGTTCAGTGTGTTGTGTGAAAGATTCAGAGCTTCGAGCATGCTCAAAGCACCCAGCTGACTTGGTATGATCCCAGAAAATGAATTGTCACTTAGATCCAACAATTCTTGGAGGCTTACCAACATCCCTAGTTTAACAGGAATGCTTCCATCGAGGCGATTATGGCCTAGCCTTAGTAATCTAAGTTTCAAACAGTTCTCAATCGATCCATGTATCTGTCCACTTAGGTTGTTTGATGACAAGTCTAAATACTCCAAATTTTGTAGAGAACCTACTTCCTTTGGTATGGTTCCCTGGAGCATGTTGTTTGCAAGGCTCAAATTGAATAGAGACACTACGTTACCAATTTCTGGTGGAATGTGTCCTTCAATTTCATTCGATGAAACATCAAGTCTCCCTAACTGAGACAATTTCCCCATGCTCGATGGTATGACTCCAGTAATACGATTATTTGATGCACGTAGAGTGGTAAGTTTGGCGCACTCACCCCAGCGATGAGATAATTGTCCATATAGTTTATTTGAGCTCATGTCAATATAGACAAGGTTTGGATGAAGGCCCATCTCGGAGATATCTCCTTCAAGTTGATTTCGCTCAAGACGAACTCTAACCAGGGTTTTGCAGTTTAGCAAGCTTGTTGGCAATGGCCCAACCAGGTTGTTATCCTGAGCAGTGAAATTCTGTAGCTGGCCTCCAGCGCACAGACCCAATGGTAATTCACCAGAAAGGTTGTTTTGATCGATATGCAAAATATTTAGATTCATTAAGCTGCTAATTTCTTTAGGAATGGATCCAGAAAGTTGGTTAGAACGAATATGTAAGGCAGTGAGTTTAGTCAAATTCCCTAAGCTGTTCGGGATGGAACCTGTGAACATGTTTTCACTAAGGTATAAGTTCTCTAAATTTACCAAGTTACCTAGTTCTTGAGAAATACACCCAGAAAGTTGGTTTCTCCAAACAGATAAGGTGGAGAGTCTAGGCAAATTCCCTAAGCTGTTTGGGATGGAACCTGTGAGCATGTTTCCAGAAAGGCTCAAGATACTGAGTTTAGTGAAATTCCCTATGTTGTTTGGGATGAAACCTGTGAGCACGTTGTCATAAAGTGATAAATTCTTTAAGTCCACCAAGTAACCTAGTTCTTGAGGAATGTGCCCGGAAAGTTGATTTCTAGAAAGATCCAAGAAAGAGAGTTTAGTCAAATTCCCTAAGCTATTCGGGATGGAACCTGTGAGCATGTTTTCACTCAGATATAAGCTCTCTAAATTCAACATTTTACCTAGTTCTTGAGAAATGTACCCAGATAGTTGGTTTCTCCAAAGAGATAAGATGGAGAATTTAGTCAAATTACAAATGTTATTTGGGATAGAACCCGTCAAGGTGTTTCCAGAAAGGCTCAAGACACTAAGTTCGGTCAAATTCCCTAAGCTGTTTGGGATGGAACCTATGAGCTTGTTATCGTAAAGTTGTAGGTCCTTTAAGTTCAACAGGGAACCTAGTTCTTGAGGAATGTGCCAAGAAAGTTTGTTGCTTTGAAGATACAAGAAACAGAGTTTAGCCAAATTCCCTAAGTTGTTTGGAATGTGCCCGGAAAGTTGATTAGAATTAAGTTTTAAGGACCTCAACCTCACTAAATTACCAATTTGCTCCGGAATATGTCCAGAGAGGTTATTATCTGAAAGATCCAAGGACTTGAGCTCCTTTAAGTTAATGATCTTGGTTGGAATGGAATCAACAAGACTGTTTTGACTAAGATTAAGGTATTCTAGGCTCACTAAATGTAGCGCCCGTTCCGTCGTGGCGCCTAGCGGGAAAATTATCTCTTAAAAACCTAAATTGCGAAATTTGTTTCTTTGCTTGTTGTCTAGTGTCCGTGCCATCTCAGATCTCAAAACCCCGATCTATCGTCGAGCTCATTTCCGAATCCAAATCCTTCCTAATCAAATTCCTCCGCAAAAGTCTATTTTGCCTCCCCCGGGGTCGATGGGCCGAATCTCTTCCGGCCCATCTCCCCCTCCCTCCCCGGCGCCCTCTCTCTCTCGCTCTCTCTCCCTCCCCCCTCCGCTCCGCCTGCGCGCTGCGCACGCGAGCGCGGGAGCCGCGCCGAGCGCCCCTCCCCCTCTGCTCTGCCCGCGCGCGTGCGCGTGACCGCCCGCGCCGAGCCGAGCCCTCCTTTCCGCTCCCTCGCTGCCGCTCCCCGCGCGTCGTTCGCGCGCGCGCCCGCGTGGTCGTCGCCCGCGTCGCGCCTGCGCCGTCTGCGCCGCCCGGCCCCGCTGCCCTGCCGCGCCTGCAGCCGCTCGGCCCCGCAGCCAGCGCGCGTGCCCGAGCCGCGCCGCCCGTTGTTTTCCGCGCGCGCGTGCCGTGGTGGCCGACCGCCTGGTCGCCGCCGCCGTCAGCCTCTGCCGCGCCTGCCGCCCGTGTCGTCGCGCCGCTCCAAACCGCCCCGCCGTCATCGCCTCGGCCCCGCCACTCCCGCGCTAGCCTCCAAGGGACGGAGGCAGAGCTCCTCCTCCCTCTGCCGCGTCGCTTCCCCTCCCTCCTCCTTTTCCCGAAGAGGCAAGGGGGCAAGCCCCCTTTTCTCTCCCTCTTTTCCTTTTCCCCTCCCCGCCGGCGTCATCCGCCTCCGTCACCGTTTTGGCCGCGAGCGCCGGCGCCAGCTCGCGCCTTGACCGCCCAAGGTCGGTTCCCAAACCGACATCGTCGTCCTATAAACCAAGGCGCCCTCCCATCGATTCCCCCTCCCGTTTCGCTCGCCGCCACCGCGCCATTGCCGCCGCCTTCCGTGCTCTGTCTCGCCTCCGCCGTTCATCGCCAAGCACCGGGAGAGCCGGTGCGTTCGTGGACGCGGAAGGGGACTCCGGGCGCGCCCTCTCCTTCCTCTTCCCCGGCCCGAGGCCGGAGAGATTACTCCCGCGCCGTCGGCCTCTCGTCACTGCGCCCGCCCGCACGGTAGTGCCTCCCTCCGTTCTTCCTCCTCGCTCCATCTCTCCCCCTTAGTTTTCGGTAGTAGCATGTGTAGCCTCCCCGTAGCTAGCCGGCGCCGCCCCGACCGTTGCCGCCGCTCGCCATGTGCTCGCCGCCGTCGCCGCCCGTGCTCCGTAGCACTCGCTCGTCGCCGGCCTCGCTCGGCGTAGCTCCGCCCAATCCGACGCTAGCAACGGATTCCCGTAGCCGCGTAGATGCTCTCACCGCCGGGAATTGGCCCCTCGTGACCTCGTCGCCGCTTCCCCCTTCTCCCGCCGCCGCTTGCCGCCGCCGCAATTCGTCGCCGTCAAGCTCCCTCCGACGAATCCGAGCCGTTGGCTCGTCTCCCCTCGACCTGAGCAACCACCCGGTGTGCTCGCTTTCGCCTGTATCGCCGTGGTTCGCTCCGCCGCTCGCCGCTGTCGACCGCCGTCCGTTCCGGCCGGCGTCGTCGTCTACCTCCCGCCGGCCCGCGTGGCAGCCACGTAGGCGCCACGTCGGCGCCAGCTCGGCCAAGACCGGGTCGAGCCGACCCCGGTCAGCCCCTCCCCGTGCGCGCGTTCCACCGCGAGCCGTGAGGCTGCGCGTGGGCCCGCCGCATCCGCGTCCACCACGAACCGCGCGCGTGCACCGCGTCCCTCCCCCGCCCGCGCGCGTGCGCCGCGTGCTCGCTCCGCACGGTGAACCGTGTCACCGACAAGCGGGTCCCACCCGGGACCACGCGTGGTGAGCCCGATCCACCGGCTCTCTCTCTCCTCCCCTCCCGCGTGCCTTGGGCCGCCTTGGGCCGCCTTGGGCCGGCCGGCCCATTTAGCTCGGCCGAGCCGCCCCATTTCTCTCGGGCCGCGCCCTAGCCGCCCGAGGAAAGTCTAATTTCCCTCCCTCTTTTCTTTTCTTTTCTTTTCTTTTTCAAAAAGGATTTAATTAAATCCTTTTCCTTTAGACCAAAAATCCAATAATCTTAGAAATTCAATATCTTCCCAACCGTAAATCCGATTGACTCCGTTCAACTTCCAAAATTCCTCAAATCTCGAGATCTATCTAATGGCACGCTTAGAGGTTATTAATAGGGCTTTATTTTCGCCGTTTGTTGAGTTGTCCCATTTCGCGTGTAGTTTCGGAGCCCGAAGACCCGCAGTGCGAGGATTTCGAGGATCAAGCTCCAGATCTCGAGCAAGGCAAGCCACCTTTGAACATCTTGAGCCTATATTTGAATTTAATTATGTTGCTTGAAAAATATTATGCATTGATAGGATCGCACTTAATCTGTTGTCCCGTCTGCAAGGCAGATTGGCAGACCTACCTAATTCGTTGCATTTGACCCTTCCTTTGTTAATTGTTATATCATGTCCCCTTGTAACCATCTAGTTGCGCCTCGATATTCGTGCACCCTGTGCGAGTATCGACGGTCGCCTTCAAACTTAAAATCTGAGTAATTTCTTGGGTAAAACTTGGGTTTTACAAAAGACTTGGAAAACCCGACACTGGGTCGGTGCTTGCGAACTAAATGAATTTCCAAAACCGCGGACCGGGGAACGTACCGGGTGTACGGTTTCCCGCTCTTGCACCTAAGGACCGTTTCCTTGGAATTTCATCCAAACATAAGACAAGTACGACCACATGGGTGGAATGGGACACCCCTGGCTGAGTAACTAGCTTATCAGGGAGCCTTGATGCCGAGAGACATGTGGATTCGCCGGGGTGGTGTCGGGGAGGACCCCTGGGCTTCCTGGCACAGTATGGTCTGGGACCTAACCTGTTGTTGGTCTGGGACCCCTCTCGTCGGCATATGGTAAACCTGTGTCGGCTTTGGAAATGCCTTGTCATGAAAGCTTGGAGGTCTCCCGACGTGGCTGATCCCCCACGGGCTGGGTGATCCGGGTTAGTAATGTCGTGTGGGTAAAGTGTACCCCCTCTGCAGAGGTTAACAAACTGTTCGAACAGCCGTGCCCACGGTCATGGGCGGATGTGAGGTGATTCCTAGCGTAGTTTTGTTTGACTACTGCTTGTGAAATTGCTGTTGTGGAAAGGGGTTCGATGTTTGAAAAATCTGCAGCTGATGGGATCAGCTAGGCCCGGGTGGCCGTTTGAAAGTTGTTGGCCCGGGTGGCCGTTTGAAAAGCTATCGGCCGGGTGCCAACCTTGTTTCAATTCTAAAGACTGATACATTGCACATACTCCGACCGGACGAGACGCACTGTCTCATCCGTGTCGTTTGAGAAGCACTCACTTAGTTGTTTTTAGAAAAGAGTTCAAATAAAATCAATTGCAAAAACAACAGCCTTTCCTTGAAGCCTGCATTAAACACTTATTTCCCATGGCTTGTTGAGTACTCCCGTACTCACCCTTGCTCTATATAAATAACCCCCCCCCCAGTTGCTGAAGAAGATGAAGCGGAACCTGCTGATGAGGAGTTCTTCCAGGAGCAAGCCGGCTACGATGAGTTTTAGGGTTTCGGTCTAGTTCCCAAGTCGCGCCTGTGTTGTTTGGTCCAAGTCCTGGCTTCCGTTTCCCTTTTGTAATGCAGTTGTGAGCTCGGGATCTGTCCGCAGCCCAACATGACTGTACCTCTACTCTATAATAAAGAGACCTCTGTTGCTGTGATATTCTGTCTCCCTGTGATACCAGCACTGTTTCCTGGGACTGGTATCGATTAACAGGTTAATTTGGAGCGTCACGGGCTAGTTCCGGTCGGGATTAGTTCGGGGCGTAACACTAAATCTCCCAACTCATGGGGAATTGGACCAGTTAATTGGTTACTGGATAGTGCTAAAACCTTTAGATTTGACAAAGATGATTTATTGTTATATTTACCTGGCTTGTTTGTCATGAACAAGCTGTCTAGACGACCAATAATGTTGTTGTTGGACAAATCCAATCTAATCAACTTACTGAGGAACCCAATTTCAGAAGGTATATGACCACCCAGTTGATTGCTTGACAAGTTTAGGCTCACAAGCCTTTTTAGACTACATATTTCCTTTGGTATTGAACTCGAAAGAAAATTATTGCTTAGCACTAAGAACCTCAGCTTTGTTAAAGATGTTAAACCTAGTTGGAATAAGGAGCCCCTTATCTGATTTTTGTGCAGGATCAAGGCTCTGAGCTCTTTGAGAGACATGATACTCTGAGGGATCATCCCTGTAAGCCTGTTGTGTGAAAGGTTGATGCTTGTCAGGGTCGTCAGGGCCGAGAAGTTGAGGGCCTCCAGTGAGCCTCTAAGCCTCACTCCGTGCAGAGTGATCTTGGTGATCACCCTTTGCCCTTGTAGTGTGCCACACCTGATGCCACGCCAGTTGTTGCATGGCCATGCCTTGCTATCCCACGACTGCAGGGGTTGCTGGGTTTGCAGGGTGGTCTTCCAGGCAATAAGCGCTGCAGCTTGCTCATCGATGGATGGCACGGCAATGGCATGAAGGAGAACAAGTGAGGATAGTAGTATACCTAATGGCAGGATCAATTTCTGGGGAGATAAGTGTTCCATGGCTTGGCTAGAGTAGAGGGGATATGGCTCAAGGTTGTTTTGTAATGTTCTTTCCCTGGACAGTATTGACTGCTACTGTAAGGCACTACAAGGTATAGTTGCGCAGTTGTTATTTCTGAATAAATCAGCCCAGCGAAAGATCAGCGATAGAGAAATTAATTGGAAAAAGAACAATGCATTGAACGAACGATAGCAACCAACTTCAATGTCGTATCACATTGCCTTGCTGAATCAACGTATTCTAGAAGACATGCAAATGGGGAAGACTTAAAACTTGAGAGTTCAGATTGCCAAGTCAAGCAGCTTTCCTCCCCGGCATGTTATTACTGAAATGATGTTGCTTACTGCTAAAAAATAAAGTAGTGAGTACTTGTTACAGGAAAATAAATGATATTTTCGAGCTATTCATAATTTATATCCCATTGGCTACAGGATCAATTAAGCAACCCTAACTACTCTACTTAGGATTACCAGATCAGATAACCTCATAGACCCTCAGTCCAACCAAGGTGATTTCACATCAATGTGGTGGCAAATTCATCCCCTGTAGCTCAATGCTATCCCCAAGGAAACAGTACTCCCTCCATTTCAAAATGTTTGACACCGTTGACTTTTTAGCACATGTTTAACCGTTTGTCTTATATTCAAAAAAATTGTAAAATATGTAAAACTATATGTATACATAAAAGTATATTTAACAATAAATTAAATGATATGAAAAGAATAAATAATTATTTAAATTTTTTAAATAAAACGAATGGTCAAACACGTATAAAAAGTTAACGGTGTCAAACATTTTAAAATGGAGGGAGTATTAGAAAGTGACGGCAGAGAAATTATTACCTGCATTCTCTGACATGTTCCTCGTTTTCGCACCAAATGAGGACCGGGGATTCCACCAACAAGAACAAGCAGCAGCGACAGCAGCAGCAGCTCGACGTCGTCCTGAATAGCTAGAATCAATCTCCTCCAGGCTCCACCTCGCTGCAATGGAGAGCATAATTAAAGTTCCATATGGGTCCTAGTAGAGAGATAATTAGTAACCAAGATTATGAGTTTAAATCTCCATAGTAACGAATTTTAGATTAGATTGTTTGCGGAGCTAAGTTCCTAATTTAAATGACCGCATATATCCGGTTATATATAGAGGCCGGTAAAAAATACCCTTCTTAAAAAAAAATAGAGAGAAAACTGAACTTTAACCCCGTTCCTCGCGCGCTCAGCATCGCGGCAGCAGCTACGCCGGATCTGGAGTCGATTTTCAAGGTCGTTGGCGGGGAGGTTGGATGGAGTGGTCGGGGGCGGCGCGGCGAGCGTTCATTGACGGCCGCGCAGCCGAGGAGTGACGGTGTGACTCGGACTCTATAATGAGTAATGAATTAGGCCCATATAGTCGTTGACCATGGATTCGGCCCATAAATGCGCATGAACTCGGCCCATAAACATTTTGGGCCCTAATTAGTCGTCATTTAGGCCGGCCTTCATTTGGCACAATTTCAACTAGGGAAAAGTATAGTTTGAGTCCCTCAACTATTGACCGAATCCAATTCGTACCCTTCAACCGTAAAATCGTATATATTGACTCCCTTAACTATTAAAACCGATACAAAATATACCCCTTGGTGGTTTGGAAAGTGGTTTTGGCTGATGTGGCAAGTTTACTAGTCTTTATCCAACATAGAACCCACATGTAAGTCTCATAGAAGGAAAAAAAAAAGGCCTCACTAGCACCTACACGTTGAGGGCGAGCTGACGGTGGCAGTGGCTTGGGCCAAGGTGTTTGGGAGCGGTGGTGCACTGTACAACTTGTGACAGCCGAGACAGGGCCGAGCTGAGCAGAGAGGCACGGAGGCATCGCCAGCAAGCTTCGTTGGCGGAACAGCGAGGCCGAGGAACATGTGCCATATGGGCTCGTGTTGGCCCAGCCTACCCGTCTTCTTACTAAGTTGTGCTTGTGCTCTATCCTCAGCACGAGAGCCACCACGGCACGAGCCACTTGACGAGCCATGCCTAAAAAGGATGTGCCACCTATGATTTCAATACACAAGTAGGAGTAATTTTGGCCTATAAGGGTACGTAGCGTAGGGGCCTAGTGATTAGTTCTAGCCCTCCACGTCGATGTCGTAGCTCCACATTGGCTTAAGATGTGTTCTTCGCAAAGCCACTCAGGTCGTACAGAGGGCACGGGGCCTTATCAAGGTGAGGGCGCCTGTGGGGGCATGGCCTACAAGCCCCGTTGGGCAAGCCGTACCCACATGATGCGTGTGGTCCCCTATTTCCTGAGCCACTCCTCGCACGGAGCTCAAAGCAGTGGAACCCAGATCTACTAGACTTGAGGAAAGACGACAATGCCGTGAACGGGATTGGGGAATGACATAGATGCTGGGAGGAGAAGAAGGGCCTTTTACCGTCGCTACAGATTTGATCCCATCACCGTAGAGCTCGTTGGTCCAACCTCGATTTGTGCCACCATGAACCTCATGTGGCCTCATCAACTAGATTTGCGCCGCCTAGCAATATGCTACCTTCTTAGACGTACCTCCTCGCCACGAGCCTTGATGGCGTCAGCCTAAGAAGGGAGAGATGGCGGTGGCGGCCAAAGAGGGAGGAGCTTGTCCCGGCCTTGATCTTGCGTTGCATGCTATCGCTGACTGGCGCTGACCCATCTGCTTGTTGCCACCCCGATCAGCTGCCACCAAATCCTCTAGGAAAGAGGAGAGGAGAGGACTGCCACCACAGTCGGAGAACTGTAGAATTCGAATTTGAACTTATAGAGTGATATATCTCATGATGATCTATGTCTTAAAAAATCATTTTTTTCTAACTATTTAGATGGCATAAAAAATACAAGAGAATATCCCCTCCAGGGATAAAAATCCATCTCCCTATTTTTAAGAAGTAAATATATATACAATGTTCTTGGAGAGGAAAATGCACTTTCCTTTTATACTGAACATGCCATAAGAAAGAGTGATATATGGGGTGTCCTCATTATTTCCCTCCTTAGTTTAGAGAATGTCATAATTTCCCTCAGTATAGAGAATGTAGTCATGAGCCATGACAACTAGATAATGTGACATTTCTCTCCGACAAATATTTCTCTAGAGGAATTACTCAAGAAGTTCAGAAAGTACTGGAATCCATTCACATGCCCATCCTTTTACCTCAATTTATTTACGGAATAACGACTCAAAACATGGAAAGAGAAACACGCAAATCTTAGCACAGGCAGAACAACTCAAAACACTCGTCAGAGGAGGTCATCAGACCATCGCTCTCAGCTCCCGAGCAGAGACGTCAAGAAGGCCAGCCCTCCGATCAAGAGCATGATGTTGAGGAAGTAGTTGGACTGCAGAGGCTTGTCCGGGCTGCCTCCGAATCCCTCGTACTCCGCCCTGATCTTCTGCTTCATCGAGTCCGACAGCTCCTTCTGCAAAAGCCATTGCAAGATACCATGCATTGTCCATCAAATCTAGGGCTAGAAGCTAGGCTTCGTGGAGAGTGCATACCTTTCCGTAGGAGTATTTCGCAGCGACGAAGGGCTCTGGTTGCGGTGCTGCACCGTTGTTGTCATCCGCTGGCGATGATGCCACTGCTGCTCCTACCGTTACTGGTACTGGAGTTGGTTCAGCTTCCTTCTTCTCCTCGACTGGTGGAGGTGGTGGTGCTGCTGCTGGCGCTGGTGCTGGTTCAGGATCCTTCTCTTCGACGGCTGGTTCATCGTCCAGTGAAAATCCCTGCAGGAAAATCACATCCATCACTTCCTGATCGAAGGCTGGTAAAGTTGGACTCTGTAAATATCCAACCTACAATTGCACTGGTTTTTACATGAAGAACAGCTAAGAAAAGCTGCCATAGTAAACCCCATTTCGTTGCATTGCAGAAGAAAGATTGATATGATGGACTACCTCAAACTCCCAGTGTTTGGATTACATTCGGTAAAAAGAAAAACTATCTGAACTATATTTCTGTCCTGAAGGTCCAGTACTCCATCTTACTGTCACATAAGTACATTACTGAATTCTCTAGAAAAAAAATACATTACAAAAGATATCTACTCGATGTGGACGAGGAATCAGGGAGTCATGTTTTGAACTTGCAAACAAGAGGAAGAAAATCTGGCATGTTCTAATAAAAGAACTTAAGAGCTTAAGTGTCTTTCGTATTGTTTATGATTGTTTAGGCACAATTGGTTGCCAGGAGATCAAAATGAAAAAAAAAGATGGTAGTCCTCACCTCAGGTGGATCGAACTTTGCACCAAGGTCGCTCAGTTTAGCATGAGCTTCAGCGTAGTCTTTAAAGAATGCCTCCTGATCCTCTGCATATTTTTCGGCATATACCTGCATATGTTGCAGATATTTCAGACAGTGACCTATGAGCTATTCAAGCCACAAATTGAGCACAACCAAATAACCTTGAAGGACGGATCCTCAAATAATGCAGCATCTGTGGGTAGCACTAGAAGATCCTGGTCCCTTTGCTCTTTTATGTCCTGAAACATTATCATCAGCTGAATCATCACATATTCAAATGAAAAAAATAATTTTGTAAACCATGACAAAATGCTAACACACCTTGAAGTAACTGTTATCAAACTTCAACCATTCAACTGTCCATGATTGCCCTCCAGGTTCACCAGGCCCATCCTTCTGTAGACCACAATAATAGAAGCCACCTTTAAATGTCAGTCTGAAAACTGAAACTAATCTGATTTGCTATTGTGCTGGTGTGATTAAGGTAAGATTGCATCGAAAAGTTAATCTTCATTTCCCCACAGAGAAGTATCAGGGCTTAGAGAATGACAAAGTTGTTAGCTATGAAGTTCTTAGCATCCTAATTCTATTTTACCATTATATGCATACAAAAGAAACGTAAGGATAACCCATTTTGTAAAATCCTGAATTAAAACATTATTTATTTACAGCATAAGGACAAAGTATTCACGGATTTTAAAAGCATAATATGGTGCTTACTTACAAGATAACACAAAAAAGTACATGCATTGTTTTCACCTCTGCCTGAATGTCTCAAAAAATGTAGGGGCAATTGCAAATTTACCACTACTTTGAATCGTTATTGCAAAACTGCCACTAGAAAATTGCAAAAATATCACTAGAACTGTCATTCGAGTAGCATCCTTGCAATATTGAAAAAACCGGTGGCAAATTTGCAAATGCCCCAAAAATGTAATATTCTATACCCAGAGTGTAGAACATTGAAGGTCTGGCCATGCCTAGAACTTCCTACTGCTGAAAATAACTTATTTTTCCTGTTGAGTTTCCAAAGTGGACAAGAAAACATACAGTATATTTTGTTTCTGGCTTTCCCCAGCCACTCCTGTCAGGTCTTGATCTTCCAAGTGTGTGTGCTCCAGATAATGCAACAATTTCCTGCATAAATAGTCCAAAAGAAATGGTTATACAACATACATGAAGAACAAATAGCAGATAGGCAACTAATTTCTTTTTTGCATCATCCACACCTTGTCATCAAGGCCCATCCTGTAGAATACCTCCCTAAGATGATCAGCGGGCACACGTGGACCGGCATCTGGGGGGCATTTATCAACACCAGAAGGTCACTCTTTGATAAGTTCCTCTCACAATTCATAAATGCAAACGTTGATCAGAAACAGAATGAAGAACTTAATGGAAACACTGACCAGGAAGCCTCCCCTCTGGTGGGCACTGCTCAGCTGCTGTGACATCAACTCGTCCATATTTCATTGGAATTTTCGGCCCACCAGCTTCCTGCAAGAAATTTTTCTCAAAAGATTCAAGCACATAGACTACCGATCATCCAAAAAATATCTAGCAAAGTCACTAGAGCAGAGAGAAGAAGTCTGAGACCTCAATTGCTGTAGCACTTGCCAACTGGAACAAATCAGCATAAGTTATACCCGGGTATTTGTCCTTGATTGGTTGGATAAGCTTCAAAGCATTAATCAGACCTATCAAAATTCCAACCAAAACCATACGATTATGAAGGAAATCAGCACGATTACTCCACGAATTTCCTGAATTCGAAATTGCACTGCCGAGACACGAGAAATTAAGTACCAGCATTGGCTCCGTGGCTCAATTCGGCGTCAAATCTCAAGCTCCCGTCGGCTCCGCCCCTCTGCGGCCACTCCTCGATGTTCTTGTCGTACGTGCCAGAATCGTGCCACCCAAGACGGACCTGTACATGGTAGCAGGATCGCAGGATTTCATCATCTCTGACTCTTCTCTGTTCATATGGATGCGAGAGCTGAGATGGCGCGGGCGTTCCGTACCATGATGGGGTGGCAGTAGGTGGTCTTGAGGATCTCCCTGATGTCCTCCCGGGCGCTCTTGAGCTGCGCCGCGTCGGACGCCGCCACCGCCGCCGCCGCCATGCACCGGACCACCGCCCGCGCCCCCGCGCCGGCGCGCCCGCTCCTCGTCGTCGCAGCCTTCTGCAGGTGCCACGCATCAGTCAACTCAGAACACCTCGATTCAACCCCCCCCCCACCCCCAAAAAAAAAAAAACACGAGCCGAGCTAAAACTATTGCGAACCTGCGGGAAGCGAGACGGGCGGGAGCGGAGGCGGAGGCCGCCGGCGCTGGTGGAGCAGCATGGGAAGGAGGCGGCGGCCGCGGCGGAGACGCGGGGGCGCGGGGGGGGAGGGGACGGAGCAGGCGAGGGCGAGGCAGCCGGGAGGAGGGAGGCGGCGATGCGCTCCGCCATGGCGCGCGCGCTCGAGTCGAGTGAGTTTTTTCTTCTTTTCTTTTTTTTTTTTTTGCCTACTTTTTTGGAATTTGATTTGGCACGGCCGAGTCGGCGGCGAGGGGTGCGATGCGATGCGACGCGATGGGTTGCCGTTGGTGGGGAGAGGCGTGTGTGGCGCGGCGGGAGCGGAGTCTAATCTGCGGGGGCCAATAGTGGGTGGACGCGTGGGAGGGTGAGTTCGAGATGATTGTCTTTCTTTTTCTCTACCTTCGAGATGTCGCTTGAATATCGGCTCGATTCAAGTTTGGATAGAAACAATTTACTGTATTTTGGGTTTTCTCTCCCTCGTATTTTTCATGGTTGTAGCGGTAGAATGGTTCTAGTGTCCAAAGTGTCCTTGTTTCAAAAATGTCGTGCTTGGATATATATTTCGTGGGGTTACATCTTAATACGCGGAAGACACGTGGTGATGAAAAAAAATGATTTTACGATAATGGACTATGTCCTAAAATATAGCAACTTAGAATTAGATGAGACTAGTACGACGAATTTGGTTAGAGATATGGCTCATCTAATTAGGTGTTATATTTTGGAATAGAGGGATTTATAGTAGATCAAAAGCTAAGAAATAAAAACTTCTAAATTGATTCTCAAAATTAAAATTAAGTTCTAAAATTTAAAAATAGAAACCCAAGAAAGTACGACATAAATTAAGTTTTCACATAGAATGCTACTATTTTATCATTAAATGAATGCTATAATTATAGAATACAATGTCGAAAATAAGTGTATGTAACTGTTACACAAGATTAGCCATGCACATAAAAGCTATGAATTAATTAAAGGCAAAAGTAACACAACAACTCATGTTAGAAATTTGGGTTCATACGGCTTTTCTCGTAGGAATTGCTATTTTTTTTCTTTGCAACTCCTGTAGATCGACATCGAATAAACTTACATTTTATTATTTTTTAATGAAGTTCATATTGATAGAACAAAAAAAATACAAGATTACAACACTGGGAGGTCATAACCAGAAAAACAAAAAAAAATACCACCACCCACCCACCGACAACTCCAACACATAAACCCTAGAGAAGGCTAGCACTGTACCGGCCGCCGCTAGACCAACAAAGGAACTACAACCGAGATTGCCCAAAACCCAGCCCTTATAACCGACACAAAATCCCGCTCTATCCACATCTTTGGGGTTGAGGGAGATAGGGTGAGAGAGAGAATGGAACCGCTCTCCCCCTAGACCCTCCGATGTGGACAACTTGCAGAAGCTAAAGCGCCGACATAAGAAGACGTTAATCTAGAGCGAGCTTGCGCCGGCTATTTCGAAGGTTTCGGCAAGGGGATGCCAAAGACAATGTCTCCAAGGAGAGAAGCGACGGAAGCTCCGCCGCCGCCGACATCCGTCAAGGTCTCAAAGAGAACTGAGACTAGGCTTTCACCTGGCCGTGCCGCTAGAGGGGTTGAGACGGCACAACAACGCCCTCAAGAGGGGAGTGATGCTCGAAACGCCAACCCGACCAAGGCCGGGCTGGGTTTTCACACGTTGTCCGTCGCCTGCATATCCACAGCTGACACACCATTGCTCCACCACCATCTAAACCTCCGTTGGCGTGTGGGCACCACTACACCGGCGCCCCCGCCGGCCAGCCTCCCGATGCCGCCACCGGCCGTGCCTCATCGTGTCGCACTAGCATGCACCTCGCCGGCCTCCACCTCTGCCAGCCTCGCCTCCTGCTGTGCCGGCCACATCTCCATGCGACATGCCGGCCTCCGCCACTGGCACCCGAGCCTCCCTGCGCCTCCTAGCGTCGCGGCCACGAGCCAGACACGCCTCGCCAGCCTCCATACCGGTTGCGCCTCCTAGCGCCTCACCAGTCTCCTCCGCCATCAGCCGCCCCTCCGCACGTGCACCGTGCCGCCCCATCACCGTCGATGTCGTGCCCGACCGCGCCACTGCGAGGCTTGGCCGAGCCGCACTAAAAGGTCGCGTAGTCACCGCCCCGACGGGCTCTCCCGCTGCGTGCTCGCCCTCGCCCGATCTGATCGCCGGGGGGCCAGATCCTCCTCTGAGGGCGCTAGATCCACCTCCAGCGCGACCGGATCCGCCCCGTCATTGCCATCCCGGCCGCCGTTAGCCACCGATGCCTAGCGCAGCTCGCCCCTCCTGTCGCCTTCGCCATACCCACCATCATCGCTGTCCCCGCCGCCAGCCACCACCCCACCAAATCCAGCCATAGCGACGCGGATCTGGCGGTCACCACCGCCACTACCCTAGGCGGCTCCCTTGGCCGCCCGAGCGCGAGAAGCGAGAAGCCCCGCCACCGCCGTCCTTGTGGCCGCGCAGCTTTGCCGACGGCCACTCAGGTGGCAGCGAGGCGGAGGAGGAAGGTGGGGGAGAGGGGGCAACCGGGTCGTCGCCTCCCAAGCCGCCCCTAGAGGAGGGCAATGCGAGAGTTGTCTGTTCTATGTAACTAGCAATGCACTTTACCAAATTTGATATGAATTATAGTCAGTTAGTTACATCTATGTCCTTTTCCCTATGCATAGAAAAGAAATGTGATGTCTAAATGATCGCCACCGTGCTATACTATGCCATGTCCACCACTTTGCTAACAATGTCTCTAGGATAGTAAAACCAAGATGAGAAAACCATCACAACAGACAAAAGGAGCAAAGATATTCCTGCCTATATAGAAGTTTTAGTCCGGTCATCTGTATAAATAGTGATTTGGAATGATTTCTTCTATTAGGCCATATTCGGTTAATCCTCATGAGAGAGGGATTAGAGATAATTTATTTCACAACCACTGCGGTATGGAATTATTCATTCTCAATCCCTCTAATCACCTTTAATCATCTCCAAATTGAATAAGACTGTAGGTAAAAAGTAGAAAACATCTACATTGCAACATATTTGTCGATAACTTTTCTCCCAGATTTTTTCCAAATATAAATAGGATATAATTGTAGTATAATTACATTGTAATTTGCACGTGGCTATAATATACGGTTGTATGCAACTTTTAAAAACTATTCACGAGAGGTTATGGGATCGAATCCCTTACCTATGTGCATGTTGTAATTTTCTCCTTCCCCATTTGCACAAATCTTAGAGTAAATTGATGGTCTAAAATTATGTAAAATTTACATACAAGTTATATTATGGGCCTATTTGGGGAGCTTTAGATTCTGAGAAGCAGTTGTTTGGTAGCCAGCTTCTGAGAATCTGGAAAAGCTCTGAAACCCAGCTTCTCCAGCTTCTGGCTTCTTAGTTCATTTTTCAGGATATGTAACTACAGATTCTCAGAAGCTGTGGAAGCTGCAGCCATAGTTATTAAGACCGGACCGGTGATCAAACCGGTAAGGCACTCGGGTCATTGGTTTATTGGTCGGAGTCAAACCGCCGGTTTAAACAGGTTCAATTAGATGTTTGTTATATTGGTTTCACAATAAGCCGTATAGCTTAGTGGTTGAGGCTTTCCGTGGAAGCATGGAGGTTTTGGGTTCGTATCCAAGTTCTGCAGCTTTTTCCGTATTTTTTCTCCAACTTCACGTGATGGTCCTATTCTAATAACTATGGTTTGTATTTGGGAACGGATATAGTAGTTAAATTTAGGTTACACTATAATTATATAGTATTTTACATTTGACTAGTAAGGTGCCCGTGTGTTGCAATGGGAAATGCTATATATCAATTTCAAATTATACTAAGTGAATGAAAATTTGTTGAACACAGGGAAAACAATTCTGGCAATCCAAAGAAACTACAAATCATAATTGTTATCAATGAAAAATACAATATCTGGAAATACTTGTTGTTCTAGATTTTTTGTTTGTGCTTTAATTTGTATGACATCATTAAATTTTGGGAAAATCCCTTATATGCCACTGAAAATTTGTCTGATCCCTTGAATGCCACTGAAAATTGGCTCTTCCCTTATATGCCATTGGTTCAAATTTTCGCTCCCTCTCATGCCATTGCCGTCCGTTGACTGGTAGTTGACTGTTGATAGGATGTAATCACTTGTCAGTTTTTTTACTGAAATGACAAAAATACCCTTTGGCCCAAACATGAGAATATGGCCCAATTGTCCAAGTGGGCCAAGCCCAACATCCCTCTGATGCACCATGTCAGTAAGCCTGAACATGTATTTTGGTACTGTGTCAGTATGCATTTTGGTACTCTCTGGTCATTTAAACAGCTCCCTATAATATTTGTTGCATATTCTGTGCTACTGTGTATATCTCCTTCCTCTAGCAAACAATCTGTTTGTTATTTTAGCTGTTTAGCCGTGCATTACAAACAATGTGCAATTACACATTATCTTAAATGTCTGTCAGAAGCAATCTATTATATTACTTGAATGTTTTGTCGATACTGTGAAAAACAGAGAAATGTTGTGCTCCCTAGTAAATATTGTTGAAGCTTTTGTTCGAGAAGTACATGGTTAATGTATGTGAAAAATACATTAATGCCATAACAGATTGCTTTGTTCTACTATGAAAAACAGAGAAATATGTGCCTCAAAATTATGTGACTGAAAAATATTCATATATTCAATATATAGATTAATGCTATACATTCATATATTCATTTATTCCAAATATATGTGATGCCTAGCTAAAATGTAGTATATAACTGACATACTAACACCTACTGCATGCCTATCAACTCAAGAAGGGCAAATACGTCATTTCACTCTACAGTTAACAGTCAACTACCAGTCAACGGATGGCAGTGGCATGAGAGGGAGCGAAAATTTGAACCAATGGCATATAAGTGAAGAGCTTATTTTCAGTGGCATCCAAGGGATCAGACAAATTTTCAGTGGCATATAAGGGATTCTCTCTTAAATTTTCATAGCAGTCTTCTATCTATGTTGTCTTTTTATAATTTAATAAACACCATGAGATTGTTTCATGCCGCAGAAAGCTTTCATTATGCTTATGTAATGAAAACATATTTCTGTTTTGAAATTAATCTGCATATGTGTTCAACAAATTTTCACTCAATGAATATTTGATATCTATTCACTTAACATAATTTGAAATTGATATATAGCATTTCCCATTTCAACGCATGGGCACCTTACTAGCATATGTAAATAGTGATAAATGAAAAGCTGAATTCTCAGTACTGGTTTCTGACCAGCTCAAGTTTGCGAGCTTGGGGGAAATTGCGACAGCCTTCGCCCTTCGTCCTTTCCCATTTGATTTGATCTTGCCAGGCTTCCTTTTACCTGCATCTTCTTGAAATTCATCAGACAACTTACATATGATTGCAAACATCACATATTTTAGTTGTGACAAGAACTACATTTAGTAAAGAAATGTATGTATTTAGGACAATCTAATATGCAAGTAAACTGGCTGTTGACACTGTAACTTCGCAAACAGGTCTACCACATTCCATTCGTAACACACGATGATCAAATTCAGCCTAGATATTAATAGCGTATCTTATTATTTTAGATTGAGAAGGCAGAACTAAATAGAGACGATATCTGATAAATGTTACTACTCCCTCCGTTTCATAATATAAGACTTTCTAACATTGCCCAGATGTTAATATAACACATTTATATGTTTAGATTCATTATCATCTAAATGAATATAAGCAATGCTAGAAAGCCTTGCATCGTGAAACGGAGGAAGTACTAAATAAGCATAGCAGTACAAACAGAGAGTTACATCATACGATAACTGATACTGCAGTGCATCCTTCTCCTTCCTAACTTTGTAAAAAAAATAGAGAGATATAGAAAGATAAATAATTGGAGCTGACCAACTTCGTCGCAATGAAAATAGCTCCACTTTTTATCAGATCCTCCTACACTCCTTTAATCTCTGGGAGTGCGCACGAGATGGGGAGCGCGCGAGGTTGAATGCGGAGGAAGGGGGCGCCGGCAGTGGAGGCATGGTGCGGCGAGGAGGATGGGGCGCGGCGATGTGGGGGCGGCGCGAGGTTGGATGCGGAGGAAGGGGACGCAACAACCGGGGATTGGGGGGCGCCGTTATTTTCTCGCTAACTGCGGGTCGCGATCCGGAGGAGGAGCGCGATGGGATCGCGCATTCCTCACCTACGGATTAAGTAGTAGAGAGTATTTTTTGAGAAATTTGTCAATGGATATGCATAGCAAAAAAAATCGAAAAAAGGTAAACCCTCTTATGCTTATCTTGGATGGGCCGCAGTGATGCCCGGATGGCCCAATATCTGGGCCCGAATACTTCTTCCAAAAGGCCCATTGGAGACGTCAGCCCAGCCACTCCGCCGGAATCTCCTCCACTTCTCCCGGAGCAGCGGAAACAACCCCGCCGCCGTCGTCGTCTCTCTGCTCGCCGCTTGCCTCCTCCTCCTCCTCGCCGGAAGCTCCAGCCCTCCTCCTCCTGCAGCAGCAGCGAGCAGCGCTTCCAGGCTTGATCGGTGAGTCCTCCGCCAGCCACCCGCGGCACCCTCCCTCAACCCCATGTTGTGATATGATGTTGCAGCCGCCGCGAGGCCGGTCTGTCTCTCGGCCGGCGAGCGGATTCTTGTTGTTCCAGGCGCGCGCGCGGCTTGTCCCGCTGTTTTGCCTAGCGATCTTTGGTCAGTGCAGTGCTGCTCGCCTCTGTAGGCTTGAGTGAGTCGGTGGCCGCACCGCGCACAACTTGTTTGATGATATGCTTGCATGCACAAGAGCATCTCCAATCAACAGATTCCCAAAAAGAGAACCATTCCCTATGTCCTCATTGGTCGTGCTTGCCTCTATAACCCGTTCTTTTTCTAATTAAGATGCAGTTTCAAGTTGCTCTAAAATATTAAATATATATATTTCTCAAGTTTGTAATAATTAAAACTTAATTAATTATACACTAATGGTTTTCTTGTTTTGTGTGCCCTTAAGTTCATCTTGGTTCGAACGGGGCCTATGTGTGTTTGGTTTAATTCTTCACTCCTTTCAATATAATTGTTTCAGATATGCTAATGGAGTAGTAATTGTGATTTGAATAAATTTGGGTTTTTCATGAAACCTTTGTACCATTAAAAAAATCCGTGGTTGTGTGCAAGTATGTGCGGTTTTCCGGAACTTTAACCACAAAAAATGGGGTTCTCTGCAATCTACTCTTCAAATTATTTATTCCGAGTGGCTATTTTTCTTATCTCTACATATTTGCTCTTCATGATGGTTTTCTTCCTCTAGCACATCACAATGAGAGGCTTTCTTATGCATCAACTCTTGGATTCGTCATCATCAGATGATGATGATGAACTCATTCTGGCAGCAGCACTCATAGCACAACATCAATATGACATTGACAATGCACCACGGCGCCGTGGTGGTTCTGTACGCAGGTTTGTGTTCAGGACATTTGTTTTATTCGCATTTGTTGTTGCTCGTTTCCATTGGTTCATTCTTCTTCTATTGGCAAGTTTAAAATGACTTGTTCTCTGCATACATGTATATAGATACCTTATAACATAGTACCAAAAATCACTGGTTCCACAAGCCTTCACAATGGCACACAACATAGCAACTTCCAATCACTCCTCTTGAACACATTTCACAGAAAATTGCAGGTTCTTAAACTTATCCCCTTTTTAAAAGGAAAAATTACATTCTCTAAACAAAAGCTAACAGCTCGTGCGAAAATCAAATTACGTATGACTGTATCCCAGAGCTAACAGATTGCAGGCATATTCTTTTTCACACCTATCAGCTAACGGCAAAAATCACATTTTCCTTCTGTGCTTCATGTGTTTTTCTACAAAGATTAACCATTGCTGCCAATGTTTTTCCACAAAGATCACATGCATATATTTCTTTTTCACGACGTATGAGAACAAATATATAGCAATCTGAAAGAATTGATCACTTGCCAATCTAAATGAATTCCCAAAAAATTGACTATAGGGAATTTGGTTTGGGTACCTGTTGGAGATGCTCTAAGAGGCTAACACTGGTTCATCTTCTGACTTTAGAAGTTAGTAGTTTGAAGTTGTCTTCATGAATGGAGGCCTATGCGATATCCATACGCAAATGGGACGAATTTTATAATCAGCTTGACTGCTTGAGCTTGTCTCAGGTCTTTAGCAGTCCTTTTTTGGTTGTGCTGCAGCCTACAGATAAGACAGGTGTTCTATTCAAACTTGTTTTCTACTAATATCAAGAACCTAAGTCCAATGCTTCAACAGATGCCCACTGGTCGGAGATGTTGAAAGTATTGATGTGTATATTATTTATAGATCAGTATGGTAGTGTGTCACTTTAGTATGAGCACTACATGGAATCTGTAGGACTGTTTTTTCTGGTGTTTTTATGTTTCCCTACTTAATTTGCTATGTTTTTGTAGAAATATGGGTGTTTTTTTTCCTTCAATGGTTGAGTACGTGAAAGGAATGTTGCTTTTCTAGTTAAAGAAACTGACTCCTGTCAGCCCATCTCATGTAACAGTTCCAAGATGAAAATAACTTGGGGTAAGAATGCTAAGACGAATAGGCAGCCCTCAGTGGCACCATCTAAGCCAGGCCTACCTTTTGGGGTGGACAGTGACAATGATGAGACAGAAAAGGAGGAAACAAGAGTGGTTACCACGGACTGTCCTGGAACAAAGCCATCTGATAATGCTGAGTCCCTCAAGCACCAGGGGAACAGGCTAGCTGAGGTATCTTTCTTTTCTTTTATTTTCTTTTATTTTCTTTTCTTTTCTTTTAATAATCAGCCAAGGTATCCTCTACTCTCCTTATCTATGTTACATGGACAAACTTATTTATTTACTTAATATTGAAGGACTCAAGTATTCATTGTTTTCACTGTCCCTACAACCAAACCAAGCTCTCTAGGTCATTAGTCAATATGTCATAGACTCATAGTTCATGGATATTATATTGGCAGTTATTGATGCCCTTTCATTTTAGAAACACATAGTAAAGCAAAAAAATGAACTGGGCCGTCCCAGGTATACACAAGATAGTCCTTGAAGCCTCATACCTTTTTCAATCCATATACTTTGGTTACTAGGATTCTATGAAGAAATACTCCTTTTCTTTGTAGAGAAATATGAAGAATAATGGATCTCCGTAGTCCATACTTCTATTCTTATAGAATATGCAATCAGTTATCTTGGATGCACAATTTACACTTGAAAGGGACAGCTGGCTGTATTTCATTTTTTACATCAAATTCCTTTTGACAGTATGTACTAGATTTTATTTGCAGTTGGGGCCTGCACCTGCAGGGTTACCTAACATTCAGCACACGCTAAACGATAATTTAAAAGGCAGATAATGGTTATCTTATTGTTATTGTTTTAGGAAGGGAAGTACCATGAAGCACTTGGTAAGTGGGAGGCTGCACTTACCTTGATGCCCAATAATGCAATACTTCATGAACAGAAAGCTCAGATTCTACTTGAGCTGGGAGATGCATGGCGTGCACTGACAGCAGCAACCAGTATGTATGCTCTTGTTCAGTTTACTTGCCCTTTTAAGGATTCTAATGATAACGACCTACTAGGATGCCATGAGTTGGGAACAGTACCATCCTTCCTAATTGGATTATCATTTTAGCACCGATTTGCGGTATCTAGGATTTACTCAATCCATGTTCTTTTTTCCCGTCAAAAGTGTGTTTTGGTGGTACTTTTAACAGGTCATTGCAAAATGCATAAAACATCTATAAATAGTAGGGCCTCAATCAAGAACAAAGAAGAATTACTGCATTCCATACATAAAAATGAAGAATAATTTTAATTTGTGAATGAATTACTGCGCAGTTGCCTATTTTGGTCACATGTGAAGTCTATATTAGTATATGATCCCAGCAGCATATTTGTGTCATTTCCATTTCTCCACTTCTGGTATATTAATTACTCTATGTCGGGTATGCAGGGGCAACAGAATTGGATCCATTATGGCCTGAGGTTAGTAGGCATCCCCAGGGCAGAAACACTACTCCTGGAGTATTACTTAATGCGTGAATCCTATCAGTTCTCAGCCCTTATATTTATCAGCGGCATGAATGAGATATGTTCATATATATTGACTTGCAGGGTTGGGTTACACTTGGCAGAGCACAGTTAAATTTTGGGGAGCCAGATTCAGCTATATTATCTTTTGACAAGGCGTTAGCAATCGAGGTATCCATTTTGCTTTGCAACCAACTGCCTGTTCTGATTACCATCCATGCATCCGTTAGCTGCGATATATATTTCTAAAACAACAAGCTATCATATATAAGTATCTTATTCCCCTCAAAAAAAATTATATAAGTATCTTACTTTTCCTATTTGTTTCCACAGCCTGACAACAATGAAGCAAAGTCTGATCGTGAAACTGCAGCACGTCTTGTTAAGAAACGAGGGCAGCTACATTCATCAGGTCTGAGTGCCAACAAAAGACGATTCACAGTTGGAGAGGATAGCGAAAAGGAGAAAGACGATTCACAGATGGAGGATGTAGAGAAGTGTAAAGAGGATGAAGAAAAGGAGAGAGATGATTCACAACTGGAGAATGTAGAGAAGTGATTTAAGTCAGATCGGGGCTCTCGGCCTAATTTGTTAGATCGAGGCATTGTCTGAAGTAGAAATTTCGTAGGAAAACTTTAAATTCCTACATTAAGACAGGTCTAGATGTATATATATGTAGACGGACAGAAACAATGAAAATGTGCTGATCCTCCAGTTTAATCCAGTTCTTTGGGTTTTGGGATAAAAATGTCATATGCATTGAGATATGGATGGAGACTCGATGTTTGCGTTTTATTGTGCTAATGACTAAATAGCTATATGTTACTCCTGTCTCAAAATTTATCATTTCTAGTTATGAATATGAAAAGGTGCTTAATCAGATTTATAGCTAAAAGTTATTATATTTTGAGACGGAGGTAGTACTAATTTGTGATAATTATTTGAGAGTACAAATGAATGAACTAACCATTATAAAGTTGAAAAATGGATTAAAAGCAGTTTTTAAGAAATTCAAAGTTCTGCACAAATCGAATGGTTTAGAAGTTTGGAAATTGTGCGCATTCATCCATAAGTAGAAAATAACAGGGGAGAGGGTAAAGTAAAGATGGACGGCTAGAATTACTGATTTTACTAGGGAGTGGGGGTCTGTTTGCCGCTTTCTATTACTGGTAGGGATGGAAATGTTCGGTCATTTTATTATTATTATCTTTTATTATTACAGAAATGGTAGTAAAATTTTGAACTTAGGTATTTATTGTCAACTTTAATGCAACGATGATAAAAAATAGAAAAACTAAATTTTAGAAACGGTAACAGGCGGTAGAGATATTATTATTATTATATTAAGAATAAATTTTAGATAACCGTAAATTTAATGACTAAAATATCAGCTTGCTACAACATTACTAATATATTTTATAGTTTGCTCCAAGTCCAAGAGCACCATAAGCTAGTGACACATAGAGCCCAGACGACTTGTTAGCATAGCACATTAGCACATACCCCCTCCGTTCCAAAAAGAGTTTAATCTTAGCTATGAATCTAGACATACATGTGTCCAGATTTGTAGTTAGGAGTTAGTTTTTTATGGGACGGAGCAGTACGTTGTAGCATCATGCCATGTCGGCAGAGGAATCCGCTAGGTCGACGTAATCGGGTCAAAACCCATTCTAGGTTACGGCAATGGTACTTTTGTCTTACACTCTACTCTTTTGAAGCTTGACGGGTTTTGACTTGGTGCACTGATTAAGTACGAGTGGCATTTCAATCGGATTAGATCATTACAAGGCGTCCAAATCAAAGTGGCGGACTTAGCAGTCTGCCGACACAGCGGTGTCGCTGCAATGCACAAGCCGACGTATCATGCTGACATGTCCCTCCGTCCCTCGCCTATGCTGGGTACCACCTCTATGACATGTGGGCCCCAAATGTCAGTAACATTGGGATGCCTTCAAAGTTATGGTTTTGTGATAATTTTCTCCGTTATCATTACATCAAACTGTTAGGTCGCTAATGTTGTAGCAAATAAATAATTTAGTGACTACATTTGCAGTTATCTGCAAATTACTATTATATTAATTTTATGAAAACAGTATCGGTAATGACCGGAAAATTTCCGTACCGTTTTCACCCTTAATTCCTTCCCGTTATGCTGAGGAGGATTACTGATACTGGGCCTAAAATGGCCTTGGACATCTTTTCCACACACTAAAATGGCCTGGAAGGCCCAACTGAACCATCACTAATTCAGTACTACTACTACTACTATTCTGATTTGGGAATTAAAACCTCCAATTTAGGTCGATTCCATTCGAACATTCCTCCTCCAAGACTCCACAAGTCCAGAGGGAGAAAGTGTGAGAAGAATGTGGCGGAAGGGGAACAAGCGGTTCGGCGGCGGCGGCGAGCCGGCGGCCAAGCGCCGTGCCGCCGGGGACGACGGGCCCTCCGAGAGCGCCGACGACGATATCGTCGTCGCCCAGGTGCTTCCCTAATCCCCGCACTCAAACCTCACTAAAACCCTAGCGCGGCGGGGATCTTCATTTTCATTTTTTTTTTTGGGGGGGGGGGGGGGGGTTGGTTTGGCCATAGATATCGAAGAACAGGAGGGTGGCGGTGCGGACCTGGAACGGCAAGGTCGTCGTCGACATCCGCGAGTTCTACGAGAAGGACGGCAAGACCCTCCCCGGCCGCAAAGGTAATATCACAGTGAAATCTTCCTCTTCTCTGTCTTCCCGTTGGTTGGTCCCCTATGGATGTGAATAGCACGGGATTGGATTGGCCAAGATTCGTTAAATGTTGCTAGAGGCATGCCACCTCTAGCTTTTTGAGTAGATACTAGATAGTACCACACCATGTGTTCATGTCTTGTGAATGATGATGTTGAATTGTTGGTGTCCTGTTTGAACGAATGATTTACATGGGAGATAATCTAGGCTGCAAGAAAAAAAGGGTGAGGTTCGTTTCTTGAACTAAATGCGGGACGCTGGTGAGACGAGCGGCTTCGTTAGCTTAGATACCCCATGCCCGCTGGCCTTTAGGACCGTGTATGATTATCGGCGAAATGGTTGCTTTCCATTTTTGTGTTTGTCGACATAATGATTCCTTAATGTATTGTGTTCGAAGTTCGAAGCTTGAGCTGGTGGTCATTTGCAAGTATAAATGAACGTGAAAGTCTGAAGAACCCATCACTGATTCACAATTTTAGGTAGAAAATTGTTGAGGGAGAATTTACCCTGTTCAATTGCATATGCCCTCAACAATATGGGTTTCTCTCATCTCATCACCTGTAATTTGAGACCATCTACTTTGGGGGGTTATCGATAATACTCCTATTCACAGTCACCCAAGTTGATAGCTATGAATGAGTTTTAGTCTGGTATTAGATTCCAAAGAGTGTAATGATAAGTTTGCAAACAAATATTCCGGGGCTTTCATATGCTTTTTCTAAGCCCAGAACATGGGTTCCAATTCTAAAATTGATTCCATATGGTAGATAACACAGATGGCATGGTATAACATAAAAGTGTGGATGCATAGTAAAAAACAGTGGTTGTGTAATTTAATTCCATATCTCCAGCACCAGCGGTAATGTGCTCAAGATAAGCAATAGTTTCCCTGATTACTAATATTGTGCCTTTTCCCTTCTTTTCAGGTATACAGCTCCCGATGGATCAGGTCAGTGTTTTTATTTGTCCTATACACGCTCACGAAACTTGATTCCCTTAAAAGATACTCCTATATCATTATCTGTTTGAATGCTGCATTGTGGATAGCAAGTACCGCTTATGAAAAATTTCCTAACAAGCTTCACATGCTTAGATATCCTGAACTCATCAGGAGATAGTGCTATGCAAGATTGGTGAGAACTACCTATCTAATTTACGAGAATGATCTCAAGTATATTATATGCCAGATATGATATGCATACTGTTAAATTCTGGCCTCTAGCTGCACTGAAACACAAATAACTTATACCTGTAACAATTCTTATTGCTAGCCATAACTTTTTACATCGCAATCTAGTTCATAACTACTGTGGTAACCATTGTGATCTTGGTTACTGTACTAGCAAGTTATCAGTTCCTCCCAATAAACACTCACCTTCTTTTTAACATGTGCAGTGGAAGATACTGAGGGACAATATCAAAGCTATAGATGAGGCCATCAAGGAGAATGCGTGATCGGAGCCCATTCTCTTGTGATGCAAGTAGACTAAGCCTACGTCTGTCTTTTATGACTCCGAGGAATATTGCACTTTTGGTATGGTAATCTTCATTACCCTGTCTAGTAATATCAAGTAATGTTTTAGTTTGGTCATGCGCGGAAAATGTGGCCTTGTCTGGTATTGTGCCAAAGAAGCAGCTATGTGCCTAATGTGCTCTCCTCATTTTGTACGTTGGGTAAGGAGGTCCATCTGTTAATGGTTGGTTGGTTTCTGCGTGTACTTATGTTTTACTTTAAATCTCTAATGCCGCTTTGTATTTGCTTGTGAAATTTTGCCATGTCGGTGGGAATTTCACTATTTTTAGTGGAATGCGTCAGGTTCGAACGGGCCTTGAAGAAGGTAATGCGTAAGGTGATATTCAGACTGCATAGCCTAGCCTAGTGTGTGGACACGCTCAAAGCCCTAACCAACCTTTTTTTTCCAGTGGCTTCCTTTCCATTTGTGAAGAGGATACAAATGACTAAATTATTTGTTATACTATTAATATACTCGTACATTATTACGGAACATATATCTATATTATTAGAGATGGCCTACAAGAGTAACCGAGGATAAAATATTGGATTTGACTGTTATTTACCCAGAGTATAGGGACGTGTTGAGCTACGGGAGAAGGAGAGGGGAATCTATTAATGCATCTTTATTTATAATAGCATAGGCATTTGTCCACTCGCTTCCCCACCCTCGTTGCACGGAGCACGCTCCATACACCCTACTCTCTCTGCCAAAAAAAAAACTCAGTATTTAGATGGGACATAATTTAGTATAATAAATCTAGACATATCTAATACTTCATTCGTTGTCATTCGTTTTACAATGTAAGACTTTCTAGTAGATATTAATGAATCTAGATATATATATGTGTTTAAATTCATTAATATATATATATATATATATATATATATATATGTGTGTGTGTGTGTTTAAATTCATTAATATCTATATATATGTGGACAATGCTAGAAAGTCTTACATTGTGAAACAAATGGATTGCTTAAATGAGATATAATATAGTACAATAAATCTGGACAGGATTATATCACATCCAAGTACTAGATTGGGACCATCCTTCCTGTAAACACCTATAGAAAAATAACTAAGATATAGCTTATCTAATAAGCAGCTGGATGGTAATCACTCAACTTTTGACTTCGAATTCATTTTTGGATTCTGTAACTACAACTTATAACCTAGATAAAAAAAAAGCTAGTTTATTTGGGGGAGTTTCTGATTCTATGAGAAGTTACCACTGCTAAAAATTCTTCTAAACAAAACCTAGGTAACGTGTTTTCTCACTGTCTAACCTCGAAAACCTCTGGAAAATAGAAAAACATAATGAGTAAGAGCCCCTTTGATTAATAGGATTTAAATCCTATAGACTTTTTCCCCTAAATTTTCCTTTGATTTATACAAAATAATATATAGGAAAATTACCAAAAGATATGACCTGTAAACTTACCTTTATTTTTCCTATAACACCATCAGAAGAGCTCATATTATCGTTTCAAGTATTTTTTTTATATGTTTTATTCTATCATGCGAATCAGATAGAGCCTAAAATATAAGGAATAAGTTCACCGGAGGTCCCTCAACTTAACAGCGAGATTTTTTAAGGTCCCTTAACCACAAAATCAGAAATGTGTACCCTTAAACTATACAAAACCGTTCAAAAGAGGTCCCAAGGCAGTATAGAGGCCTGATTTCACTGATGTGGCATCCTAGTCAGCAAAACTAGTTAAAATAAATATGTGGGGCCCACATGTAAGTGAGAGAAAATGATGTGTGCCCCACATATCTCCTTTCTTTTCTTTTTCTCCTCTCCTCTCTTCTCTCGAGCGACATAGGGGGAAAGAGGCGGCTGGCGCGACGGGGCGGTGGGAGAGGAGGCGGCCGGCCCGACGGCGACCTCGGTGGTGGAAAGGAACCGCACATGGCGCACCGGCGGGGGAGAGGAGCGGCGTGACGGCGAGCTCGGCGGCGAAGAGGAGCCGCGTTGTGGCGCACCGGCGGGGGAGAGGAGCAGCCCGCGGTGTGGCAGCGGGGGCGGCAACGGGCTCGGCGACGGGCACAGACAAGCGAGGGATGTGGCCGGCAGTGGCTGCTGTCGCCACTCCTTTCCTTCGCCGCCGCGCCGCGCCGTTCCTTTCCCCCATGAGCTGCTTCTCTCTGTTGCGAGCTCGCCGTCGCGCCGACTGCATCCGCTCCTCCTCTCTCGTCGCCTCCGTCGTGCCGGCCGACCGCCTCCTCTCCCGTCACCACCGTCGCGTCGGTGGCCTCTCTCCCCCTCCCCCGTCGCCACTCGCCCCGTCGCGCCGGCGGAGCTCGCCATAGTGCCAACCGCCTCCTCTCCCGTCGCCACCGTCGCGTCGGTGGCCTCTCTCCCCCTCTCCCGCCACCGGCCTTCTCTCCCCCATATGCTCGCCCACCGCCGCTCGCCCCTCCGCGTCCCCTGCTTCGCCCACGCCTGGAGCTGTCGCTCGCCTACCGCTTGCCGCCACAGCCTCGCTCACTCACCGACACCGCCGCTCCGCCTGCCTCCTCCCGCGCGAGAGAAGAAGAGACAAAAAGCGGGACCCACGTCATTTTATCGCTTACATGTGGGCCCCACATATTTATTTTAGTTATTTTTGCTGACTAGGATGCCACGTCAGCGAAACCATGCTGTTATACTGCCTTGGGACCTCTTTTAAACGGTTTTGTATAGTTTATGGGTACACATTCTTGGTTTTGTGGTTAAGGGACCACAAAAAATCTCGTTGTTAAGTTGAGGGACCTCCAGTGAACTTATTCCAAAATATAATTCCCCACTGTCAAACTTGAAGCCCATTCCCAGTCGTATAAGCCCATGAACCCATGAATCAAAGGTCCATTGAAATGCATATGCGTACTACTCCGTACTAGTTTAGCAGAAAATATTAGAATCACAAATGCCCATGTTAGGAGTAGTTTTCCCTTAATAAACAAAAAACCGTCCAAACACAAAGGAAAATGGAAAATGGAAAATGAGGTGAGGTTGGTGGGGACTTGACCCCTGACTGGGGCTTTCATGCTGGCCGTGCGTGGCGCCGTGGGTGGCGTGGTCAACCGGGGGATGATTCCTGTTCGCTTTTCTCTTTTATTACTCGGTCCTTCGCTTTGACCATTTCAGAACCTACTGCTAGTACCACTTCTACTACTAGTAGGAGGAGGAGTGCACGTCACATCCCGGGGGGGAAAAGAGGAAGTGTTCTTTCACCCGTCGGGTGAATTGACTGACTGACACTTGGGTCAACGATCTACAATGAGGGTGACTTCGCTGGCTGGCCCACCTGGTTTTGACTGGGCTGGCCCACCTGGTTTTGACTGGGGGTGGAACTAAGCCTGCTAATGGACTGGATGTAAATGGGTGGAATGGGTTGGATTTCTAAATGGACTGGCTTTGGTTGGATTCAAATGGGGCAATACTCAGAATGGACTGGAGCGGTTTGGATTCATTGAAAAACGGTGTGGGTTGGTTTGGATGTGGTTAAAATTCTTTCGGGTCCAAAATGGATTGTAACCATGGATTCAACCCATGGATACGAGTGGATTGCACTAATGGCCTCTGAATATAGTGATCAGTACAAAGCCAAACCCAGCAGCAGCAACCAGCGAAGTGTGTGTGAGGCTTAACCAAAGCTTAAGCCCAAAGCAAGCTTAGACACACACACACAAGCTAGAAAGCACACTTAAGAGACGCAGATTCATATCAGAGCTCGTAGTCGTAGCAGCGCCCTCCCCCTTCTAAAACCTTCTAGAACTGCCCAATGCCGCTACACCACCACGCCGCCGTCGCCGTTGTTGACGACGACGACGAGGCCAAGCCGCGCCTCCGCCGCCTCCCCGCCGCCGTCCCGTCACCGCCGCCGCTGCTGCTGCCGCTCAGCCCGACACCGACCACCACGTCGTGGACGACCAACTCCTCCTCGATTGAAGCGCCGCCGAGGAGGGGAAGCCCTAGGAAGGAAGAGAGAAAGCGAAGGGAGAGGGAGGGAAAGGGGAACGAGCTGCTCGATCTTTACGAACGCGGCGGCGTCCTGGACCTTTCCTCCCGATGGTGAGTGGTGACGATTGATGAAGATTGGACTGTACGTGGACTGAACCCATGGATATAAAATGGGTTGAACCCATTAGGCTGGAATGGTTTGGGTTAGTTTGGCCTGGAAGTGCTTGGGGGTTGGTTTGGGTTGGATCTTATAAATGGGAAAATGGTGTGGATTGGTTTGGTGGGCTGCCTCGGCAGGTGTTGGGTTGGATTGGTTTTGGATTGGATTTAGACCCATTGGCAGGCTTAGGTGGAACCCCCTTCATCGCATGACAGCGAGTGTAAACTGTGGAGTAGTATGGCTCTTGATATGTTACTGTAAGCAAGTACTCCCTCTGTGTCTCATATTATAGTAACCTAGAACTGGATGGAACATTTTATATTACAATGAATCTGGACAGGAAGTATGTCCGGATTTATTGTAGTATGAAGTGTCTCGTCTGGTACTAGGTTGCTATATTATGGGACGGAGGGAGTACGTAAAATTGTAATATTCCCTCTGTCTCAGATAAGCGCATCGCACTAAGGGCCTGTTTAGTTCACGAAATGAAAATTTTTAGGTGTTACATCGGATGTTTAACCAGATATCGGAAGAGGTTTTCGGACACGAACGAAAAAACTAATTTCATAACTCGCCTGTGAACCGCGAGATGAATCTTTTGAGCATAATTAATCTATTATTAGCGCATGTGGGTTACTGTAGTACTTATGACTAATCATAAACTAATTAGGCTCAAAATATTCGTCTCGCGATTTCCATGCAAACTGTGCAATTAGTTTTTTTTATCTATATTTAATACTCCATACATGTGTCCAAAGATTCGATGTAACCTTTTTGGGCAAAATTATTTGGGAACTAAACAAGGACTTAGTTTTCAGTTGCTCTTTTTTGGCCGTATGAATACTCATGTAAGTGGATAATAAATCTGATTAGTAAATATTACTACAAAATTATAAAAAAAAGTTAACAGGAATGATGATAAGCGGACATAAAAAAAAAACTTGCTTGCCTACTCCACTTAGGCTGTGTTCGTTTCCTTGTATTGGGAACTACTCCCTCCATTCCAAAATATAAGGCATAACCACCTATAATCTAATAACCAAGAAACAATTATTATCATCTCTTTGTTTGAATCAATCCAATTAATACAATACATGCACCCAATAGAATTAAACATCATGTGAGTGTATGATTTAAAAAATAATAATTTAGAAGAGAAGATATGCTAATTAATTACCATGCATGCATGCACACATTATATTATGAAACACCTTTAAAAAGTAGTTGTGTCCTATATTTTAGAATGGATGGAGTAATTCCTTTCACACGGAAAACAAGATACCTTATTAGCATAGGATTAATTGCGTATTAGCAAAAAAACATAAAAATGGATTGATATGATTTTTAAAACAATTTTTCTATGGAATTTTTTTTAAAAAAAAGCATTGTTTAATAGTTTGAAAAGCTTGTGTGCGAAAAACGAGAATGATGTTAGGAAAGTTGTCCAAAGAGCACAGCCCATGTCTCTGGATTTTATTGAGCTGAAAAATTAGAACCTATTTTGCTGAGTTTTATTTTCTACCCCCTTCCGTAAAAAAAAAACCTTGGGTTGAACCTGGACACACAATGTGTTCAGATTCAAACCCGAGGTTTAATTTTTTTTTACCGAGTATGAATCTGGACATATATGTATCCACATTCAAATCCAGTTTTTTTTTTTTGGGGGGGGGGAGGGGAGGGACAGAGCAGTAGGGCTTATAAGCAGCGACACATGATCGAAGCAATTTAAATTATAGGTTTATATTCCTACTTTAATTTTGTGGTTTAGAAGCTAAGACTAAAAATAAATGATGATTAATTCTAGGTTAATATATGATCATATTGATAACATATGAGTGTATTTTTTTCTATTTTAAAAGAAATATTTGCAACCAATTTAATTGGATAAAAGTCCAAAACTAACGTGGATTGAGTATCTGGAAACATGCTAAACAATGCCTTAGATTTTAAATATGGTTATATGGTTTGTGGGTTAACAAACCGCCAAGCAAAATATTAGGGTTATAATGTAAATGCATAATATATATAGCACAATATACTCCGGTGCACCAATTTTATTTTTGTATCTACTGTGTATGTTGGCAGAGTTCATGGTTGATTTTGTTCTTTTTTTGGGTTAATTATTGTATGAAAAAAAAAGTGGGATGATTGCCCATTATCTATCTCAAGAAATGTTAGTTATTGACAATGTAGGTTTAGATATAGAGACTGTATTGGGGTTATAATCCATTTTCTTAAAAGAGAAGAAACGTTAGTTCATTTGAAGGAAAACGTGTCATCATGCAAAACGCAAGAAAGTTTAGACGGGTGAGAATAAAAATGCAAAATTAGAGAGGATCATGATACACCAACCTCGAACCCTTAGAGCAAGGGCAATAACACAGCCCGTTGCGGGCTCTAAACATTAGCAACTCAACTATAGCAAGCACTGCAGGCAACATTTATAATAATCATTTATACTCTAAAATACTATTATTTTATCTATCAATCTGAGTTCAACTTTTATATTCGATTCGCTATATTTTCGATGGGTCCAATGATGATCCAAAGTGCAGGATGCATGAGCTTCGGTGCCCCGTGCATGACCGTTGACTATGTGGTCGAATTGGCTCCATTCTCTCTCCTAATTACTATCCCCTGCATGACGTACCCAAGCTAATAACTGTCTTGTAGTCTATTATACTTGCCCTTAGAGAGTTCCGTCGCAATCCTTGTTACTAGCCACCATAGCTCTGTTTTTTTTTTTCAAAAAAAAGTACCACATCTCATTGTACTCATGACTCGGTGACCGTCTCTAATAATACAATCAAATTTCGAGACAAAATATAAGCCCAAACCTTCGAATAAACCATCGTTGTTTTGGTCACTAAGAGCAGGTACAATAGCAGACTATAAATCAGCTATAAACACATTTCAAGAAGTTTTTTTAGAGAAGGGTATTTTTTTACCCGGCCTTTGCATCCAAGTGGATATATGCAGCTTTTTTAAAATTAGGAACTTAGCCTATCGAACAGGGAACTTAGCTCTCAAATAACCCAATCTAAAATTTGCTCCAATGGAGATTTGAACTCAGGACCTTCGAGTGCTACTCAGGTCACTGCAACATTTCAAGGAGATAAAAGATGAGAGAGAAGAGTAACGGACTACAGATTTATAGCCAGCTGTAGCATGGACTACAAGATGCATGTGTATATGATAGATGGGACTGTGTATTAATTGTGTAGTAATCCCTCCGTCCCATAAAAAACTAACCTAGTACTGGATGTGACACATATATCCTAGTACTACGAATCTGGATATACATCCGTCCAGATTTATTGTACGAGAATATGTCACATCTGATTCTAGATTTATTTTTTATGGGACAGAGAAAGTATATGATTATAAATAACTATTATATGAATTGATTACAGATGATTTAGAACCAATAATTGGCTATACATCTGATAACTGATCTGGGCTCCTCAGCTCTCACCGTCGTTGGATCGTTGCGACGTTGTCTACTACTACAAGGCTACAAAATTCAATGATTTCAGAACCAGCGTCCCAGCTCCGCAGCTTGGGTTGGGGTTCATTTACCGGTTTACCCCCCACCGCTCCTCGTCTATGAAACGAAAAGAGAAAAAAAAAACACAAAATCCCACGTCAAAAAAACAAAAAAAAACGGCGAGACGCACCGAAACACACGCAGCCACGGCACGCCCACGCCACGCCACGCGACGGACAAAAGATCACAAGAAGCGGGGGTACGCAGCCACGCACGCACCGAGGTGGGGCCCGCACGGGCCGCCCCTCACGCAGGCTGTCAGGTGGGCCCCCACCACCGGGTGGACCGCCCCACGAGGCTTACGCCATCCCAGCGTTTCCCTTCCCCCCCCCGCAGCTTGGCCGTGCCTGACTCCCCGACCCCACTCGACATGTGGGCCCCACGTGTCATCGGGATCGCGCGCTGCGTGACTTGTGCGCGTAGCAGAGCGAGCGGATCAGGATGCCTGCGCGGCTTGGCTGGCTCTTTTGCGGTTTGGCCCCTCCGGTTATCCACATATTTGCGATATGGCCTCCCCAAGTTAAAGTTAGGAGTAGTAGTAGTACACTAGTACTGTGGTTGGAGTGGAATTATATAATCATCTCCTGCTCAATTATTTTTTTTTGTGCACGTCGACCGATGTGATGCGAGTATAGTGGCGTCCCTATGATTAGTTAGTTGGCCTTTTCAGCCCCTTTTTCCTGTTGATCCTGGATATTTTTCCTTCTGGCGCCACGTTAAGCATTTAGGCCCCTGTGAAAAAGATTCTGCCATGGAGCTGAGTTCACTCCTACAGTCATGGGTTGAAGTCAAAACCTCACAGGGCGGTGAAAGTCTTTGGCACCAGCCACCAACTGCCACGGGTGTGCACTCCTTTCCAACTTCTTTTTCACACCAACTATATTTCATATCAAAGGAGTTCCATTTTTTCTAGGGTTGATAAATCATAGCATTATACTATGGGTTCCAATGGATACATACATTTATTAACTTTGTGTGTTTTCTTATAAGAGCATGAGTGTATCTCGGGATTCGTTTAAATCAGAATCGTGCATTTGTGCACGTTGGTGGTCTTTTATTAAGAAACAAAATCGTGTTTATGGAGTTGTAGCCTCGATAACGATTTTGAAAACTTCTATATTATAGTTTAACATATGAGGAAATAAAATGCTATCTTGCATAACCATTCATGGTTAAATGCATGCTACAATTGTCTATTTTACGTAGCTATAGGTGTAATTTTTTTTAAGGTAAGCATATGTGTTGCGTCATGTACCAGCCTCTTGTTTCTAATTTATGCTTATGGAGCTGTATCGGTGGTTACAATTTTTAGACTCTTAAATATTCCCTATGTTCAAAATGATCCGATAAGAAAACACATTGCCGTGTTCCATAAGCATTACTTAAATTTCACACCAATTAGATCTCACAGTGAGGAATAAACCGTTGCTCTAGGGTTAATTTATACTAAATCACACCATCTCAGTAATAAACGTATGCACACGTTTTGGTGAAATTGTGTGTTTCCTTACAAGAGCTTAAGACTATATAATTTCTCATATTATGTTTAAATGATACACACACGTGTCTATGTAGGGTTGTGCATGTTGACGGTACTTCTATGAAGGAAACTATTTCATGCATATAAAGCTATCGCCTCTAATATTTTTTGGACACTTTGATATTGCCTATGTTGTAAGTTATCGGGCAAGGAAATAATTTATTATCTCATACACAGTTAACTGCATGCTACAAATAGTTTTTTTTCTACATAGCTATAGATGTAATAAGTTATTTTTCAAAAAAGAAATAAAGCCAGCAAGTGCCCGCACTATACTCGGCATGCTGTTTCATATCCATGCTTATAGAGATATATTCGTAATTTTAAACATTTGAAGTTTAGTAATATTTGAAACGACCAGATAAACAAACAAATTGCCGTGCTGCGCAAGTATAGATAGTTAAAATATACACAACAGTAATTTTTACGAAACCAAATATATAATAAAGTACATCTTAAAAAGAAGCAAACGAAGCAAATATATTCACCAATCACCACCATGTGCCACCCTTTTACTCCCAACAAAACTATTACTGTACTTGAAACACACATGCTGCAGTAAAAAAAAAAGAAAATCTAACAACAAAACACCCACAAAATTCGCCTCTTCCCTACAACTCCACATCCCAACGGCCGCACGGAAAAAAACACGCGCACCGCAAAGAAGAACAAAAACCGACCCACAGAGACGCACAAGCACAACACACCTCCACCCTCTTTTTTTTCTATTTTTTCCGCTTTATTTATTTATTTTTTTCTTTCGCTTCCTCATATTATACTCCTCCTCCTCCTCTTCCCCCCTTCTCTCTCTCTTCCTCCCTATCCGCCTCCTTCTCCGCCGCCTCCTCCCCGCAACGACGCGGCGACTACGACGACCCGACTCGCCGCCTCCTCGCCCCCCGCCGCCGCGGCGCGCGTACGGACGGGCGGCGGGCCCCTCCTCGCCGGGCGCCGGGGTCCGCAGGCATTCGCCGCCGCCGCCGTAGTGTGGCTTCGTTTGAGGTTGGTGTTCTCTCTCTCTCGTTGTTTTTTATTTTTGGTCTCGGTAGGGTTTGGGCGGAATTCTGATTGGGCGTTCGTTTGCGGTGGAGGTTGCAGGGGCTCGCGAATTCTAGGGTTTTTTTTTGGGTGTGATCGGAGGTGGGGAGAAGCGGCGAGGACGCGGGGGGAGGGGAGGTGGGGGGGCGTGCATTGGATGGTCTCGATCCGTGCGGCTCCCCGCTGACACGCTGCTTCGATGGAGGAGCCTGACGGGGAAGCGCGTGGGCGGGAGGATCATGCTGCGGTTGGGCGGTTGGGAGGAGAGGAGGGTGCTGTTGGCGGCGGTGGCCTGGCTTTGCTCGCTGTTCCTGAGATTGGCGGTGAGCTCGGTGATGGTGGGAAGGTCTGCGGTGGTCAGGAGAGGCGCCTGCCCACAGAGGAAGATGGAGTCCGAGATAATGGAGGTGGCTCCGCTGCAGAATTGGTGGAATCTGCTGTGAATGTTTCTACCCCTTTTGAAGGAAGGGGTCAGATTGGTGGTGAGAAGGAGTCTAGTATGCAGGAGGGGTCTATGAACATGGCGGGAGAGAAGCATGGCAGTTATCATGTGGAATCTGCTGAACCCAGCAATTTGCAGACGTGTCATGCGCCCAATGGCGGGGTATCGAATAAGACATTATTTGCTCCCTTCAGCGAAGTTTTCTCCAGTGATAACAGCCATATGCGTTACTTGCTGGACAAAGCGACAGAGGGGAGCATTTGTGAGCATGGTGATTTGGCGGACAGTAAAGATGATTTGGGTGGCGCAACGGACGTAAAGACAAACACAGAAGATTTACAGATGGTTTGCACGAAACCACATTGTGATAGCGAGGGTTTGTCGGATTTGCATAATGACAGTGAGCGATGGCCACAAGTGGTTGATGGGGTGGGATTTACGATAAAGGGTAATAATGAGCTGAAACAAGTTGATTTGATACCAAAAATTGAAGCTGAAGTCTCTAGGTCGGTGGAGGATGATTCAATCCCTTCTTTTTCTGGTGGTATTGATGATTCTTTACGCAAGGCAGGTTGTGCGTGTGAAACTCTCAATGATATGGGGATGTCTCATATGGCCAATGGTGATTTGTGGTGCAATGTTTTATATGCCCCTCTTAGTGAAGGATGCCAGTCCAAGGATGCTCGACACATAGCAGTCATGGGGAACAAGGTGACACAGGGGAGTCAATGCGGGCAGGGTGATTTGGCGTGTGATGGAATTGTTTTGCGAGGTGGGGTAGATGTAGAGAAAAGTCTAGATGATTTACAGATGTGTTCCAAGGAACCACAATGTGATAACAAGGGCTTTCCATATTTGACAGAATTTGGTGTCCAGCAGCCATCATATGGCATGAATGTCATATGTTCGAAGACAGATCCTAACCATCAGCTGGAAAAGGATGAATTGTTGACAAATACTAGAGGAGAGTTCTCTAGTTCTATCCATGAGGATTCAGTTCCTTCAATTTCTGTGAGCTCTGTTGATTTTACTTTTGATGGCAATGCTGGTCAGATTGGTAAAACATCTGAGCATAGAGCAATCATGGAGAAAGTGTCGCATGGTTCACAGCGAGGAGGTGTACTTTCCTGTGAGAGTAGGTCTTTAAAGGAGTCTCATGCAGATGAGAATCAGAGTTCCACATTGGAGGTTAAGACATGTGAAGAGGGCTTACAGACAGGTCAAGTGGAACCATGCCACAGCATCGTAGCTTTGTCGGATTCAGGGAAGTATGGCACCGACATATTACCACGTGGTGGTGACGGTCTGAGATCGATGACTGGTGCTAACCATGAGCTGGTAAAGGATGATTTTCATCCAAAAAGTGATGTAGTGGTCTCCTGTCCAGTGGATGAGGCATCGATTCCCTCTAACTATAATAGCCCCATTGATGTTCTTTTATACAAAGAGGATGGTTTAGTTGGTGAGATATCTGAAAATAGAATTGGTGTGGAGAAATTGGCTCATGATTTGCTCGGAGAAGTTATGCTTTCATTTGACAGCAGGCCTCAGACTGAGGCTTCTGGAGATGAGAATCAACACTTCTGGATGGATGTTCCAAAGGGTTCAACTGCATCTGTTTGTGAAGTAGAAAATACAGGCACTAGAAGATCTTGTGATCCCTGTGCTGAAATAGAGTTTCCACTCCAACAAAGTCGTGAAAAGCATGTGATCTCTGAATCCCCCCCAGAGAGAGATCTGACTAGTTCGTCCCATAACCTACCTTGTGAAAATGAACCTTGTTATAGTGGCAGGGAAACACCCGCCTTCTGCCTAGGCCATCAAGATTCTGCTGGTCTTGGACTGGAATCTTCAGACTGTTTGGTACAAGAGCTCAATACGTGTACTTCCACTGATGACAAAGCTTGCTCTGTTGATTTTGTTGAGAATGGTAATGGTTCTCATAACCAAAAGGAAGTGCCGGTGATTTTCTTCAGGCGGAGGAATCCAGTAAGAGCTGCCTCTTCAAGAAATTCTAATTTTGAGAAGTGTGACCAGATAAACAAATCAGGTAATAGTACACGCAAATCTAAGAAGGTTGACAGTGTAAGCTCATTACTTAAAAGCACCATGATTAAGTTCCCAAACAAAACCACAAAGGGAAGAAGTGGCATCAATAGGCCATTGAACTCTTCTGCTTGGGGCAGCCTACAAAAGCTAATGGATGGTTTCAATCAGAACTGTGGTCCTTCAACTTCTCGTTCTCATCAAACTTGTTTGGGAAAAGAAATATCAAATAGAGGATCTAGCGAGAAAAAACAGCTATCTATTCGGAAAATTCGAACTTCAAGATGTTCAAAATATAAAAACACATCACTTTCTGATATTGGATATTTAGCAGGTGAATTGAATGGCCAACCGACCTGTTCAGTGAGGATTGATACTAATGTTTCTTCTGATGCATTGTTCAATTCTCCGAATGGTGCTCACAAAGCTGCACAGTGTGTTGAAGGTAATCATACTCTAAAATTAACATCTAGCCTGACTGACACACAACAGTTTGGCTTGGAGAATGTTACTCAAGAAACATGCCCTGGGTACATCCATGGAGAGTGTGGTACTTCAACTTCTGAACGTTCTCTAAATAATATAGTTGGGTTTTCACCAGACTCTGTTTTGGATATAGCTTCTGTTACATGTGAAAGCAACACTTCTGCAACCCTTGATGTTATAGTGCATGAAAACCCATCTTGTCCTGGTGGATTGATTGGAGGTGGTCTTCGTGCATCTGCTTTATCTACTTCTCACTGTGAAAATCATCATGCTTCATCATTGATGGATTTGGAGCAGCAGGTCAAAACTGTGAGGGAGAACGACATGGGAGAGGAAGATGTCATTCCATCACATGCCATGATGTACAATGATATTGGTGAAGGAAAGCAAACTTTAGCGAAGTCCAATACGATGAGGAAAGGTAGAAATGTGGGAAAGCAGGAATGCCGAAAGAAAGATGGAAAGAAGGGAAAAAACATAAACAAAAATAGAAGTTCCACCAAAATTTCATCTAGTGAAGCTTCAAAACTCGTGTCCTTTTCTAATGATTCACCTTCACTTGATCCATCTGAGTTGCTGCTTCATACGAGACCTCCAAAGTTTGGTTCTTGTTCTAAGGTCGTAACTTCTGCCATACATGATGTTGGTATGCATGGATATGACAATATGCGTCCTTTTGGAATTGACAATGATGACGAAGGGAGTGCATTTGACAATGTGAAATCACTAAGGCGCAAGAAAAAGGATAGTCATGGAGGAAAGAAGGGTAAGGTGCGGGATCCACATGGGAAGGGCAGAAGCAAGAAGAAAAATATAGCTGATAACACCTACGGTTTGCCGGCTCAGTTAACTGACCTGTCAGAACCTCGCATGAATAAACAGAGTATATATTTTCATCTTTGACTTCTATCATTTGATCCTCCTTTACTATCATTTATCAAGTAGCTTCTGTTGGTGCTAACTATCTTATTTATACAGGTGATCTTATTCCTGCTGCTGAACTTGTATTCAAGAACTCTTCTGCCGTATCTGTTGAATTACCTGCAGTTGTTGCTTGCAAAACTGATGGTGCATCTGTACCACCAGCACCTGCTTGGGTTTGTTGTGATGATTGCGAAAAATGGCGCTGCATACCAACTGAACTGGCAGATAAAATCTCAAAAGAAAATCTCAGATGGTATTGATTTCCATCCTGCCATCCCTATTTGATCAATTTTCTTGGTTGCACCAGTCCTCTAACCTAATTGAGTAATCATACGCTGAAATCTATTACTGCATTGTTCCACTGGAAAATAACTCATTTGAAATCCTTTTTGTTTGGATTTCCTTTTGTTTTGCTATGCTAGTCCACAATCACCTATGTGAAATAGAAAAGTTTGGTAAAATGGAAAACATATTTCTTTCTAAAGGAAGAAAGACTTCTGACACTATATTTAGATAATCTGTAGAGTAAATCTTACATTTTGCATTTGTTTGTGCTCTATCATTTTGGCAGTTGGCTAGCAGCCAGCCAGTTACCCAGAGGAAGAAAGGTGCTTCTTGCATGTTAGATGTGCCCATGTTCAATATTTCATATTAGTATTTCCTGTGCAAACAGAGGCTGTTCAATTCTACAGTGTAACTACAGATATCTATTGCATTCCATTCCTTAAAATATTCGTATTTCATGGGCCTTTTTCATTTATGCTCATACTTTCCACGGGATTCATGTAGACTATTAATGTATATATGTAGAAGCATATCGTTTGACTTGAGAGGTGATGTCATGGGATTTGTCTTGCATAATACTTTCATAACAGACAGTTTCCATGTACTATATTGTAATGAAAAACATGGGCAATATTGCATTGGAGACTGAAAAGTGAAAAATGACCTGTGTTTGTGAAGTTTGAGAGGGCAAAGATTAACCTTATTACCAACATGTGGCTCCGCTACATTGAAAATATATATTTTAATTCTTCCATTTGGTTTAATATTATTGATCTTTTTGATGTAGATGTCATTTCAGATGTGTTTGCCTACTCATTTTGAATTTTTTCTTTATCTGTTGAATGGTTAATAAATTACAACTCATTTTCCTTTCTTGTTTATACAAAGGACTTGTAAGGAAAACGAAGATAAGACATTTGCCAATTGCTCTATACCACAAGAGAAGACAGATGATGAGATCAATGCAGAGCTTGGGCTTTCAGATGCTTCTGCTGATGAAGCTAATGGCGATGGATCAAACTCGAAAGGTTTGAATTTTTGACTCTATACATTCTGGTCAGAAAATGCAAAATTTTCTTTTGTTGCTCTCTATCATATCTGATTTGTGACAAACTTTTTCATATTGCTGTGTTGCAGCTTCTGGAGAACCAAACTTTGCACTTCTCAGGTCAAACTTGTTTCTACATCGTAACCGCAGGACACAATCCATTGATGAGGTATGGGTTGATCTACTCACTTTTTATTTCTTAATTGACATTCTTTTGTTTTCTGTTTGTTAAATTTACCTAGCATTATTTTTTTCCGACCATATTGCTTTTTATGTGCAAGGAGCAGTTAAGATTCATATAGAGTTTTGTAGTTTATGTGTATTGTACTCAGAACATGGTATTGCAATAAATCTTATGGGGGGTGAGCATGCTACACATTGTTAGGCTCAGTTTGTGGTTGCTGTGCTGCGCGCACTTGTTTTTTAAGTTCCCGTGGAAATGAACTTATAATTATTGTAGCTTATTCTACAAATCGAATCACAGTTAGATAAAATATGTTATCCATCTGTCATGTTTTCCCAATTTTCATATTTTACATTATAATATTATCGTTTGCCACATGGATCAAAATAAAGGCAGTTTGCTCAACACCAAAATTCAAAAGCTCTATCTGAAAACGAGATTATCATAAGGCACCGCAATACCAAGATCAAAATAAAGGCAGTTTGCTCAACACCAAAATTCAAAAGTTCTTTCTGAAAACGAGATTATCATAAGGCACCGCAATACCAAACAGAGCTTTAGTTTCTCCACTTACCTCATAGTTTCACTTCCCATGCCGCGTGTAGGATAAGCTGGAAAAAACTGTTACTGAAGTGCCTATGTAAAGGCAGACAGTTGTATCATAGCCACTCCAAATCAAGGATGGCCATGGTTCACAAGTTTTCAGTTACAGCAAAAATTCACAGTCAGTTTCACTTGCGCACATTTCCATTTCTCCCTTCTGCTACAGCATGATTAGTGGAAGGTGGAAACTGTTGTTCAGGACAAGTAAAATGCTCCCCATGGCCTCTCTCTCTCTCTCTCTCTCTCTCTCTCATATTATTTATGTTTCTGCTCCCTCAACCTCTTGAATTTATATTATCTCCTTTTTATTTTCTATCAGTACTCCCTACAGCCCTGAAAATCATTTTGGACATATCCAGTCTTCAAAATACAATTTTGACCACTAATTTCTATTGTGATATATTTTTAAGTAATTTTCGAGACAAATCTACACACATGATTATATTTTTTCATGCCTCCAATCTAATTATTTAAAAATTTATCGATATTCAATTTTTTGAAAGTTTGACAACATGTCCGAAAGAACATGTTTATGTGCCTGGATGGAGTACAGGCTAAACTGTCTTGAACTGTTGTAGACAACTTATTATTTCTTTGTTCTTGGTTCTTTTGGGGGTTGAAATTCCAGCAGACAAACCTGATATTTCTATTTTTTTTATTCAATAATGCAAGAGCATGGTATGCAATTGTAAGCCGCCTCACGATGACCGAATGGGTTGTAGAGATGGTTGCTTGAACAGGATACTCAACATTGAATGCACCAAACGTACATGTCCATGTGGGGAGCACTGTTCCAATCAGCAGGTTAGATTCTTTCATATCCTTGTTCTTGTTTCCTTACTATGCTGGGTTTGAACTTATAAAGTTCTTGGAACAGTTCCAAAGGCGCACCTATGCAAAACTTGGTAAGTTCCATACTGGTAAAAAGGGCTATGGATTGCAATTGAAGGAAGATGTATCTGAAGGACGATTCCTCATTGAATATGTTGGAGAGGTAGTGCTTCATGCTGCCTATCGTCCCCCCTCCTCTGTTTATTCCGGGTTTGTGGTGGCGTTATATTTCTGTTAGTGCAACTTGCCCATGGGAGCAATGTTTTATGTTGGCATGTCACTAAATAATACCTTGTATCTGTTGATTGCACTGAGCCATTTGTGCATGCATGCATGTGTTGCCAACATGCTCTGTTTTCTTTTTTTTTTTTTGCAGGGAAACATGCTCTGTTTAAATGTTGATTATGTTGGTTTCACATTCGTTGTAATGAATACCTTGTTCTGACATAGCCAGGATACTTATCTCATTCTTTTCACATGGATATTGGTAAAAAAGCAAAAAGAATGAAGAGATAATGATTCCATTAGTAGCATCCTTCATTCCATGCATCTATTTTATATAGATATATTTTTAAACAACTGTAACTCTGATATTACTTCGTCGTGTTTCCGACTTATGTATTAAAAATATACTAGTATATACAAATTCCATTTTTATCCAAAACTGTACAACCCTCTGGTACAGAAATTCTGTGTATTTATGCAATCTGCTCTCTAACTCAATTTCTCTTCTACTATTATGAATGACCTCATGTCTAATGAGTTTGTTGATTTGCTTACTTCATTGTTGTTTCAGGTCCTTGATATAACGGCTTATGAATCCCGCCAAAGGTATTATGCCTCTAAAGGCCAGAAGCATTTCTATTTCATGGCACTTAATGGTGGTGAGGTATGTCTTTATTTATTCTTAACCAGTCATATTGCATAGATGTACTCCCTCATTTCTAACTTCACGTCTTTCTCAATCCCTGCCACTTCTTAGATATGCCTTCGATTAGAAATTATCAGATTAGTTCATTTATATCATTTCCTATAATATCAATAGATGATACAAACAACCCAGTGTGGTATCTGTTTTTCTTATGTCAACCTTCATGATGCTAACACTTAAAATTAAATCAGTTAATAGTTAATACCACTTTTGGCATTTTGCTTTGAACTCTTCTAGGTGATAGATGCTTGTACTAAAGGAAACTTGGGCCGGTTCATCAATCATAGCTGCAGTCCTAATTGCCGTACAGAGAAGGTAAAACCGTTTTATTTGATCTTTATATTTGAATAGCTGACCAGATCCCTTGCCTTTGTTACTTAAAATATCCTGATAATGTCCAATACAAGTCATATGTTATATTTACAAATAAATAAATAAATAATGATTGGTGCATAAAATTGTGTAATTAGTTATATTCTTATTTTGAGTCCATTAAATTACTTTTTCCTTGTGAGCAGTGGATGGTCAATGGTGAAGTCTGCATTGGAATATTTGCTATGAGGAACATCAAGAAGGTAAGGCTAGAAACTTGAAATCATCAATGAACATGATGCAGGTCCTGAGAAACTGAGAGTTTGCTTTATACTAGCTAAATTTAAATACCAACTTAAAATGTTGTATATTTTTTTGGGAAAAACATATTAATTTGCAAAAAAAAGTCATATAAAATAGCCTAGCCACATGCAAAAGACCCCAATTCAAGTGGTTATCTGATACACTGACTACCACCACCACCTTTCTTATTGTAGAGATAATTTGTGCAAATGAAACGTATCCTTCAGTATAACCTATATCTGTATTATATGTGCTGCACTTAATGGATATTTATTTCCTCACAGGGTGAAGAATTGACGTTTGATTACAACTATGTTCGTGTATCTGGTGCTGCTCCTCAGAAATGCTTTTGCGGTACTGCCAAATGCCGGGGTTACATCGGTGGTGACATATCAGGTGCTGATATGATTACTCAAGATGATGCTGAAGCAGGGACTTTCGAACCTATGGCTGTTCAGGAGGATGCTGAGGAAGTACTTGGTGCAAATGGTTTGTCCTCTCATGGCACACATCTAGATATTGTCGACCATGAAGCTTCCACTAAAACAGAAGATTCAAATGATTGCCCATCTGTGAACCCACCAGAGTTAGAATCTGAGCAACAAACTTCAGGAACCTTATTTGACACAAGTGAGCCAGAAAATTCCTTAGAAGCATTGAGCCCACAGGATGATGAAGATGTCGTCCGCACACCTGTCCATGTGTCCCGGACAGTTGAGAGTACGTCGCGGCAGTTTCCAGAATATGGTACTCGGTCATCAGAAATTTTGCAAAGGGCTCCATGCACACTGGATGGACCAAAGGTTCCAAGCACAACAAATGGAATTCCGCCTAGTTCCGATTTGGGGAGCCACTGGGTACCAGGTTTCCACGCTAATAAGAAAACCAATGTAAAACATCATTTGATTCTGAATCCATCATCAGCTCCTATTGACAGTGAGCACATTTTGGGAGGTAATACTGTTCTTCCAAGTGTATCTCTCTTTCTGTCTAGGGTTACATATGACTGTTAATGATCGCTACCTGACATGCACAGTTGAAGGAAGATTGAACAGCTTGCTTGATGTAAATGGAGGTATTAGCAAACGAAAAGTATGTATCCTCTTGTCCTTTGCATTATATATATACTTCAATTATAGACTAGGACTGAATATATTTTACTGATTTTTTGGCATCAACTCTTAATTAGGATATGTTGTCATATGCTAAATGGCTAAAAATCAACCCAGTTTTTTTATGAGGCATTCTCTTACGGAGTTTGCACCGCGTTGGGGATTAGGGAAACTTATATAGTGGTATTCCACATTTCTTGAGCGCAAATGCTAAAAGACAGTGTATGAAATATGGATTAGTATTTCTCACATTTATTAGTATCAATCTCAAGAACATAGTGTATGAACGACTTTCGATTGATTGAACTTCTACCTTTATTAGACTTCTTTAGGTTTAAATTGTTTCTTGGTCATCCTTTTTGGTACACGGTGTGGTTTGAACTTGAAAGGCTAGGCAATATTTGCATGTGTTCTGTGTTGCATCAATTGGGCGTCAAGCAGTCCAAATATCTCTCCATTCTACCTTTTCTGTCATTGGATATTATTCTAACTACTGATAATTTTTTTTTCCAAAAGGACGCAACAAATGGATACTTGAAGCTTCTCCTTGTGACTGCAGCGGAAGGTGACAATGCTGGGGGCACGTCTAAAAGGTTTGATTACCTAATAACATCCAGCAAGTTACATTTGCCCAGTCTAAATATGCTTCTGTTATATCTTTCAGTGTAAGGGATCTTTCGTTAATTCTTGATGCACTTCTGAAAACAAGATCCAATTCTGTCCTGTTGGATATCATCAATAAGAATGGTACATTTTCTTGCATTCTGCAGCTTTTTACGTGAAATACAATCATCTAGAATTACTGACTAATAAACTATTTGTACTATTTTCTGACAGGACTGCAAATGCTTCACAATATATTAAAGCAGAATAAAAGCGATTTCCATAGGATACCTATAATAAGAAAGCTTGTGAAGGTTTGCATTTCTTTTTTATGTTATGTCTTATTACATTAGTTTCCAATTAATATATCACATTAGAGCAAGTACATCCCTTAACAACTGATCTAGGTGCTACAGTGGACATATCAACCCCCACAAGATCCTTGTTATCTACTCCCTCTGATTCTTTTATGACTTGTGCACAAAAATCAAGAAAAAAAAACTCAAAATGACTATTGTCCTTCATTTATGCTGCACTGGAAAAGATGATAATGTATTTTGTGAGATGGTGGCATTTATTTGGCAAGGGCAAACAAGAAAGAAAAGATGTAAAAATGCATAGAAATTCCAAAGCAACTTACATTTAGGAAAGAGTTGAGTAGGCTAAAACGTATTGCATTTGGAATTGTAGGGGTGTTTTTTTTCCCTAGACCTTTGGTACCATTAATTATTATATGCCACCTATTTTTTGGTGCTAACGTTATAATATTTTGGAGATTTTATCATTAAACATTTGTGAAATGTACGAGGGAGAGATTTAGCATGAGCCACTTACCACGTTTAGCATGGGCGAAGCATTTTTGCTGTAACACCTAAACCCATGGCCCATAGCACAGGTGCTAACTACATACCCGTCCTCTAGTACCTTCTTAACAGATAGGGATGGACATGCTTTTAATTTGTAATGAGTGCAATGCCTGCACCACTGTTCTTATTTTCTGTATAACAAAAAAGAGAATAATATTTCTATCACAGAATTATATCATTATGGGACCCTATTTTTTCCTTATGAGTAATCTTTCTTCAGGTACTTGAGTTTCTAGCTTCCAAGGGCATTCTGACATCTGAACATATAAATGGTGGTCCTCGATGTGCTGGGACAGAAAGGTTTGATTATTCAAACTTGTTATTTATTCATTTGGTATTTTTCATTCTTAGGTTTCATTATAGTTTTCTGTATATTTGCTTTGTGTAGCAACATATTTTTTATGCCAAAACATGGTCTTCCGAGGAAATAAATGCAATTCTTGCTTGTTATTTTTGTATGTTTGATATTTCAAGCTTTCAAATTTTCAAATTTTGCTAGTACATCTTCTGTATGGCCTTTTGTAATCCATCAAGCAACCACTTGTGAAATGTGTTTGTAGCATTGCAATTTATTATATTACAAGTCCCATATTAAAGAATATTTCCTAATGCTGCCCTGAGTGAACAGTATATTTGGAGGTGACAATTTTGAATTCAAGACACTTGTTTTATGTATATCTAATTGCAGTTGCAGGTTTACCATTAATTGTATTACTAAGCTTTAGCCGTGCAAATAACATGCTATGGACAGTATTTTAATGCTCTAAATATAGCTTCTTTTGCTGTTGAAGTTTTCATTTTGAAGCATCAATTCTACAATTTTTCCTTACCTTTTATTCTCTGAAATTCGCATTGCAGCTTCAGGGAGTCGATGTTGGGCTTGTTAAGGCATAATGATATGCAGGTAATAAATATACTAATCCCAACGTGTATGATTTTTATCTTGTTTTTTAGGTATTTGTTTGTGCATTGACTCTTTGTTTAGATAGTATACAATTCAGGCCATGAACATAGTATAGAAAGATTGCAAGTTTGCAAATGCAATCAGCAAATTAATTATTTTGGGAGGGAAATGTCACTTTAAAAGAAAGCAATACAACATAATTGGTAATACTAGTGCATGTTTCTGAACTTGTCATGCATATACATGGTTTGATATTGATTGTTTCTGTATTGTAAATGCTTAGTTTATCCATGGACATAGGACAAGTCTTTTTGCTTAGAGCAAAAAATGGAACCAAAATCAAGTTTTCTTTATTTTCGTTAATGGATAACCAATCCAAATTTCCAATATAGTTTGAAAATTCATATAGTTTTTTTGTTTGTAAATAAGTTAGCAAATGTATTAGTGTGAGTACTTCGCTGTAAACGGATTATGCATTAGCATCATCATGTTTACTTATGAACAGCTGTATTCTTTGAGCCTTCCCGGAAACTGCTGGAACTTAGTTAAATACTCCCTCCGTTTCAGGTTATAAGACGTTTTGACTTTCGGCAAAGTCAAACTGTTTCAAATTGAACTAAGTTTATAGACAAATATAGTAATATTTATAATACTAAATTAGTTTCATCAAATCAATAATTGAATATATTTTCATAATAAATTTGTCTTGGATTGGAAATGTTACTACTTTTTTCTACAAACTTGGTTAAATTTAAAGCAGTTTGACTTTGACCAAAGTCAAAAAGTCTTATAACCTGAAACGGAGGGAGTACAATTTATATTCTCTCTTAGCTGGCTTGATATCTGTTGGTCTTTAATATAGGTTTTGCAATAAGAATATTGTTTGTTATTACCTGCATTTATAGGCTTAGTGATTCTCTGATGTGAGGATATGACCTGTTTGATTCATATAATGATTTTAACAGGTTCAACAGATTGCTCGGAACTTTCGTGATAGATGGATCCAATGGGCCCCTCGAAATATTTCAAGAAATGAGCCAACAGAATATTCACGTGCATCCATATCTGCACACGATATTCATGTCATTTCAACAGCTGGTGGATCTTTTCCAACTTCAGCCAACACTATGGATTGGAAATCCATCAGAAGAAAACGCAAGAGCCGTTGGGATTACCAACCAGATGACCACTATAAAATGGGTGGCCTGAAAATTCAGAAAGTTTGTCCTGTACAAAGTGAGTTTCGGACTGGCTCGGTGGGAAATAAGTTGCATGGTAATTGGGGAACGAACAGCTCCCACAATGATGTTCCTGTGGTGGGAAGTTCAGCCGATGGTGCAGATGATGAAGCACCTCCTGGATTTGAGTCTCAGCAGGAAAGTCGGCCTGGACAAGCTTGTTTAGAATCGGGGGTTTCTCCAGGATTATACTTGGAGAGGTATCAACATAACTTGACTATTTCATACGGGATTCCAATCGCTTTTGTTGAGCATTTTGGAACCCCAGAAGTTGAAGGAGGGCCATGTCGCAAAAACTGGAAAGTCGCACCTGGTGTGCCTTTCCAGCCCTTTCCACCATTGCCGCCCTATCCAAGAGGGAGTCCTTGTCCTTCCACTCAGATGTCTCAGCATGAACACAACAGTTTGGGACATTGTGGCAGGGCTGCAAATAGAGACGGGAGAATACATAGGAATTGGAGAAATGGGGCGAGAACAAAATTTCCATACAATCATCAAGGACGGAGATTTCCTAACAATAATCAAAGATTTTGAAAGTTGCCTGCTGCCTCCAACGTCTCAGGAGCAGGGTGATCCAGGACCTAGAGGCAGGGAGTGACCCAAGTCCTGGTTTTTGAACCTCAAATAGTGGTTTATACATTGTAGTTCCTGTTTATCAGAGCCCCAGAGGTGTATCAGAATTGCGTGCGCCCGTAATTCTATTTAATAGGAGCAGATGTTACTGTCAGTTTATTAGAGGTAGAAACATATTCTGCAAATAGGTCATTGCCTTTGCGGTTCTTTTACTAATTAATTTGCCCATTGGCTCCCTCTGCGCTATGTGTAATCCCGATAGGAATAATTGATTTGATTCAAATCGTTTTACAGGCAAAATGGCTAATTGGTTTCAATCTTTCTCCATCATGTCAAGAAAGATACATGGGATGTGAAAAGTTCCTAAACAGCCTTTTTCATATCTCTTTTCCTTTGTATAATTCACAGTGTTCCCTTCTATTCAATGCAATGCCTGGTTAGTCCATTGTTTTACTTCAAAATGTATGTGAATGTGACTTGCCATGTCGACGACGGAGAAAACGAAGACAGTGGAGAGAAATGAATGCATCTATGGGCAAGTTGTTGAGCAAGTAGAGCGGCTCTCAAACTTATTGACACATGTTACTAGTATTATTGAATATACTACAAAGATAGAGAGTGCAGTACATTGGCATTTAAAGTAAACGGTACTCCTACTAGCATATGAATTTGTAAGCAGGAGCCGGTATAAGTAGCCAGATTACAGATCAGGATCACTGTTTAATCATTATAATTATGCTGTTCCATGGTTGACAAATAAACTTTTTTCCTAGTCAAATTTTACCCCCTTTGTTTCTAAATATTTGACGCCGTTGATTTTTTTAAATATGTTTGATCGTTCGTCTTATTTTAAAAAATTTAAGTAATTATTATTTTTTTTCCTATCATTTGATTCATTATTAAATATACTTCTATGTATATATATATATATATATATATATATATATATATATATATATATATATATATATATAGTTTTACGTATTTTATAAATTTTTTTGAATAAGACGAAAGGTCAAACATTTGCTAAAAAGTCAACGGTGTCAAATATTTAGAAACGGAGGAAGTATCAAGTTTGATCAAGTTCATAGAAAAATTTAGCAACACCTAAAACATCAAATTAGTTTTATTAAATCTAACATTGAATATATTTTGATAATATGCTTATTTTGTGTTGAAAATATATTTTTTTTATAAACTTTGTCAAACATAAAAAAAAATTCTGACTTGGAACTGGAATGTGGAAGAAATGGCGTTGGCTCTAGGGAGAATGACACGAGCTGCCAACCACTCCTGAATCCCGATCAAGTGATCATCACCGATCGATAGATCGCAACATCACCAGTGAGTGTACTCGGTACTGTAGTACTCGAGTAGTACTACTGGCCTGGCCTTACACGCCGGATGCGTGGCCAATAATAAATCCTCTGTCCCAGCCTGTTTAATTGACTGGACGGCAGTATTAATAGCAGTACAAGTTCATCAAGAAAGCTACTACTAAAATGTAGTAAGATCATGTTTGAAAAATAGGTTTGGAATATGTTTTTCCATCTTAAAAGGGTAAGTTTCAATCTTAGCCATTCATTCTTCTCTTCTCATTTCATCATATCCTTTCGTCCATTTCCATTTTTCAATCCCACCCTTTCTAATCCATTTTCTAAACACATGAAAGTTTTGACGCAGGGGGCTCACCATGTACTTGCAGTCGCTGTTTTACTTCCGGGGCAGCGTTATTAGTTTCTAGAACGCATAAATTTAATGGGAATTTGGCAGAACTTCTAGGATATAAAGGATAACTATTCTTTCTGAGTGTTTAGCTGATTTTTTTCCCTTTGAAATTCCATTAGTTATTTGCAATCAAATGAAAAATGTTTCTTGTGAAAGATTCCCTATTTATTTGTTTTTCTGTTACATAAAAGACATGTACACGTGCACACCACCATACACAGTCACGAGTACATCCTTAACATGTTCGTCTCGCGGTTTTATACACAGTCACGAGTACATCCTTAACATGTTCGTCTCGCGGTTTCCAAGCGAGTTAGTTTTTTTATTCGTGTCAAAAACTCCTTCCGACATTCGGTCAATCATCTGATGTCATACTAATTTTTTTTTCGCGAACTAAACAGAACCAACTACATTACCATCGCACCACCGGTATTTCTCAACGCGCCTCTCATTTATTGGTGTTGCGCGTGCCTTCAACTATACAAAGTTCCAAGCATCTTAATCACTAGGACGGGTTACAATCAAGCATTAATCTCTTCTTATATGATGCAGATGCAGTGATCATGCAGGCGCAGTGATGCAGGCGGCGTCGCCGTCGCGCGTACATACGCCGGGCCCCGCTGCACTAGCTATCCTCTACAATTTATGGAGCTCGTTCCTTCCTCCTACCTAGAACCATTTCCATTTCTTTTAGCATTTTTCAAGTAATTATCGAAAAATGAGTTTGATTGATTTGTACACCAGTCACTTTCCCATCTTATTTTGCCTCCTCTGCCATCGGTAACTGATGAATGTTGTTGCAGTCGTGATTGAATAGGTGACATATCCTTTTTCAACACAAGCTCGAATTAATGGACGAATTAAACATATTCATCTAATTTATAAATAGATTTGTTACATCATCAACATAAAGTGAACAGTAGTACCCATGTTCAAGCATAGAAAATATGCATGCTAATTGAACGCGGGGAGATGTTGTGTGGTAAGGGTTTAGATAAATTTAAATAATCCACTTCATCGCACACGCTTCAAACATGACAGTCCCATCGTTTCGTCTACTGCTAATTATAAGCTGTAGTATTTTTATTGACAAAAAGAATTTGATGTGTTTTTAGCAAATTAATAACCAATATAAAAAATAAAGTAAAAAAAAAAATCAAAATCAACTCCTTTGCTATTAAGCTGTATAGCAAAGGCCAAAGGATGGAGCTATGGGCTTCGGGAAAAAAAAAGACGAGACATTGTCAAATTATACATATATTATGGGAGTACAATTTAAAACTAACAATTAAACTGCTGCAGAATAAATCTAACCATACAAATACCCCCTACACATCATACACGGGAAGAAACATGCATAAGGGCAACAACTCTAGGCAGCCGTCCAAGCTCCAAGCTCGCCAACTCATAGTAGAATTGCAATTTGCAAGTATGTCATGCCATAAGTAAAAAAAAAATAAAAAAAAGTATTTCATCCCAGCGATGATTGACGATGCCAAAGTCTAGCAGCCATGGTTTGTTCCGTCCATACTCCATAAAATCTCTGGGTTCGTCACTGACGCTAGATCTTGTAGGTATTGAATTATAAAATCTGTTCTTTTAATTAAGGTATAGCTAGTCAGAAATATTCTCTCCGTTTCATATTTTAAGTTGTTTGATTTTTTCTTATTAGTCAAACTTCTTAAAGTTTAAAGTTTAATCAAGTTTACAGTAAAACATAGTAATATTTGTAATACGAAACAAACATTATATCAAAACATATTTAATGCTAAATTAATTAAACTAATTTGATATTGTAAATATTGCTATTTTTTAACTTGTTCAAATATAAAGAACTTTAACTTAAAAAAGTCAAACGACTTATAATATAAAACGAAAATAGTAGCTTAGTGTGAATAATTGGCGCCATTATTTTGGCGGGTTGCCCATCCCATCAGCCGCTGCTAGTCTACGGCTACTTAAACCAGCCGTATCTACACACTTGCTCACTCTGCTCTCGTTCTCTTCTGTCTGCTACTACCATGCATTCGACCGGCATGGAGATGGAGGTGGAGGTCGCCGGCGACGACGAGGCGGTCCCGGAGGCGCCGGAGCGGTCCGTCGTCCTCATCTCCGCCGGCGCCAGCCACTCCGTCGCCCTGCTCAGTAAGCCGCGCGAGAGAGAGATAGCGCCTAGGCGGTGGTTAATTATCTGACTTGACGGATTGACATGGCGTGTAGGCGGCGGGGTGGTGTGCTCGTGGGGGCGCGGCGAGGACGGGCAGCTGGGGCACGGCGACGCGGAGGACCGGCCGGTGCCGACGGTGCTGACGGCGGCGTTCGACGACGCGCCGGGGGGCGTCGCCTCCGTCGTCATCTGCGGCGCCGACCACACCACCGCCTACTCCGACGAGGAGCTGCAGCTCTACAGCTGGGGATGGTACGCACTTGCGCTTGATCGATCGATCATCTCGCCGCCGCCGCCGTGAAGCGAACTGAGAATTCGATCCGCCGCCGTTGCAGGGGCGACTTCGGGAGGCTGGGTCACGGCAACTCCAGCGACGTGTTCAACCCGCAGCCCATCCAGGCGCTCCAGGGCGTCCGGATCACCCAGATCGCCTGCGGCGACAGCCACTGCCTCGCCGTCACCGTCGCCGGCCATGTCCACAGGTACCTCTACTCTTTCATGTATTACGACACCCTCCCAAACCCGCTTTCTTTTTCTTTTGTTTGATGTAATCTCCTAGTCTTAAGACTATTGTACATTGTTTCCCTCTCCTTTAATACAAATACACCTTGCTGAGTTTAAAATGAAAATAACTCTTTCATGTATTACGACTTGCCCAAGCGTTTACCCGAGGATATCGGACTCAACGACGGCAGTGACAAACCTATCATAAAAATTATCAGTGATATCTAATTATTGAGTGATATACTTAATTAACATCGCGTAAATTAAACTAGGATTGAATCATCTACCCAGGGTTCTGTGATCTTGGTAAGACTTTATAGGATCGCTACTGCTCTACAGTAGGTGAGACCAGAGCGATGTTATCCCTTGAGCGGAGTCCCCTCGAACAGGCGAGCCCAAATACCATTCTTTTTTTTGAGTAGCGAAATGTCTAGTCTTTTATTAAGAGAGGAAAACTACCTTTTGAGAAAAGATAGGGTTTCTCGGAGTAGAGGAAAGGTAGTGATGTTACGTAGAAATCGCTATTTCTTTTCAGCAACTTTATTGGATTATTACCGACGATTATTTAGTACGCGTCTCGAAAAATACGTTTTCTTAATAAACTTTCTTCTACTGTATTGTATTCCTTAGACCATTTATTTTTTGAGCTATTTGCTAATTTTGTTTCTAATTATATTTAATCTATCCCTATAATCAAAGTGTTCTTGTGTGCTGGTTGATTGATTTCAGCTGGGGACGCAATCAAAATGGTCAGCTTGGCCTCGGAAACACCGAGGACTCCTTGCTCCCACAAAAGATTCAAGCTTTTGAGGTATCAAAACGTCTTCATCTAGCTCTGTTTGTTGGAACAGGGTAAGGCAAAATAGACCAAAAGAATAAGTGAAAATGATAGCAGCATCCGCGGGAAATATCTTTATGTACTCTACTCCCTCCATTCACTTCTATAAGGCTTATTTTGATTTCGAAACGGACAAACTTTGAAGATTTTGACGAGCGCATTATTAAGCATACAAATATATTTTTTAGTGTTTAAAGTTATACCTATAGATTTTGTATTTCAAAGAGCTTCCACGTAATATTGGTTTTGTTCCTATTAAAAAAATATATTACGAGAAATTAATGGTCAGAGTTTAGTCTTGCAGACTTAATTTTATAGTCAAAATACGCCTTATATCTAAAAATAAAGGGAGGGACCGAGGGAGTACAAATGTATTCCACCTGACGATTTTCTTGGCCGAGGCTATGAGTGCCAATAATAACATCCATGAGCCCCCCAACCATGGACCACGAAGTATTCATGAACTGATGCCACAATTTCGAAATCACGCAAAATAATTAAGCTATACCATCAGAAGTTGAGCAGTGAGTGGTCGCAATCAAGCCTTCAATGTACTTCACGATTTGCGCATGAGATCACCAAAGAATAAAATAATAATAAAGGAAACATTTTTGCTTTGTGACAATAGCAACATTGATGGGCAAAATTCTTCAAATATCTAGAATGACACCTCTAAAATTCAGAAACAGCACATTGAGGCTGTTAGGAACAATACTTGCTCTAATTAACAACAAGACTGTGTGGATTCAGGGTGTCCGTGTAAAAATGATTGCTGCTGGTGCCGAGCACACCGCTGCTGTAACAGAAGATGGTGATCTCTACGGTTGGGGCTGGGGTCGGTATGGCAACTTGGGACTAGGCGATCGCGATGACCGCTTAATCCCAGAAAAAGTTTCTTCTGTGAATGTCAGTAATCTTACTCTTGGTTGTCTCTGACTCTTATTGCAGTTATCATTTATGTTCTACATCATCATTTTTTTCATGGAGAAATTTTACGGTACTCAAAGAAAGTACAAGTAGGTGTGAAAAATTTACACTAAAAATTTTGATACCTCGAAGCATAGCAACTGAAAGTATCAAGTTTACACTAGAAGATGGGATACATTGCGGTACATTCTCAAGGATGATAAAACTACCCTTTTCGTTGATTTTCCAGGGTCAAAAGATGGTGCTTGTAGCGTGCGGGTGGCGCCATACCATCACCGTGTCCTCCTCCGGTAGCATCTACACATATGGATGGAGCAAGTATGGTCAGCTAGGGCATGGTGATTTTGAGGATCACCTGGTTCCACACAAGTTGGAAGCATTGAAGGATACTACTATATCTCAAGTATAAATATTATCTAAAAAATATCTCAAGTATAAATGGATAGCCTTTTGCTATGAATTTTGTAATATAGCAATCTGTCGAAATTCTATTTGTGACACTGTTTTTTTCAATAGGAAGAAGCTGTAGAGTTGATCTTTTTTTTTTTGGGTGATGAAGATTTCAGGTGGGTGGAGGCATACAATGGCACTTGCAGCAGATGGGAAACTCTATGGATGGGGATGGAACAAGGTGATTGGTGAATTGCCTACTCCCCTTGTTTGATTAATTGCTGATGGGAACAAGGCACCAATCTTGCTCTGAACATGTTCTTATATGTTGATGAATACTAAATCTTAAAACATTTCTGAAGAATGACATTCAGTGTTCTTTAAGACACAATGGAACTAGAAGAGCCAAGTGTCTTGATCTGGAAAAAGAAAAATCTCACAGCAGCAGATAGCAACCGTTTTCCCTGTTCCTCCAGGGCACCATACTACCACTACAACCTCCACTTTTAGGTACCAAGTGTTTCACCAATCCACCAAACACCACTACCAAACCCCACTTGTCAGCTTGATTTTCGGAGTATGAATGATATGTGACCACTCTATAGTAATTCATATTTCAGTGAATTGATTAGTATATGCAGTTCAATTCAACATGTATGTTCAATTTGGATGCCTCTATTGGCATAAATATCTTGAAAACGACATGCCTCTGGCGAAATAAGAGTTTGTGAAACCACGTCGATACTCCGACAATTTTGAGTCTCGAGTAAGGTGTACTACATGAGAATCGTCTGTACTTGTGTTCTCTGACATGTTTATCCTCTGAGCACCAATTTACCACCATTATCCTTGCATTTTATCATCACTTATGCTAATCTTTAGTTTTTTTTTTGTCATGTGTAGTTTGGACAAGTCGGTGTTGGCGATAATGAAGATCACTGCTCCCCGGTGCAGGTCAATTTTCCAAACGAACAGGTAAACGGTGTTGTCTTGGAGTACTTGTTCTCACCCTTTTGCTCTGTTAACTTTTAATTGCGTCATGTGGTTCTAAACACAATGGTTATGATCTTTCCGCAACGATAACCGCAATGCTTGTGATCATCACCAAGGCTATTTCACCGCTCCATCTGAAGAAGGATTCCTCTCAGTTGACGTTATAAGTTTCGCATTTTCAGTTTCAGTCTCATTTGTATCATATGCCACTCAACTGCAGAAAGTTGTTCAAGTTGCTTGTGGATGGAGGCACACTCTTGCCCTGACAGAAGCCAAAAATGTTTTCTCATGGGGAAGGGGCACCAGTGGACAGCTTGGCCATGGTGAAATAGTTGATAGGTAATTTCTCGCACCCGAAGGATTTGCGCATTTGCAAAAAAAAAAAATCCAGGTTTAATGCGCGGTAACTGAATCAAGAAAATATTTCTGTTGGTGAAGGAACATACCCAAGATGATCGATGCCTTGAGCTCGGATGGATCAGCTTGCAAGCAGCTGGAATCATCAAAAGCCGTCCCAATGTCAGGTAAATATATGCAATGCATCACATCATGCCTTTTTTCAGCTTCTACTGGCAGGTCTCTCTGCTCATGCAATTCTTCAGTCATTCATTCAGAGAACTTACATCATATAATCCTGTTTTTCAGCTAAAGTTTGGGTCTCGCCATCAGAGCGATATGCCATCGTGCCGGATGAGAAGGTGAGTTCATGTTTTGCTTTCAAAAAGAAGAAAAATAAATTAAAAAAAAAACACTCTCACATTGGGCTGAACATTCTTGTTGGATAAAGGAAGTATAACTTCCGGCCTCTGCACCATGCACGCAACCGTATTTCTTGACACCACGATTTGAACCCTGTTGGATGGAGTCATATACCTCACGACTCCACCGCCACACCAATGGACTGAACATTAATTCTTTGCAATCAACAACATTCAGACTGATGGATATATCATTCTGCAATTTCCTGTTCTTAGGCTGGAAAAGGCATCCCTGCTGGCAATGGAACAGAGACTCATGTGCCCCAAGGAGATGTGAAGAGGATGCGCGTCTGATTCAGCAACATATACGATCCAGTGCTCTTCTTCCACTTGATATCCTCTATTAGTTAACCTTAGAATTAGCATCATATATACATATAATAACCTTGGGGCAGCATTTATCCTCTACCATCTTATGACATATGCTGCCCAGTCTTTAATTAGTGTGTTGCCTTTTCATTTCTTAAAATAATCAGTGATATTATTCACAGTGAGGTTGGTCATGTATGACAGTATGAGTAACTATGGACTGTCATAGGTATCACCATGGGAAAAAAATCAGTCAGTTTATTATTCTGCTTGGCATTGCAAACTAAGCTATGTTATGTATGAATTATCTGTGATATTTTAGCTTAATTTGTTTGGCATTTCATCAGTAGCTGTGATACTCCCACAAATTTGGTTGCCTGGGCTGACAAAAACCATAATATTTCTTTAAAAATTGGCATACCTCCTGCCAACCAACTTGTTCAGAAACCAAACATGAGCTTTGCTCATAGAAAGAACACACCAAAGAGTCACAAAGCTCACTCCAATTAGATGAAAGAGTCAAAACTCACAATTCCGATTGGAACGCGGGATTTCCGAAGAAATTTTGTTGGGAAACTGAACACAGTATAAACTGTTTAATCCGTGTTTCCGTTTCGAAAAATTTCTACAGAATTCCTGCATTCCAACAGGGACATTTAGGGCTCATTTGTAACATACAAACTTCTAGAGAAATTTCATAGCATTTGAACTAATTAATGCAAAATTCCTGCTTTCCCAAAGAAGTCCTCGCACTCTTTGCAGCTACTGCAGCATGCAGCTTATGAACTATTCAAAACAAGACACACAAAGTGAGGAAACTAATATATATATATGGACAAAGCACAGTAGCATATATGGATGATAATCGCATTCATCACCTGGATTTATCTTTCCTTGATGAGAAGATTCTTCCAACAAATGAGACGCCATTCTTCTTCTGCTGCTGCTTCTTCTTGCTGTTCATGGCGTTCTTGGTGTTCTTCTTCCTCGCATTCCCCTGCCTCCTCTCTCCGAGGTGGCGATCGTCGTCGACCATCTTGATGGCCAGCGCCTCCGACAGGCTGGGCAGGTACTCCAGGCTCGCCGCCATCCACTCCTCGGCGCGGCTCTCGTCCCACCGGTCGCTGCGGACCCTGCCGCCGCCGCCGCCGAGGTCGACGTCGATGTCGACGACGGCGAGCTCCTTGCCCTTGCCGCGGGCGGCGCCGGCCGAGAGGATGGCGAGGCCGGTGCTGAGCTGCGCGGCGACGCTGGACACGGCCGTCTCCATGTGCGACTGCCTCTGCCGCAGCCGCTCCAGCTCGCCCTTCGCCTCGGCCAGCTCCGCCTCCAGCTTCCTCAGGCAGCCCAGCACCGCCGGCGGCGACGGCCTCCCGCCGCCGCCGCCGGCGGACTCGCTGCTCGCCCGGCTGGTGGAGCTGAGGCACCTTTCGCCGAACACCTCGACGGCCTCCCTGACCGACTGGAACGGCCGGGAGGTGTCCACCACGGCACGGCTCGCCGCCGCCGCGATCTCCATCGATCGACAAGATCAAGAGGACAATGCCGATGCCGGCGAGGAGGAGGCTGAGGTGATGGGAAGGAAAGAATGCGACGATGTGAGAGGACAGCAATGGCGAACTGAAGTAGGCATATCTTGTCCTTGTCCTGTCTGTCTTTGCTTCTACTTCAGAGTTCAGAGTTATCAGAAACTAAAGTCACCAGCCAAACCAGCAACCACAACCAGACCACCGTGCAGTGCAGGACAGGAGGGGAGAGTGGCATGACAGTGGAATACAGGCATTGTGTCAAGGCCAAGGAAAACTAACCGGTAGAACAGGAGAAGGGTACTTGCCACCCAAGGCAGCAGACATCAAGTGGAGGCCGCAGGGCAGATTCTGGAGAAGTCGGCACAGCTGATACCTGCAAAAGGCACAAATTTTAACAATCTGACCCTTTGCAAAAACTATTTTTACAAATGAACCGTCGCCAAAACTTATTTCAAATCTGACTCTTTTGCTCAACGCCAAATCATTTGGCGCTGAACTTAGACACCTCAACGCCACGTCAGCTGGCGCTGAATGCCGTGCCACGGCGGATGGGAGATAAGTCAGCGTGCCAACGTACATTCAGCGCCATGCTATTTGCCGCTGAGGTATCTAAGTTCAGCGCCATACGATTTGGCGTTGAGCAAAAGGGTCAGATTTAAAATAAGTTTTGGCGACGGTTCATTTGTAAAAATAGTTTTTGCAAAGGGTCAAATTGTCAAAATTTGTGTGCAAAAGGTGCAAAAACAACATATACATACCTACCTAGTCACATGCAAGAATGAAGTTACTAAGTGAGTACTGACACAATCTTGCAATGCCTAGTGTCACAAAGAAGGGAAAAGGATGCAATGCTTCAGCTGTTAGGCACAAGGCAATGAAAAAAATAAATGGCTCATTGATTGAAGGTTGTGCAGTGCACAAATGGTCGTTGGAATTGAGTTTCAAGTCAGATTAGCATGCCTCAGTTACAAATGAGATATCTACAGCTAAGGCACAAATGAGATAACGATGGAACATAAGCTTGAAGTATTTACAAGTATTCCAGACATAAGCTTGAAATGGAACTGACTGATAGCTCTGGATACATAGCGAATTATGTAAAAAGGGGGGCACAGGTGCAGATACCACAAAATCTCTGGATCTTGAAAAACTGTGCCAACATATTTTTTACTGATCAGTAATCCATTCTGGAATTTGAACATAATTAATCCTTGCAAGAAAAATATGTCAAATATAGTTGTTGTCGATGAAACAGTGTACAGGAGGTGTATTGAATTATATACTGCTAAGTCAAACAGAATCGTGAACGTGATGCCCCAAAAGATGGCTGGAAATCAAAACAATGAGAAGGAAAAGGAAAAAAAAACTTGTTACAAAAATGGAAAATAAAACTCATTACAATATAGGGGAGGGTCAAATTCCCAGCAAAAAATGCGACCAATATATCTTCATATGAAACAAGGTGCTGACTGTCTGATGAAAAATGATAACCTATGAGGCAGCTCAGTGTCCGTGTAAAGTGGTTGTTTTGCTTCAATGGCGCGACTGATAAAAACGAGGTCTGTTGGTGAACACCCGACCATTGGCTCTGACAAAATGTGTGATGCCAATGCAAAGACCAGCCCATAGAAGTGACAACACTAAATGGCGAACATCATTCCTGGCTGCAGAGATATTGAAGCAGTTAATTAGCTGCACATATATTCCCATTATATAGTAAAAATAGAATGTGACTCCAAAATCTTCTTTGAGAAAGTACATATGTATTCGGATGGTTATAACTTGAAACAAATTTATTTTACTCAACTGTGATACATGTCCAATGCCATCCTCAATTATAAGAGCGGTTCAAATTTCAGTCATGCTATCAAAACCAATGTAAATAAGCCCCAACGTTCTAAACCACCTTACCTCTCATGTTTTGCAACATGCAAAAGAAGAAAAAATAGTCAGCACCCAGCAGTATTAGCCTATGCAACTTTACTTTTTTTCAGTTTTACAAGCGTAGCATAGCATCATATCAGCAGAAATCCAAGTAACTTGGATTTGAATTTTATGACTAGCTATCTTGTTTACTGAGTTTGAGTTTTTGAGATATAGGAAAGTGGGATATATTAGGTGAGTTACGACCAGAAATGGGACTTGTGTTAGGTATCCATGTTTGGGCTTGGAAGTGTGATCCTAAACAAGGATCAGTGACCATCAATAAATTAAGGAAGAAATATGTATATCCTTGTCACTTGTCCTCCTCCATTCCTAACTGCCTAAGTGCATCTCTCTTTGTACTTGCTTTTTTTCTGTTACTTCTTGATTACCAGCAATGTCACTCCTTGTCAGGAGTCAGGACCTGGACAAAGTCTCCCATCTTTCGTGCACAACTATGCCTTGCAAATCGCACTGGGCATGACATCAGAGCGAAGAAAAGGTTGCATACTAAAAAACTGGCAACAATATATAGCAAAATTATTTTGCAGATGGGTGAACCTAAAGGAACCAAGAATTGTAAGAGAGAGTTCTTTGTGTAATGTAATATGCACAGAGAGCAGAGGAAATGCTGCCTGACACGGTGCAAATAAACCTAAGAAAAATATCTGTTAAGAAAACAATTGTTAAATATACTCCACTGTGTCTGCTTCAACAGTCACAGAAATCTTACCTTGTCTTAGTGACATCATCATGAACATAAGAGCTCCCATAACCAATGCAAAAGCAAGGCGGAAGGACTGCAAAATAAGAATTGTGCAATTAAGAGCTTTATCCCATTGGAGAAAGATACAAAATACAGTCCATAACTGATCCAACAGTTTCTCATACATACAGACCATAGAGTAAGTTCCTACGCACATGTGCCTAGTCGTAAGTGTTTGACAGGGTAACAAAGAAGGCTTTCCCAGTAGCAATTCATGTGTCAGTATAAAAGAGCAATTATACACTACAGCAAAAATGTACCCACCGCATAATTCTCTAGAAGTCCTGCTTTGCTTGGACCTGCCATGTCGCGGCTAACAGATATAATGTAATGTCCTTGAAGTAGATCCATGGCATCCTATAAAAAACAACAGAAAAATAATAAGGCAATGCTCTAGCTTGGTTTAAATTTTTCTAGGGCTGGTGAAATGGCAAATGAGTGACCACGTAAAACATTCCAATGCACTACCAATATCCAAAAGCAATGCTTACTATTGCTTGAGGATGTTTGCATGACTAATGGTCTATCACGATTAAGTGAGAAATTCACAAGAAAATAAGCTGGCATATTAGCGGTGAATGGGGTTCATTGTTTTGGTCATTCTGATTTATTGATTTTCATGCAAAGTCAGTCATTTACCTGTTTAGTGCCATCTGCAAAGTTATTCAAGTAGTATCTAGCAAGTGAATTCCACAGATCATTCAGAATTCCCTGGGTACTTCTCTTCCCATACCTAATAAAACAAAAACAATTGTTAAATATGGGAACAAACAAACAAGTAATAAATTATGCTGCCGCATTTTATTTGTCAATATCAGAATATGAAAGAAAAACGAGCATAAATTTAGCAGCACAAACTTATGAGTGCCCCAAAAGAGCATGTATACTACTTAGTAATGTTAGCCCGTCATGGGATCTGGAACTATCTTAGGCCTTTTTTCACTGATGGTTATTAGCATGCTGGAAATCAGTTACAACCCATAGGGTATTTGGTTGCCCACAAGTATGGAGACATTTCAGCAAGAATAGTAAAAGGACATCAACTTCATGATAGCCCATTGAAACTCTTAAAACTTCCAAGTTCCACACAAAACATAAGTGGCTCAGATGTGAACAGACTCAAGGTGATAACAATCACTATGATTTTCCTTTTCTGATGTAAGCTGGAAGTAGTTCTTTCTCTTGATAACAAAGAAGGAACTTCCAGTAATACTGTTCACCATGAACTTCCAGTAACACTGTTCCAGTAAATGTGCTGCACTTTGGAAATGAAGAAAAGGCAGTTTTTCTATTTAGGAATTACCGAACAAAATCGCCCTTCAATGCCGGAGTTCCAGAGTACTGAGTGCTTATTGAATCTCCATGGTTGGCCCATACTGAACAAGAGTATTTTGCATCAAGAAGAAGCATAGGAGATACAAACAAGCATGAGGAATACAAACAAGAAGAACCAGGGTTAGTGAACATGAACAACTCACAAACTTTGTATTTTGCATCAAAAGCTGGATGGTTGCTTATCGTATCATTAACACCGAGAACCCCTATTCGCTGAAGTTGGTTTTCTAGTATCTTTCCTCCAATCATGCTCTGTTTAGTCATCATATTGATAATCAGAATTCTGGTAAAGTGAAAACTCCACGGAAGAGGGGGAAATAAGACATAAATAAACGATGGATAAGTATTAAGTATTATACTTTGAAGTTAACCTAGTCTACTTGACTGCAATTAGATACTTAGGAGTAACTGAAGTGGCTTTTCCCTTTGAGGCATGTGATCTTACTACATCAGTCAATAGGTTCTGTTCTAGAATACATCAACCAGCAAATCAAAGTAACTCAAGCCAGTCCTTAAGGGTACATCAATATATATTAAGTCCAACAGTTTGGATTTGATTTAGATAAATCCAATGAGACAACCCACTGCAAAATGACAAGTTAACTCAGGTTGTAGATCTATCTGGCAGCACATCTAGGTTTGTAATAGTCTAAAAAAAGAGCAATGCCACTTATTTAAAAAAACATTGTCTTCCACACAGATCTCAAAAGAAGGAAGAGAAACTATCAAGAATTAGCTACTACAGTGCAACATGGTAGGTAAATTATCCAGTAACCATAAGTGTTCACAATATCTACAATTAAATTTGACGTGCAACAAAAACTATACTTGACAGTATATACCTGAGTTACATTGGTGCGATCTAAGCAATCGACACAATTTGTCCTGATAGTGCCAGTCTGCTCCTCAATTTTTTCACCTTTACCATTCAAAAGGAAATACCTAACCCATAACATTATTAGCAAGATCAAGAAGGAGAAAATATATCCACCATGTTCCATAGTAATGAAAATGCTCTGTCCAAAGGCATAAGAGAGTTGGGATAGTACAGAGATGTACTGAAAATCTCAGACCTGGAACTTTTTCCCCTTTCTTTCTGTTAATAGAGCAAAAGAGAGGAGGGGAGCGGATGCTAAAACACCTAAACAAGGACTTAAAAACAGTATGACTAACACAAGTGACTATTGCTCTTCCCTTTGCCTACTATGCCAGAGAATTCAGTGCACGAAAATAATCTACATACTGCTGGAGTATTTGTGTTTTTAATGTATAGGTATTACTGCACAGTGATTGAGTAATCAACCAATATTCAGATGACTGAAACTCAGAAGTAGTAACAGAACCAATTGTTTGCTAAATAAAGTAACATGATGCAAGTGTCTGCTTTAGAAGTTTCATATGCCAAACCAAGAGTCAAGAACTAGTGCACCAAAAATTGACTCTGCATTCATTTGAAAGCATGTGTAGTCACGTGGTAAATAGCCTAATGATTTTGGGGGGTTGCTTAGCGAATGAAACCCAATAACAGAAAAAAAAAAGACAGCAAACAAATGCAGGGAAAAAGCAATGGATTAAGTAACACCAAAATACATGTCATGGGCACTGAGGCCAGAAAATGATAAACAGATCAAATGGAGCACTCTATAATGTATCTGCCAAAAATATACCTATGTTTCTTGAGATAATCTTCAATTTGATTGTAGAGCTGAGAAAGGCGCTCAAAGTGAATATGACCACAGATTCGATGGAAGTCAAAATGCACATATCTGCAAGTGCACGCATTGATAGATATGTTAACTACAGTAATATATGTTGGAGAACACTGCATTTGGGCAAAAGAAATTGCTACCTTATGTCTTCACTGAGAATAGGTTCAATAGATTTTGCATATCTGTCATGGAGGCGACCTTCACCACCGTGCTGTATATAGGAATTGGAATTAAAATTAAAGGATGAACAGCCATGTTGTTAAAAGGATA